AGCTCGACCATGCCTTCTTTCCCCGTATTGTTTTCTTTAACAGTCCGAAATATTTTTGGGGGTGGGGGGGGGGGGGGGGAGAGAGGGAGAGAAAGAGGCTGGAGCCCTCCCCCCCTTCCCCCTTCCCCCCGTTGTTCCTCTTCCGACGCTACTGGTGTGGTAGAACGCACCTCGACCTCAAGTTGTGTCAGCTTCTGTGCTTTTTGCTCGGCGTTTCTTCCGTCTCGGAAAATAAACCTCCAAAGCAATCACAAACTAAAGAATTGTCAAGGTGCAGCCGAGCTGGTGTATGTTGATCATGATGCAAACTCCCTTGCAGGCGAGCTGGTGTATGTTGATCATGATGCAAAAGCCCGAGACTGGGAACGAAATTCGAAAGAAATAGTGTAAGAAGAAAGAGAAAAGGGGACAGGACAACGTCTCAAACTCAGCTAAGTTGAGTTTGAGACGCTGTCCTGAGCCGAGTTTTCAGCTGGGTTGAGTTTGAGACGTTGTCGTGAGCTGAGTTTAAGACATTGTCCTGTCCCCTTTTTTCTGTCTGCTTACAATTTTTTTTTTTTTTTTCAAATTTCATTTAAGGTACAGTTGAACCTCGATGTAACGAAGTCGGTAAAATTCGCAATTTACTTCGTTACATTGAAATTTCGCTAAATCGAAATTTGGCTTTAGCATGCAAAAAAAATTCCGAAACATTTTACGGGTATGAAAACTCACCGAAAATGACATTTATTTAGGGGCGAAGTAGTCCGCGAGTTTTGCTTGCGCCTTGTCCGACAGTAGCAGCGGCGTCATACGGCGTTCGAGCGCCCAGAGCGCTTGCACGGCATTCTGCTGCCCATGCGACGCCGTGTACCTCCTCAGTACGTCCATTGCGTCGAGCACTTCCCGAGTGCTCGTGATCTCGGCAGTTTCTTCAGGATGGCGTCCAAAACGTTTGCTTTCTCGTCCAAAGAAAGAACTTTACGTTTCCTTATGGCAGCAAGCACGTGAGTGAACCGCCCGGTTAAAAAATAAAGCTGTTTAGTTTAGGCGGTGCCAATGTTTCCAACCTACACAGCACTCTTGACCGCACAGTTTACTTGCCCCCTTGCGCCCACAGTGTGCTTGCGCCTTTGCTTTACATCACGCTCGCAAGACGATAATCGGTCTTTTCGGTCTTCTCCTAGATAGCACTGCCCGTGCGGTCGCGCTAGGTCGCGCGGTCGCGCCCCCGCTGAAGGTCGCGCGGTCGCGCCATCACGTCGCTCCCCCGCTGAAGTTGGCTCCCGCGGTACAGTGGAGTGGACTATGGTGATCAGTGAATGTTAGTGGTGATGCTGTTATGCCGTGTTAACTTTTTGCTCGGCACTTTCTGGCCAGCCTCGCGGAATCCGCTTTGCCGCATGCCTCGCCGGCGCTACCGGCGCCGCATCCTCGGGCAGCCTAGGAACGTTGGAAGGCCTGTCCCCGTGAAGTAACCTATCAAGCGCTCGCGTTTGAGCATAAATTTTTTTTTAACCACAATTTTTTTGCGAAGTTGTTTTTTAGAGTTGATTTATTTATTGCCTTCTATGGCCATGGCGCTTCGTTATATTGAAATAGCAGCAAAATAGACTTCGTTATATAGGGACTAAAAATACATGGGGTCTATGGGCAAGAAATTATGAAAAATAAAATACTTCGTTAAATCGAGGATTTCGTTACATTGAAGTTCGTTATATCGAGGTTCGACTGTATTAGGATTTTGAATCATGTAAAAACTAAACTTACTATATGCCAGCATCACTCGGGCGGCGTTCAAGCGGATTAGTACCAGCGTGCGGGGGGGGGGGGGGGTGGCAGGTGGCGGGTGGCGGGGTGGCAGGGAGGCAGCTTGCCAGATCACTTTAAGGTTTTTCTGAGCCTCAACCACTTGCCTGCCCCTGGCCGTTTCGAACTGGATGAGTATCGTTAAACAGTGCGTTCGTGTGATCACTACTGCGTGATGCACGTTAACCCCCCCCCCCCCCCCCCCCCCCGGGCTGGCCGTCACAATTACTGATCTGCACATGTCACTCTGCACTGGCAAATAATCCAGCACATCCGGGGCACTCGTCGTCCCCTTTAATTGCCTGACCAACTTCACGCAGTCTAAATATAACACTCGAACATTTCTAAACCTGATTTCGTGAAAACCAGTGAGGCGTGAAAACGTTAAGCGCTGTTCACACTCTTGGGACCGAGTAAAACCGAGAGACCAGACCGGCTTTTAGGCCTTTGGCGACTTCTTAGGATTGGATGCGCGCGCTGCAGCGGAGCTGGTTCTAAGAGATCGCAAGAGGCTTAAAAACCGGTCTGGTCTCTCTCGGTCTTACCAGGTCGCAAGAGTGTGAACGGGCCTTTATTTGAAACTGAAACTGTGGCGGAACATGAAAACCGGACTTCGAACTTTGCTCACTTGGACTTGAAAGAAATCCGAAACCTAAGTTGTTTTTTTTCGTTTTTTTTTTCGAATTTAGCGCTAAAAAGTTTAAACCTTCGAACGTTTCAAACTTTATGTAGAAAGAAATTCGAAATCTTCGAATTTATCGAACTTTAAGTTCATAAGAATTTGAAACGTTCGAACTTTTCGAATTTCAGATCCAAAGAAATTCGAAACATTTGAATCTCTCGATTTTCAAGTTAGGGAAAGTTCGAAATCTTCGGATTTCTCGAACCTCAAGTAAAAAAATATTCGAAATAATCGAACCCGAACTTTTAGAAACCGTGAAAGCTTCGAACTTTTCGATTTCGAAACCCCACGATTTTTGAAAGTTGCGAATTTTTCTATTCGAATCTCCGTACGGTCGAAAATATCGAAATCTTTCGAATTCGATTCGGTTCGAAAATATCGAAACCTTTCGAAATCGAACCTCGGGTGGTTCGCGGCATCCCTAGTTGTGTTGTCGCGTGGAAAAAAGGCGAACAAACAGAAGAGCGACGACGCCTGCCCTGCCTGCCCGAACCCGACCGACGCTTTCGTCTTTTCGGCGCCTTTTCGCAGTTCGTAATTCAAACGCGGCTATCGAGCTGTTGGAAACCCTCCCAAATCTAGGCACACTATTTTTCCATTCCGTTTCTTCCGCGCCAAGCCTAATTCTTTTCACGAGTAAAGCCCCTCGTTTCAAATTGAAGCGCCGATGTAAAACACACTTGCCGCACTCGCAGAAATCGGCTACTGCACCACTGCACGATCACAGAAAGAAAACCAACGTTACCACGTCGGCGAAACCAACCGAGTTGTCGTTCCGATTCGGAATCCGAATCAGAATTTGCGGTTCCAAAAGAAAGACAACGATAACTCGGTTGGTTTCGCTGGCGTGGTAACGTTGGTTTTCTTTCTGTGATTGTGCAGTGGGGCAGTAGCCGATTTCTGCGAGTGCGGCAAGTGTGTTTTACATCGGCGCTTCAATTTGAAACGAGGAGTTTTACTCGTGCAAAGAATTAGGCTTGGCGCGGAATTCCGGCTTCCCAACAATTCCTCTCTGGAAGCGGCGCAAGCGGGATGTTTCAGTTGTGATTCAAGGGTAGATTGTGTCATGATCGTGAGTAAATCTTCGTGCTATAAAGTTTGTGGCGTTCGTTACTTTTTTGTTTTCTAACCTGTGCGTTAAAGATTTTTTTGGAATGGTCGGACCAAGAGGTGTTTCTCGCATGGTCTGTCTAACATCACGGCGCTTACATCGGGAGAAAAAACTGCTTTTTTGTTTGCTCCGCGCCCACCGCACGTCTTTGGCCGAATATATCGAATATTCGAGTAACCGAATACTAGGAATTCGATTCGCGAATCGAATTATTCGGGAACTTTCTATTCGATTCGAGTTCGTATATTCGAGTATTTGCACACCCCTAGTGCAAAGCAGCCCTCCAGTGAAAGGCAAGCGCTTCAGCTCTCTGTGGATGTCTCAGTTGTGGGTGCCATCTGCTGCAGTTGCAACGTAAATGCGACTTTCTCAGAGCCTCTTGGAGTTCGAGACGCAGTAGACGACGGAGCGTGCAGAAAACACTCCAACGGTTGGAACGCAGCAGCGCTGAGCAGAGCCCTGGCATAGACTCGCAGCGAAAGAGAACCACCCTTGCAACTACCTCAGTCTGTTGCGGCAAAGCAGTCTGCTTTCTTTTTACTCTGTTTTCTAGTCACTTTTTTCTATGCTCTTTCTCTGGGGAAGCCAGAAGCGCGCTCGTTTCACGGAGCGGTGCGCTGCCATATGTCTGAATACATAGTGTTTTACTCCTACTGGAAGTGGCACGGAGGCACTCGAGGAAGATGTTCGGCAGGCACTGGTGCCAGATCCGTGAGTAGGCGAGCGCTGTGTCAGCGTTTGACTGGCGGTCGGCCCATCGATTTCCGGTGCCAGCGCCTAACTGGATATGGTTAGGTACCAGCCATATAATATATATGTGTTCAAAACCCAGGGAGCAGCGGTTAAATGCGGCTGCTAAGGGAAAGCAGCTCTGGAAATAAACTGGTCCAGAGGTCTGATCTTGGTCACCGCAAAACTGAGATTTAATAGGCCTTTTGCGAGCAAAGAATGTGGTTCATCTGTTACGAAGCATCATTCGCAGATAGAAATAAAACAAGAAAACACCACACATCATCTACCAGCAGAACGGAAAAAATGTTGATTGTCTGCCCTGAACCGAGCGTCGCAGTGAAGCAAGACCGAAGGCAGGCTGAAACTGTGATCATCTGCTATTTCACGTTGGAAGCCATCGCTTCTTTTGCAAACCTCAAGTCACCCTGCTGCCGTACACGAGCCGACATTGACCGGTGAACGAAAGAGTACTGAGAACAAGCACATCTGAGGCCGCAAGGCCTTTCCTGCTACCTGCAAGTTGATGAGACATTCTCATCGAAATATTGCCCGATTGAACAGGTCAAAAATTTCTCATTGGCCGATTACGCGCGCCCAGTGGGGAGCTGCGATGCCACGCCCAATTAGCAGCCAAGGACGCACGCTCTCACTCGACCGAAATCAGACACTGAGGAAAATTATACTCACTCCACTGTGAGAAACCTCAGGCACAGCTTGTCCACAAAACCCTCCAGCTGCCGGTCCTTGTCGATGCAGGCAAACAGCAGTCTGAAGAAGAGAAGCGACAGAAAGCACTTGAGGCCTGCAACACATCAGGCAGGTTGCAAGGCCCCGACCTTGAAGACGATGCCTTTCCCGACTTCGAAGTCTCGCGGATTGTGGCATGCCTTCTGTTGCGAACCACACACTGGCTAGCCCGTCCACGGAGTAATGAAATGCCGACAGGCGGTTTATGCATACATACTACTGCAATGTCTCGAAAAACGGTCTGCACCGAATAATTGTACAGAAAAGTCGGTATTGTTCAGGGCTGTTCCTGAGTTCACAACAGTCTCTAAACACCAAGCTCTAAAGCTTGAGAAAGCGTTAGAGATAACAGGTGTGGGGAAAAGATGGAATGCATCCTGTGTGACCCACTGCATGTGTGTACAACAAAAATGCTAGTTTCATGGCATCTACGGTTCAAAATCCACTCGGATAAATATCAGATTTCTGAAACGCTTTCTCGCCACACAAATTGGCCATCCACCGTATTATATTCATAATTTCTGGATGCTACTGAAAATCAAAAATATTTTGTGTACGAGAAGCATTCTCAAAACCCACACTTCTCAAGATTCACGAAATACTAAGCCCACAAAAATAAAACCTTTTACAGCATATCGGAGGCCCTCTAACAATTGAATGTATATGTACCCATATCTAACAGTTATAGGACACCGTTTGACTCCAATTCAAAGGAAAAGGATAGGCTGTTGCCTGTTGCATGTTCCTATAATTTCACGCAAGCTCTGCAATCAATCTATAAACCCTCAAAAATGAACAAAGAGTGAGACATAAAACGTTTCAGGCTCGCTCCAGACGGGGCAATTTCGCCCAGCAACTTGACATCGCAACACCAGCAACACGGGCCATCCGCATTCACACGCAGCAACCGAATTCCTACGACTTGCCATCATCATCGTGAAATTTGATTTTTCTCTCACTATTTAGACGCACAGTTACATGCTATAAACATGTTTTTGTATCCTTAAATTGCATTAAAAATACTAACTAATCTTGCTGAAACTGTTTATTTCCAGAAACGATCCATTTCAAACAAGAGCCAAGTCTTTAGTTGTCATCATCACCACCACAGGGGTGTCACGTGAAAATATTGCATTCCTGACTGGCTGCTGCCGCTTTGAACGTCTCCGAGTTGTCCGAGCTGCTCGTCCGTTCGGAGACGAACCCGATCACAGCAATTTGTGTCGATCTAGAGAAAGCTAGGAAACAACCCGCCAACAACCCCGAAATTGCTGAAAAAGTTGCCCCGTCTTAAGGGACGAAGTGGGGATCGACAGAAACTTTTTTGATTTTCAATAGATTCTAATAAAATTTGGCACATATGTTGGTAATGCCTGTATGGTGATACAAACAAAATACCACTTTCTTATCTAAGTTACTTTTTGATTTATCAAACTTTTCTGCTTTGGTCTTTGTGGAGAGCCTGCAGAATTAAAAAAATACAATAGAAGGGTGGTTGTACAACGACAATATTCCCAAATGTATCCTACAAAACATGACATTCTTGAAATTTTTTTATTTTTGTCATAATTATTTTTAATTTTAATTTTTGTCACCTGGTTCGGACAGGAACAAAGGACATGCAGACAAAGAAGCCCCTCATAAATTGAAAAATAAAATAATCTAAAAAAATAAGAATGTCATGAGCTGTAGAACAGTTCAAAGAGTATAATGAAACAAACGGAACAAAAATGCTCAAAGCGGTAGCCAAGATATCAGCTCCACGAGCTGAGCGGAAAGCAAAAAGTAAAGTTCTGAGGAAACGGTCTCTAAAGTTCTAGGTTCTGCTTCGCACCTTAGAAGCCACCAGGGTTGTAGTTTTCCACGTCCTTTTCAGCACGGCCCCTCTTTGGCTTCTGGCCTTTTGCTTGAAGAGCTTTTGAAGCTTTCTTTTTCCGCGAGGCGTCCTTCTCCGCTGCCCTACGAAGGGCGAGTCCTCCAGGTCGGATGCCGAGGGAAGAACTAAACTCCGTGTAGGCACGATAGCTGCCACAGTTGAACTTGCAGATTGCCTCGCTGACGGCAGTCTCTGCTGCAATCAGGGAGGCGTGCTCATCTTTTGGAAGCACCGACCAGATTACCGAGTGAAGACTCTCTGCTGCATTTTGCGTCTTCTTTCCCTTGCACCGGTCAAGGAGCTGAGGCTCGGAGAGGCGCTGGTACACCGGCAGGAGGGCAGTGGCAACATGGCTCGCCAGCTTGTACTTGTGAGCTGGCTGAGGCTCGCCTTGAGCTTCTGCCGCTCGATGTCTGCACCAGCTCATGGGTCCAGGTGGACAAAGATGATGATGTGGTTCTTCATCTGTCGAAGTTATGTGGTAGAAAGTTGCCATCACCGCTCGCTGCATCTCATCGACGTCAGGGTGGCTTCGTAAAGCCATGCCGTAGTAGCTGGTGAGCCTTTTGATCAGCTCCTGTGTCAGGCCACCTCTTCCGCCGAGGGGTTGTCCTTTCTTGCCCTTGGTAATGAGGGCACGCAGAGCGGATCCCATCCTCTTCTGCACGTGGTTTATGCAGTCTTCCTTTTGAAATGGAATAAACCCGTAGGTCGCATCCTCGCTGAGGGCCAGAAAAGTGCGGCTGTCACCGTCGCATACAATGTTGGTGTAGCGCAAGTCGTTCTTGGCTAGGGAACGTCCAAAGAGCAACAGGGCCGCCTCAACTTCCATCCTGCCCGACTTCACTTCAGTGTTTCTTTGACACTTGTGCGACTGCACCCACTGGCTGTAGCCCTCAGCATCTGGCTTTGGGCCCACTGCGCACCCGTGGCAAAGGTTGGAAAGAACGACAGAGTCCAACACTAACCCCGTGTAATACTCAATCACGGTACCCACACCAATGTGGGATGTGTGACCGCGTGTCATCCACGTACCGTCGTATACCACAGTCACATTCTTTGTGAAGGTTGGGTCCATTTCTTCGTACACTTTGCGCACAGCATTTACGGCACCAGTGCATACACCTGCTGCAGCTGTATCTGCGGCAGGGCTGAACTTGGACTTGAGGTGCCCCTGGAATGTTTTGTGGTGCATTCCCCGATGTGACACGTTCATAACAGACCAAAAGTCTGTCAGTGTAGTTGCACCCTTGCCAACACTCTTCATGGCCTGCATTGACCTCAAGTTCACCTCGAAGGCCCTGCTGTCTTCTTGTCGCGGTGATGACCAATGGTCAGTGACAACGCCACACGCAGAACAAGTTAGGAGCATCTTCACCGCCAAACCAAGCCTTGTTCCCTGCACGACGGTGACTCCCGGCTTGAAGCACTTCGGGCATGGTGTCTCGCTGAGGAGCGCGTTCAGTGCCGCGACCTGAACCACCAAATACTCATCAGATGGCTCCGCACTCGTGGGTTTCTGGCCTTCGCCGGTCAGATTCATTTTCCTATCAGTTGCCGACACTGAACTCAATGACTCGCGGACCGCAGCAGCGCACTCGCGGGACTCTTCCGTCGAAACAAAGTTCGGTTGTAAATGCGCCTGAACGGTGCGATCGGTGCTCGTGGAGGCCATGTCTTCGACGCCAGTAACAGGACGCGAAGTGCTAGGTCGTGCATTCAAGTCGTCTGCAGCAAACTGCGCTTCAATGAGACGCGCACTTTCGAGACTCGGCGGCGGGAGGGAAGTTTTCTTACTTTTCTTGGCCATTGGGGATTTCCGCTTGCGATTTCCGAAGCGATGCGTCGTCCCGTGCTTCTTTTTGAAGGATCGTCGATCCATGATCGCGCAAAAAAGTCGGAGCGGGAGCAAGAAAACAGCGTAACCCGAAACAAAGAAGAGCACCTTCGGCGAGCAAGCGAGCAGGCGAAAGCGGCGTTGGAGCAGACGACGCTCCCCCAGATACCGGCCTCGCCGGCGCTGTTGCTAGGGGCAACCACTCCGCCGGCCAATGATGGAGCGCGCCCGACCCGCGCAGCAGAGAAGGCCAATCGGAGGCCGCCGTTTCCAACCGGGAGGCTTCCGAAGTTTTGTTTTTTATGTGCTTAGTTCGCATTTGAGGAGACGGTAGACGCGGGAAATAGGAAGATGACGAAATGCGCTTTCCATAGATACCAAGATGGCCGCGCTTCGTAGCGCAGTCGCGGAGAAACGGGGGTTTGAAAAACGTGGATTTTTCACGGATTGGAAGCAATATTTCGCTACCTTACCTCATATAAGTGATTATTTAGAGCACTTAGAGATAGTTTTCAACAAAAAAAACTTTGAGAGGGCAAAGAGGAAGACCCATAGACGTGAAATAGTCGACTTTGTAAAAATCAACTTTTTTGACATTTTTTGTGAGTTGATCCCCGCGTCCTCCCTTAAGTGGGCCTTACTGAACAAAGAAACTAAAGGTCACAGTTTGCGAGGATAAAACCCAAAATAGCTCTATCTACTCAAAATTATGCCAGAACACCACCACTGTAACCATCACTAAAAAATTTTGGTCGTTCAAAACATTTCATGAGTTGAGGGTATGATTGCTAATAAAGTAAACTTTCCTTAGTTCGACTTTGGTTAATTCGATTTTTCGTCTAATTTGATCATGTTCAATAATTCCTCCAAGCATGCATACATTTCTATGGGAGAAAAAGTTTGACAGTTCAAACTGGGGAAGACTCCGCATAGAATAATTCGTCCGGAGCGAATGTGCGCAGGCACACATTGCACGGCACCATGACAGAATAACCACCAACGTGTGACGAAATGCGGGCTCTTTACTGCGAAGCCGAACGTGTGCAAATATGCGCCTGCTCCTGTATGCCGTTGAGATGGACCGCAGCTAATGACACGAGCCAGCGCAACCAATCTGGCGTAGAGCAGCGCGGAGAACATAGCACGTGGTCGGGCGCGGAGACAGCGCTCTCTTAAAGCGCTTTTCTGTAGCATTGTGTGCGGTCCATCTTGCGTGCCGGAAAGCGTGAGTTCTCTTTTCTTTTTTTTTTTGTTATTTTTTTTTAGTCGCCAACAGTCTGGCCGCCCGGCGCCGAAGTCGGCTCGTAAAGCTTTCTCAGCGCGTGCTCTCAAAGCGCCTTTCTGTAGCATCGTGTGCAGTCCATCTTGCGGGTTCTCGTTTCCCTTTTATGGTTGTTATTTTACTCTGTCACCGACGGTCTGGCTGCCCGGCGCCAAAGTCGGCTCTCAAAACAAAACTTACTTTTTCCATTTTATTTATTTATTTTTTTTTTTTTTTTTGTAGTTCGCGATTTTTTGGGGGCATGATGTTTAGTTACGCTGTTCTCCGGAGCATGCTTTTGGACACGCGTTTTAAAGGGACACTGACAGGGTATTTATGCTCGCCGAGGTTTTTAGTTGTACATGAAATATGAGAACCCAACTACCCAGAACACAATTTGCGGCTCGAAATTCGGTTTCTTCCCGCCCGAAAACCGCTGATCAAGAACCGGCCGGTTCGAGTTTCGCCGACTCTCTTTTTCGTGGTCACAAGCTGTTTTCTAAGGTTTTGACGCGACCACCAAATTTAATCAAAGTCGTTGGTGACTGAAGGCACACACTCAATATTAAAAACAGAAAAAATATGAAAACAACTTTTTGTGGCTTCTTAAAAGCTGCAAATACGTTGACTGAAAAAAAAAAAAAGTTGCACAGAGAACCGGAAGCATTCTGTGCGTGCGTTGTTTTGCGTATCGTGGGACTTGCGGGGACGGTGATAGCAGCGGACGGCGGGCGTGGGACCTCTACTTCAGGACTGTCGTTCGCGGTACCGATGAATTCTGTCTGCCTTTAAAAGAGAAATTTGGGACCGATCAAAAGAATTGGTATTCATCTCGTACGACACGCCTTACCACCCAGGGGCGGATCCAGAACTCCGTTTTGGTGGGGTGGGGGAGGGGGGGGGGGGGGAGGGGGCGCGGGAAATATTTTTGTGTATGTGTGTGTGTGCGGGGGAATCTAGAGTAGGATGAACAAGACTCCGGTTGCGCTTTTTGTTTTAGCCGCCGCAGAACCACACTGCGCCGACGGCACCTAGATGTGCGCCGCTGCGCCAACTTCTTGGCTCCAAGCCATGCTTTGAAATTGACGCCCCGGACATCAGTCTCGGTTGAAGCAACGGAGTGGTTCTCCAAGCTCAGAGTACAAGTGTGCCTGCTAGGGTGCAACCTACCCTATTTTGAACCCTCGTCCTTGAGTACCCAGCCTTCTACCACCTGGCAGGTCGATAGTCAGTTTTATTTTGGGAGGAGGGGGATCAAGAAGCGAGCGGCAGAATACCTTAAAGCAAAGTTTAAAGCTCACGACACTCACATGATTGCTACATTTCTTTGGCCCCAGTTTCGTCAGCTTTGCATGCTTTCTGGTAGTGATCGCTATAAAGTCCTCGAGAACGTCGAGCAGCGATTGAAATCAAATTCGGCTTGCGTGAACCAAGATTCAGAGTTTCCAGGACCCCAAGAAACGAAGCGAGCAAAGACGACGTTGGACAAGTTTCTTGAGTGGAAAGATGTGCAACAATCAACTTCAAGTGCTGAAGGATCTGACAAACTTCAGCAATATTTGAAAGCAGACTTTCTAAACATCAGTGAGAGCAAACTTCTGCCCTTTTGGAAGTGCCATGAGAGTGAGTTTCCAGGACTATCTCGACTCGCCAAGCAGCTACTTTGTGTGCCCACCACGAGTGCTTTCAGTGAGAGGAACTTCAGTGCTGCTGGCTACCTCATCCAGGAAAGGAGAACCCATCTAAAGCCAGATACGGTCAATAATCTTCTATTTTTGCACAAGAACCTTTAAGAACACTCGCTCTACTTTCTGTTAATATGGACCCGAGTCTTGAAAAATATTTGATGTCTGTTTCATAGGAGCACATTTTTATTTTAAAGTCCCGTTTTGTTTGAAAGTGTCCGAGTACCGATCTCGCCGACCCTTCCACCGCCGACTGGTTGAGCGCATTCCTGTATTGTTATTTAGTATTGTCGCGTTAAAAGTGTCTCATTTTCCTCGTCAACGGAGTTTCGCAATGTATTTTAGATGGCTTCACGTGTGCTTATTTGTCTCTGTAACTGCATGACTTGGTATACATTTAGGTGGACTTCTCGTATTCATAGTCATTCAATATTACACTTTGTCTCGCGAAAAGGAGACTTTAGTTTTTTTATAATGTAATTTATTGGAATTCAAAAGGCACGTCAAGGAGTGTTTCTAATGTGTGCTTATATTTAACGGTAAGCATTTATTGCCTATTGAGTCGTAATGTAAATATATGTGTGACAATAAAGAATGATGCTGACTTTCAAGTCCACTGTAATAAATATGCGCAGTAGTGCCATTCTGCGTAAACTCAGCTTGATACTAGCGAAAATGAAACAGGCCTGAGCGGGCCTGTCTAAGTTAAAGTGTCGGGTCGGGTCGGGTCGGGCCGGGCCGGCTGTCGGTAATCGACAGCGGGCCGCGGGCGGGCCCGGGCCAAAGTAACAGCGGGCTAGGCCGGGCCGGGCTCTTAAACATCGGCCCGTGCAGACCCCAAAAGAACAACACATTGGCTATGTTGAACTTTTCCCCTTGGGAAGGCTTCCAGAAACGTGCAAACAATCGTCTTCTAGCCTGTCCCTTGCCCCCCAAAAAAAAGTAGGAAAGAAAGAAAATTCCAAAAGCCCAAGCCGCGAACAAATTTGAGCGAAGAGAAGCGATTCAGAAGGAAAGAAAGCTAAAAAAAACACTGCACACACGCACAGAAAAAAATCTTTTCATCCCAAAGCGGTTGCCCATGAAGAGAAGCAATTAAAAAAATAAGCCAAAAAACAAAACCTGCACGCATGAAAAAGAAAAAATAAATTCTAGCGCGTTGTTACAAGGTGGAAGCAAAGGGATGAGAAAGAAAGAGAAGCTCTCGCCTTACAACGAACGCATCGTGGAAGTTCGTTGTAAATGGTTTTTGCTATATCGATTGTAGCGTTTCCTGCTGTTCGTTATGAGTGGGTTTGACTGTCACTTTCACTTCAGTGAAAGTGACTTTGTGTTATTGTTGGTTCCAATCTGCTCTGTGAGTGCTGGTCTCTTATTAGTTCCAAGTCGATTCCTTTTTGAATTTTGTAATGAAATGAAATGAATTTTGTAAACCAATAAACAAACATTTTCTCAAAATAACTGCCAGAAAGAAGCAGTGGCTGGCTTCCCAAGTCGTTTCAATTAAATCCCTGCTTATTCATCCAGTCGACGCAAAATGTGTGAGACCCCCTCGCGATCGAAGTCTTAAATATGGCGAGTCAGTGACACCAAAAAATCAGTATACACCTGCTATGAATTACTACCGTTTGTATGTTTAATTTTTCAGGCTCAAATGCGCTTAACAGGTAATGCACTTCTCAGCGAGCAATTTTAAATTTGTACACAATTCTTAGTAAGACTTGGACAGAATAAATTAATCAAACGCCTGATTCTGCCGGGCCATGTCCAACAATTTAACAATTTATTAAAATCTCCGCTTTTCTTTAGAGCAGAAGTCACGATGTGACAAACTTCTTTGCCCCATACTCGATTCTGGGGAAGCTAAGCGTCATGTTGCTGACGAGCATTTATTTGCTCGTCAGCAACTGTTGAGTCACACTTGGATAGAAGTGTCGGTATCAACAAGCTCAATGTAGCTAAAACAAGTGTGCGGCACTTTGCAACACAACTGTGTGCACGTACACTGCTAAGAAGACAGCACATTATTTACTCTGGTGAATGCAAAACCTTTTCTACAGAAGCCTCCAGAGATCCGAAAAAACAAGAATCAGAGGGGCTGTGAATAGCCCTGATGCACACCGCTCAAGCTGTATGTGAAGCTCCAGGCTTGTCTTTGAACATTTAAGTTTTTTTAATATAAAAAGCAACTTTGAGGCACTGTTATTCATTAGGAAGATCACTCACGAAAACGCCCTACATGTTTTTTTAATAAATAAACCGTTTTTAATCGGCATAGATGCAAACTGGCATAGCCACTCCGTGCTTTGACATAGCGTATCGTCTACTTGCATTCTACCAGCTCCGTCACAGGAGGGTGCCTGCGAGGTGGCGCCACTAAAACATCTTGTCGCCAATGCAAAGCATACCCACACGGTTGACAAAAGACTGGCATAGAAAAATTACACAAAACAGCAAATTGTAATGTCACTCACTCCTACCACAAAAACTGCTCCCAGCACTGTGCTCACCTCATGACAGAGTGAAAACTTTCTTCGTCTATCCCACCGTTGGGGTTTGACAGGTGACTGATGATGTCGGGCAGTATGTTGTACAAGGCATTCCCCTGCAATAGAAACACACCAGTCAACATTGCTACGTCATGCACCGGAACACGGCGGCTTTCCTTCGGTGGCAGGGTGAAGCATGAAGAGAGTTGCACATCTTTCAGGATTCAATTGTTTACGCTTAAACTTCAATCAACGGATTGCAATCTTTTGTCCTTATGATTCTGGGCACTTCCTCTCCACTTGTCCCTCTTTTGACCCAGGAAAGTTTAAAAATTCATTCTAAAACAAAGTTGCCTCGATCATTCTGATAAACCAGTAAAGCACAGAATCTGTTCTGCGTGCATCACGTGTGTGTTATGATACAGTAATCTCTCGTTATAAAAAAAAATTCCTTTATTATTGCTTTTATCAAAGTTCAATGTGGTCCCGACCGAAATGCACGCATCTTTAACCGGATTATTCGCAGCGTATCGGCGGCCGACCACGCATTACGAAGGCCGTGGCGCCAAAAGCATGCAAGCCTACACAGAGGCGCATGAGAGATTCTTGTGTTCCCTCCCCCATCTTCACCGAGGCAAACGGCAAACTGGAAAAATGGAGTAAACGTGCGACGGAGAACAGAGCGCCAGCTAGCAGAGCGCCGCTTTTGATGCCGATGCGCCGACGCAGAGATGCGGGCAGGGCGCAGCGTCAACATTTTGACGCTACTTACAGCGGCCGCGGCCGACACTGCCCGACTCCTGTTAGAATTGGGTCAAGGGAGCAGTGAAGCTTGGAGGAGATCATCCCTTCGAGAGCCCCCCACGCGCGCGCCTGCGGCGTACTACACGCACACATGCGTTGTATGGGAGATTGGGAGTGTATACCAATGTCGCTTCAGGTTGAGAAAACTGGCCGGGCCAAGTCTGAAATTGCCAAACAATTCGACATTCCGGCATCGGCTGTTCAACACTGTCCAACATTTTGCAGAACAAGCAAGGCATATTGGACGGGTTAGAGAAGTTTCTCATGCACGAGAAAGCGCACCCGTGACCGCTTACTTTATTGCCCGCTAGTCCGATTGCGGGATAGTCGAAATCGCCCCGTGCACCGACGAGAAGTACCATACGTCTTAGATAAGGATCACGACCACCCGTCGCACCGCACTGCGAGAGTAGCCACGGAGACCCCTACCGCGTGAGACGAATTCTGCTACGACGCTCCCGACAGTGCACACGCTGTGCAGCGCTCGACTGAGCTCAAACCCCCCCTCGTCATCGTTGCAAAACTTTCGTCCGAAAAGCGGGCAACTGTAATGCGGTTCACTACAAAAAAATAAAGGTAGGTCACAAAGGAAATACTTTGCATTGTTTTCTTTGACCATTCAATATTTCGACTTTCAGATTCTTCCAACATTTTTGTTCGAATTACCTCACGAGATCCAAATTAACGAGGCTTTGCCGCATCAACCGAGAAAGTATCAACCAGGTTCTACTGTAGCGGCTTAACCCCTTAATCGTTTTGGACGAGCCTAGCTTATCCACCTAGAGTCGTCCCCAAACCGTTTAGGACGAGCTCATCCGCGTACGATACCTCGCTCCTTGGCTGCTTTGGACGACCCAGGCTCATTCAAAGCCTAGTTTCCAGCACAGCTCAGACATGGCAGCGCGTTTGTTTTATTGTACAAGTTTTTTGGGATGGCGACCGATTGTTGGAGACAGATGGTGCGGCCCGGGCTACACGTTCAATACAAAGAACAGTTTAGGATCAAAAATTACAACAAAAAAAAACTTTCAGCCTTTCCACTTTGGTGAAGAATGAAGACCAGCGAAGCTGTACTATGGTGGGACGATTTCAAGGACGACTTCTTGGACGACCTCAAGGACGACGCCTAGAGGACGTCTAGGACGACCTCAAGGACGACTTCTAGGACGACCTCAGGGACGACTTCTAGGACGACCTCAAGGATGACTTCTAGGACGACCTTGAGGACAACCTGTCGGGCAACCTCAAGGGCAACGTCTAGGACGACCTCAAGGACGACTTCTAGGACGACCTCCAGGACGACTTCTACGATAACGTCTACTCTGGTGAAAACCAGCCTGTCCACTCTGGCAAAAACCAGAGTGCAAAGGTTGGAAAGGTTGTTGCCATCTATGAGTGACGGCGGCAACCAGACAACAGGCAAGCCAGTTGTCTGGTTGCCACCATCGCTTATAGATGGCGGTAGCTGTCAAGAGTTTTGTGTCGACGTTTATATGGTGACGGACACGAAACTAGGGAAACTAGCCCTTAACAGCTCTGCTGCAAAAAACGGTTACTCCGGCGATTTTTTTAGCAACCCCAACTAACTATATTTTCGAAATCGCCATCTTTTACTCTTTCCGGTATTCTATTTAGTATCGCAAAATTCAAAATAGTTATTGTGAAATCGGCAAATGAAAATGAGGGCAAAACGAAGATTCGAATATACCCGCGCTTTTCATTCCCGTGACGTCACGGCTTGCGGTTTGAGCAGGCTGTCTAAAAATGAACTATGCCGAGCATTTGTGCCGTGCAGCTGCGCGGGAGCTGGAGCGACTTTCCAGAGCCTTCATTTGACACCATAAAACTGTTTGTAACCAGTTGGAAACAAAGTCTACAGCCCCAAGAGTGAAGCCCTGCCTACCCATGACGTCACTTTTTCAATGTTGCCACTAGAGCTTTTCACTTTGAAAAACACGGTAAGGACCAAAATTGTAAATTCTGTAACTTCGCGAAAAAAAGTTATTTTGTCCAAATATTTGGGTTACTAGTTCAGCTATGTTTGTTGGTGTTTTTAGCGAGTTTTTAGGCAAATCGGGGACTATGAAAAAAACGGCGGAGTACCCCTTTAAGCCCACTCACACACTCACGACTGCTTACGACCATGTGCCTTAAAGGGATACTACAACGAAATTTCGGCGCTCATTTTTTGGTCTATATGTGTTCAAAAGAGCAGTATCACATGGAACATACCAATATCTTGTTAAGAAAGTCTCGAAAAGGAATATTAAAACGAATTAAACGATTAGCAAAGAGCACCTGGTGGATGTCGCTAACGCCTCGTTTGTAATGCTCGTCTAGGAACCTTGACAGCTAGTGACGGAGGTTGTCTCGTCTCCGGCCACGACGAGAGAAGGGGGAAGGAGGAACTCCCCTCTTCCCGAGAATCCCTTTTGTGTGCCGCAGAAGTCGCTATTGTCCCCCTAGAAGATTATAGAAGATAAACCTGTCACTCAAAATTCGTACAAAAGCAGCCGCTTCGGTGGCTGGAACGACTAGGCCATCCTCGCCACGTCAGCCTCGCCGTAGCTTTGCTCGTCTTGAGACGACCTACGTTACGATTGCGTTGGATGTCACGTGCTCTAAGCTGGGCCTTCTCCGAGCGCTTGCCAGAGTGGGCCGTTTATAACGAAAAATACAGCCACCAGGATCAAAATACAAACGTGCGATTGTCATTTACGGATAGTGTGGATCATATTCAACCTATTTTTGAACACGACGGGAATATTTCAAATTTCGTTGAAGTATCCCTTTAAAACCTCTTACGACAGGATAAATCACTGGCGCCATCTATAGGGTAGCCATGGAACACTCGCAGTTTCCATATACAGTGTAGACCGCATATAACGTTTGTCGCGGGAGTCGCGAAAATCCGCACTGTAAGCGGTACCGCGCTATAACCAAAACATCAATTTTTCAGGCCAAAATGCATGCCATCAGACAACTTACATTTGGAAAAGAATTTATTTTATGTTAGATGAAAAATAAAGCTTAGTTTGAGGAAAGTCTTTATTTCACCAGACTAGTACACTCCTCTCTCAAGTGTGTCACACATTTTGAAAGAAATTAGCGACTTTTGCCTGGCGCAGCCTTTTAACAGCGTCGCGGGTTGCGGACGGACGTTGCGAGCGTTGAGGATTGCTAACCCTAATCACTTTTCTCCGGCGATGAAAACGCGTGAAAATTGACATCCTTTATACGGTATGCGCCAGTAATACCTTCAACTTTAGCACAGGCGTGAAATGTTCCAAATAAGAAATCCAAGCGATGTTCGAAAACACAAATGCTTAGAAAGCACCACTGCAGTCGAAGTAAACAAACACGACGACACGGGCGTTTCTGCAGTCTTGAGCGTGCCGTCACAACATCGCCGCACAAGTAGGTGGATCTTCCCTTCTAGTACACACAACGAAAATTCACAGTCAAGGATAGCGCTTTTACGCGGAACGATGAGCTTCTACCACGCCGTCTACATCGACTATCAAAACCGACGCCATGTTTGCGGATAGAAGCAGCCGGCCGGCCGGCCCGCGACCGGCATGCAACGCGCGCGAACACTTCTCTTCGACCTGCGATTGGTCTGTCGTTGCGGTTGTTTCCAACGCAGCGAAGGGACGCACGCACGTGAACGACACGTGCGTGCATCCCTCCGTCGCTATGGCAACTGAAGCCTGTCTTCGCTTCTCCCCGCTTCTTCAAGCAACCTCCTTGCCCCGCGAGTGCCGCTTGCGGCTCACGCCGTTATCTAGTGTCACACAGGGAAGCGTGCTCTCTGCGTCGGTCAGTCGGCGCGGTCGCCGGGTTGTTCCAAAAACCGCACTATAACCGATATTTCCCTTCGCGCGCCTGCATTTTAAGCGGGATGTAATTACATGGAGTTCTATGGGAGGCGAACCGGTGGTTTAAAAAAGCCATGTTATACCCGGTCCTGCACTATAAGCGGTTACGTTGTAAGTGGTCTCTACTGTATTACCCATTTTATACGCGAACCATTCTTTTTTTCTTCGCTCGAAAAACTTTCAACAATGCTATAAACGACCATTTCTCGCGAATAGAACCTATGTTTGATCTCGCAAATGCAACAAAATTTTCGCTCTAGCAAAACGCAGTTCCGGGGTCACCTTGTAGACGGCGTCAGTGTGCTCCCATCGTAAGAGGTCGCGATAACTCGGTTCTAATCGAACGCGAGTGTGCGAACGGGTCTTTAGACCTACTACAAGGCGAAGGTATTTCGAGATGGGTGGGTGTGCCTCGCCTTCTTGCCGAGCTCGCCAAAGAACTCCCTGGAGACCCGGGCGACTTGGGGGTCGGCGTCTATGACCAGCACGGCCAGCTCGCTGATCTGGTTCTTCACCTTGACCAGGTCATTGAGGATGAGGAAGCTGAGCACCTTCAGCGTGCACAGCCTCACCTCCTGCGAGGGGTCGTGCAGCCTGCACAGCAAACACCAAGAAATAGCCACTCTCGTCATTCACTTGACTAGAGTCGCCGATTAAGCCTATACTCTGTCACTAGTTGCGTGCAGTACGGGCGAAGGCAACGCCAGGCGAGGGGAGAAAGGGCAAGCACTAGGGAAGCGGGGGATGGGGAGAGAAACCTCCCCTCTTTAACTTTCAACTTCCCTCTAATGTTGATATGGCAATAAAATTGAGAACTATAGTTACAAATTGATTTATTAAGGTGGCAATTTGGGCCAGCTTGTTCATAATCATAGACAAGTGCCAAAAAAAGAAACGGGGACAAGTTGACGTAAACACTGGCGCGTATGACAAATACTAACCAGTGTTTACACCAACTTCTTGTCCCCATCTTTTTTCGGCGCTTGTCTACGATGAATTATTAAGAACTGGTACAATGAGACTGAGGCTCATAGCGAACACAGGGCCCCAGAACCAAAATACCATGGAGGCCGCCATTTTTAAAAATGGAACAACAAAACCGAAAGATAAAAAGTGGTTAGTTGCCCCATCCGTGGTGAGAGGGCACTTTTACGAGTTTAAATTATTATTTGAGAAACTTTCGCTCTTTTTAGGTTGTTTCATCGTTAATATAATTTAGATTGTTTGAATAATATATCATTAGTTTAGCGTTACAATGCACTTTTATTGGCACAAGGTCCTTGATCACGTGGTTTGCGATTACCACAGGCTTATACTACAGTGGGCAAACTGTATATGATAAGCTGTGATTGTGATTTTAATGATGATGATAGCTGCTTTGAACGCCATATTGCTTCGAAACCGAAACTGCGTCAAACTGCGTTAGATCGCGCCTCATCAAAGCTGAATTGTTGGGACCCGCGTATAACAGGAACTGTAAATTTTATATAGAAAATTTGAAAGAAAAACCTCGTATTATATGCGGGTTTTTATGGGTAAGCGTAACCACCATCAATTCTCGTTTTGTCTCCCCTTAATTTTTTTACTAGTAGCAGGCTGAAATGTTTTATTATCTTTTTGTCGCCTGGCCATACCGGATATGCCTACCAGGCGGCTGGGGATGAGAGTACAGACAAAGTCTATTCGCGACTTGGACACAAATATCATGAATGAGGAGAAGGAGAGGCAGGCCCCACACTCACAGTGCATAGATCTTGCCGGTCCATTCAGCCAGCAGGTTGGGGAAGCGGACAATCAAATCTCCCATGGCAAACACCAGGTTGGAGCGGATCACCGGCTCCGACGACTTGTCCAGGATGGTGAACAGCAGCGGGAGGTGCTCGTCACAAAACCCCTCACTGCGGCGTTGAGAAGCAAGGCCCGCTCTCATTCTTTGCACTTCGCGCATACAGTCAGATCTCGTTATTGCAAACGTCATTATAACAAATTTTTAGGGTTCACAAACATTTTAAAAATTGCCTTCTAAATACCTATTAGTTTCAAGGTAAAAATATTTCAGTACTACAAATTTAAAAATACAGAATATTTCAGAATAACGCACATAATTTAAATGCTCTTGTATGCGAACAACGCCTCAGTTTTACAAATTTATATTGAAAAGAAAAAAGAAACTGACAAAAGCAAGAGACATTTTAAGTGATGACGTCACCATATGGCACTCTGCTCCAGACAAGCCGTTGCTAGGGCCGTTGTTATGGACAAAGACATTGGGGCTCGACGTGAGCTTTGAAACTGTGATACAAAAGTAAATAATGTTTTTTTAAGCATTGTGTCTTCTCAATATCTAATCATGAAGACTTTTTCTATCGTCTCAGTACCATAAAGCAATGACGAAAGTCCGTAATGAAGTCTCATAATCGGTTTTGCCTTGCTAGCAGACGACACTATGGCTTCGCGGGTTCAGTGTTTTTTTCTGAGGAAGCAGCTTTGATCAACCATCATCATCATCATCGAAGACCGACCCGGGAAACAAATGTGCAATTAGCCACCTAACATCGCATTCCTCTTCTTCACGCGGGCTGTTCCGCATCAGCAAGTTGCACATATTCCTTGGAAGGTGTGACAATGCGAGCGGGCTGTCCACAAGAAGGTGGACGACATTAAATTGTTCGTCCTGCAGCGTTTGTGCTGCACCAACCAGAAGATCTCGGATTTCTTTCATTAACCGTGCCATGTTCAACCGCGTGAGTGGTGCCAGTTTCACCGTAAATGTCAGGTCGTTCTTCCTGTAGTATTTGTGCTCAGCCATTTCTTTCAAAGTGTAGTCTTCAATCACGTGTAGCGTTTTCTTTATTATTATTTTTTTTATAAAATTGAGTGTTTCGATTTTACTATACATGCTTTGCACCGATGTCACATCATCCATTCTGCACCACCACTAGATAGAAAGACGGATAAGCTGCTTTTGTGAAAATCTTGAGCGACCGGTTAATTTTCGATAATCTTCTAGAGGGAGAATAGCGACGTCTGGGACACACGAAAGAGAGTTCTGGTGAGAGGGGAGTTCCTCCTTCCCCTCTTCCCTGGTGGTGGCCGGAGAGCTGACAGAATGACGTCAGGTGCAATGCATGTATTGCGAAGGTACATTATTTTTGCTCAGATTTAATTACAATTTATGAGTTGTTCACTATAACGACATTTCAGAATAACGAAAAATATTTGTGAGTCCGATGAAATTCGTTACATTGAGAATTTACTGTAGTTTGTATGCTGCAAGGAACATTTCCTACAAGACCTAGTTGCCAGAGAAGAAAAAGCCATTGTTTCTGGCATCTGAAATGTGTACATTTTGACAAATAATAAGAAACAAGCAACACGGGGCGCACGCGCTTACTCGTATGGCAAATACCAACTAGCCCAGTTGGTATACGAATGTATAATGAATACCAATTTTTCCAGTTCATCACCTTATTACATTTTGACGAAATTAGGAATAACCAATCAGATGCACATACCAACACATCATAATTCACCATGTACAGTCGAAGCTCGTTATTTCAACTCCCGTTATTTCGATCATCGCGTCAATTCGATCCTTCCATTTAGCACCGTCAGAAATGTACAGGCTTCAATAGGCAGAAAACCCCGGCATTTCGATCTGATAAATATCCCCAACCCGATAATTCGTCCCGGGAGCCAGCATCTTCGTAACCGGGAAATATTTTTAAGCTAACACTACAAGTTTAAAGGTTAAAACGGCACCTCAGAACACAACACGCGTCCCTACCCATATTGGCAAACAGCCGTTGCAGCGAGCCTGCGCCTGATTGCGACACCTCCACAGACGCGCGATGCCCGTCGGCGCCCCCGGCGCCTCGAGCCGGGGCGCGCTCTGTGAAAGAGCGCCCGCGCAGACAGGCGCCCTTTCGCCGGCGCCTCGCGCCGGAGAAAGGGCCAATTTGATTAGTCGAGATAAGACCCAGTCAGAGCGTATCGGCCCGATCACGTGGGGAGGCGCGCGGAAGGAGACGGGAGCAACGAGAGGGAAATGAGTGAGCGATGAAGCGAGAAAGAACATCGGGAGGATGGAGAAGGAGACTGGAGAAAAATGAGCGAGCGATGAAGAGGGACCGTGCTGTCACGCGGTTTCTGTTCTTTGAAGTGCGCTGCGTTTAACGCTCATACCGGAAAATGTCGAAAGAAAAGCAAGGAAAGTACTTTTCGAATGATTTAAAAACAAAAGTTCACATACTCAACGAAGTTAGGGAGGGAAAATTGTCCAGAAAAGAAATTGCCAAAAAGTATGACCTCAAGAAAAGCACGCTTGCTACCTACATTAGGAATGAAGCAGCAATCGTGAAAGCTTTTGAAGAAGAGGAATTTGTATCGGCGTTTTTTTTAAAATAAAACTCCGTCGTCATGGTTAGCTTTTCGCCGCTTCTCGTGACGTACGTCGTTACTCGTTTTTGATCGATATTCGATCATTCGACTCTTCGATAATTCAATCTATTTTCGAGGAACCGTCAGAGTCGCATTAACGAGCTTCGACTGTACATAAAACAAATTGGTAGCACTCTGCAATGAGCCAAACATTTTTTTTACTATGGTCCTCGTGGCAAAAAGGAGTATACCTAGACTTAAATATGTTTCCATTAACATCATTGTTTCACACATCATCATCCTTGTCAGACTAGGAAATTTGATGCACAAGAAAAAGACCCATAATAAGGTGGATAACTGGGCCAGTTGGTTGACGTTATACATGATGGGGAAAACAGCTCAGAAAACACTGACTACGAAGAGGAACACACACGACATTGTCGTGTCGTGTGTGTTCCTCTTCGTAGTCCGTGTTTTCTGAGCTGTTTTCCCCATCATGTATAAAGACCCATCTACAATGCAGCCCAGTTAGAACAAACTGTAGTTCTGTAATTCGTATCGCAGGCCTCCACACAGTGAGCCTCACTCACAACCTGATGGTTTCCCTGTACGTGTTTGTTATGTTTTATATGTATCGATGGCTACCAAGAATCAAAATGCGTTCCAAGTGGTACATCACAACACAGACAAAAAAGAAACACACCACACATACACACACTAACATTATAGACCTTTTCATTTCAGTAGTTGCCTGACCGGCGGGTAGAGGGCGCTGGCGCATTCGCCGCCATTAAGTTGCTTCAATTTGGTCGGTTTCGGTTTCAACGTGCAAGCGATTGTGATGCTGTTTCATGCCACTTTCGATTAATTTTGCGATAAGAATTTCTTTCTGGTAGCACACAGCGAATGAAACAATAGTATTGAGCCACCTGGCAAACCACAGAGTGGTTTCGAGCCTAAATTGCGATCCTTTTTTTACGAACACTATATGCGTCTGATTCCGTCCATCGTTAATTTCGGCCAGGTTCGGCGGTGAAACAACTGCGCTGATGCACAGGGAGGAGCACCCTTGTCCACGGCCGTACCCACGGACACTAATTTTAAGAAGAAAAAAAAAAAGTAAAGAGCAGGACAAACTCCACCTGCAGCGTGCGCTCGTTGCCTGCCGCTGTGCTTAGGCTGTGCGTGCACCGAGCGATACGCAAGGTAGATAGCTCGCGCTCAAGTCAGATATTGAACTGATCATCTTATATTGCAACAGACTATATTGCATGAGTGCTTAGTGAAAAAGCAGGTCGACAACATGATTAACAATCTGCTGAATCACCAAGAACAGATGAACTGACAAGTTTACTGTTCGATGTTTGGTTTCCGTACACCAACCTTTTCTAACTTCGAGACTCGAAACGTCTTTTATAATGACTAGAAAAGTTTCATATAATCACGTAGACAAGGACCTGTGTAGAAAGCTGTTCACTGATTTGAAGCGATGCGCTTTGCACATTTTGACGTCGCTAGCTACTGAAAGTAAATCCCTCTTCGCCGTCGACAACCGGCTGCACTCGGGTGATTTTTATGCAGAAGGATTCTTTTCGGCGCCGCATTTTGTGAATCATAGGCACTATCAAGCTGTCTGTGACAGTTTCTTACGCGGGAAGTTCAAATATTTGTGTTGAAATAAATTAATTGAAACTGCATGGTTCTATTAAAAAATGACTCAAGCAACTGAAACACTATGGACATGGGACCAAGCACGATATACAATTCCGTGGAATTCCTAAGCAAACCGATGAAGCGAATGCTGATATCACACACGCGATTAAGAACGTAAAACAGATATAGGTGTGATATTGCAAACAAACAAGTTGCCTAATGTTAAGGTACCATTGTTCCTAGCATAAAAAATAATTCAAACTAAATGTTTGTTCCCGCGAGTCTTGTCCACAAGTTCCGTGGTATAATCAAAATAAACTGTTTTCGATCTGTTGTAACTACAAAACACCATGTTTTCAAGAAAAACACATGGCTAATTACGCTGAGTGTTTTTCTTTCCTTCCTTGACACCAATGCGCACTCATATATATAAGAACATTGTGTTTCCTATTGCAAATGTTCCGCCCTTATTAGTAATCAAACCTCAGTTCTCATAAGTTATTGGTTTTTGAACCCTCGATATTCAATGTGCGCAAGTGCTAACGCTGATTCCTGTTCCTCTAAAACCTTTTCACACGTATCCCGCACGCCGACGGTAAAAAAAAATATTCAAAACATGTTACAAAATCAACTACAGAAGTTGCGCGCATAATGATGTAATGCAATTGCATGGCAAATATAAGCATCGGAAGGCAATTTACGGAGTAAGGCAACTTGCAAGAGACGCGGTGAAACGCGACGAAAAACACGAATTCAACGCATACGCCAAGGCGCGGACGGGAGAGCGGAGCAACAAGTTGAAGCAACCTAATGGTGGCCGCATCACGTGATTCCAAGATGGCAGCGCCCATGCGGCGGAGGGTGAAAAGGTCTATCGCCGACCGTTTTTCCGGACTCCGATAATTCGGACTTGTTCAATATTTCGGACCTTAAGGAAGAACCGTGCCTTACCCCTTAGAAATAGTGCATATTCACGACCAATGTTTCGGACAGCTTGAAGTCCGAAAGTTCGATTATTCGGACAAAATGGTCGCAAGCGATCAGCGGGAAACACCACCGAAAAGCGGCCATTTTTAATTCTATGTTGGCTGCAAACGGACTGGCTTGGTTTGGCAGCGCTACTTGAGTACTCCCGAGTCCTACCGCTAGGTGACGGTATGCTAGCCCATTTTTTCCATTTAGCTGCACGTCATCATCATTATGCTTTTGTTTCCTTCCATCCCTTCGCGCCTCCGCCCCACTTTCGCGTCGCCAGTCGCCATTTTGCACTTGTGGATTTACGCCTCTCATCTCGTTCGGACAACGCTGGCTTGGACGTCATGGTTTCATCTGTCCTTCTGCCGCCACGATGTATCGTTAAGAAGCGCAGGAAGTACTCGACCATAACGCTAGAGAAGAAGGCAGCGATTCTCAAGCTAACAGAAAGTTGCCGAACGGAAACAGAGGCATAACCTAAAACAAGGCACGCAGGCGTAACCTGAACCAAGGCACTATTTACGGATTTTTTAAGCCCACTTGGAGGCAATAAAGGCAAGTTTTTCAATCTGCTGATTTTTCGGACTGCTCTATTATTCGGACGTTCTTTCGGTCCCTGCGAAGTCCGAATAATCATTAAGCGACTGTAGACATAAAAACACAAAGTAAAAAAAAAAGAAAAAAAAAAAAAGGATCACATATTCTACGAGGTAAAATGAGACAAAGAACACGAGACACAAACAATAAGGAAGGCACAGGCACAGTGCTGTGCCCTCCAAGACCCCAAAAAAGATTGATGAAGCTTTTTTTTTAATTTTATGAAGTGGGGATGACTCGTGCATTAGAGCAGGCATAGATGTCGCTGGGGAATGACAAAGCAGGCATTATCAAGAAACATAGCAGATTTGCATGAAGGTGATGTGGTGGTAGAAATATGTTTATATGTTATTTTGTGACTTTCGTTTCTCTTTCCCTCCCTTGTGTTTTTTCTGGTTCACTAGAAGAAACCTTCAGTTGAAAAACGATGCTATGTCTTCCTTAGATTCCTAACGAGCGTGTTGGTAAGATGTACTAGATAACAGAAAGTATAAAACAGAGAAAGGACGAGAGGACTCGTCTGTGTTTTTTCCTCTCTGTTTTATACTTTCTGTTATCTAGTGTCTTACTTGTGTCTCGTTTTTTTTTTTTGCGCTGTTTCACCTTGAAGATGATCAACCAGCTCACCCAACTTTATGCCTTGTTCAATCACATACCCTACTATAGTTCTGACATTCCAAAGTTTTTAAGATAGCTTAAAGGCATAAGCATGTCAATTGAAGGTGATGAAACACCATTAAACGGGGCTTCTATTCGGGCGAGAGGGGAGGGCTAAGGGCGTCCTCCAACGAAAGACAGCTCCATCGACCTCAAAGAGGTCTCGTAAGTGAATTGCCCTGCACAGGACCACTTCCTGCACAAGTTTAGGTTCTGTCACTACAGTAAAACCTCGTTATAACAAAGTTGAAGGAGCGGTCATAATTGTTTTGTTATAACCATTAGTTTGTTATAGCCAATATCTATTTCTTCCCACTATAGCAAGCAAGGGGAATTATGATTACTTTGTTATATCCATTAGTTTGTTATATCCCATTTTGTTATAACGAGGTTTTACTGTATGTGACGAGCCTTACAAATCACCCTACTCTGCCCGATTCTACAGTTTGCTATAATGCCAAACGTTTTTCTCGCATGACACATAAAACAGCTGGAATGCAATCCCATGATGAGACCACATAACTGAAGAGGTAAACAGAAGAGGTGGGTCAAAAAACAGACCAACGGCTGGAGTTTCGAGGCGACTAGGCAAGAGACCCTTTCGTACTTGATGAGCATCAGCTTGGCCAACGAGAGGGACGCATTGATGCGCACGGGGAGGGAACCGTACACGGAGGGCTTGGAGGCCACTTCCACCACAATCTTGCTCATCATGCCCAGGATGCTGTCCTCTGCAAGGCAACAGTGGCACCAGCGGCATCCATTTAGGTACCATTCTCGAATTCGAGGGGAAAAAAAGATTTCTAACGAATTTCCTTAAAAAGATAAAGACAGAGAACCGCATACTGTAAAATCCCGAGAGATAGCCCACCTAACATCGAGAGCAAATCAGCTGAAAATATGGAGTGGGCTAACTTTTAATGTGCCATCAAGAAAATATTAAAACATTGCTATTTTTAGGTCGTGTCTCTTCCAAGCTTGTTATGGTGGCGAGGGGCAAAAATGCAGATACCTGTACTTTCCAGTCAACAATGTTTGTTTATATCCCGCCATAGTGATTTAGCCGCATTTACGCCGAGGCCATCGATGATCCCAACATTACTATTACTAGAAGTAGGCTATCTTTCGGTGTTTAAAAAAATAGCAAATTAAGCCAAAAATAGGTGTGGGCTATCTTTCGGGGGTAGGACATCTCTCGGGATTTTACGGTAGTAGTTGGCACTATAAAGATTAGCGCGAGCGATCAACAGCAGAAACGGTGAAATCACCGCCTGTGGCGCTGCTTTGTCGCATGCATGCAGAGAGAGAGAGGGCGGTCGGTCCGCTCCCATTTTTCAACCTCAAGGGTGCTTCGGCAGACAGTAATAATGAGCAACTATTTGTTTTTACCAGATCGACACCGTCATCTATGATTCTTGCCAGTTCGCAGGTTCAGATACCACCAGTGATGGCAAAATGGTGAATATACGAAAAATATATTGCGGTGATCTCTCGGGAGAGGGAGTGCTTATGGAATTTTACGGTAGGTAAAAGTGTGCTCAAAGGTTCAATATTCAAGTGAACAACAATTTCGAAAAATAGCTAAAATCCAGAGTAGTGGTAGGCTATGGAGCTAATTATTCTTGTGTTTTTGTTTTATTTTATGTAGTATTTTATGTTCGCGAATGAAATGCTCTCACAGCAAGCCCTAGGCTTGTTTATGAACCCAGTTGCACCAAAATGCATAAATCCCCAAAAATAATTTGTTGAGACAATGTTCTTTTACATAGAGGAATTCACGGTTCCGACTTGAAGCAGTCACTTTTAAGTGCCGTTTAGGCCTAGTGACCCAGAGGTGGATGCTTGCTGAAACAGTCCCTTGCCGTGGGTGCCTGCGCACCGACTGCCTGTGGGAGTGCTTAAATTTGTTCAGGTGCTAGGGGTCACTGCCACTCTTTTGACCCCACCCCTGCCCCCTTGCAAAAGAAAGACAAAAAAGAAAAGACCAAAAGAAGAGATCCACTGACCATGAAGAACGACGTGGTCCAAGATGTGGATGATCCGCTCCGCATCCGAGTCGTCGCTGGCAGGCCCAGAAATCTCATTGTCCGCACTGTCATTTTCTTGCTGCTCCAAAAAAAAAGAAAATAATGAGGAAAGAAATGGTGCATTAGGTCGAATATACACACCTTCCAGAGCTGCTCTGGACCTTAACTCTACCGTAAAGTACCGACCAAGCGCCCACTCAAAATTTAGAGATAACTGCAAGAAAGTGGGGGATGGGTGCATGTCAGGTCACAAATTTTATCTATATTTGTACTGCGGATATTTATTCATGTGTTACGACCTTTAGGGATGGGCGCTCAGTATGGGCGGATGCTCGGTATTTTACGGTAGTGCAAAGCCCAGGCAAGTCCTCAGTTTATTAAATACTAAGGAAACAAGGTGCTTGAAGTATTTAACTTTGAGATAAAGCTAGGGTGACAGGCGTACCGTTTTCGAGGCTCATTGCTGCCATCCCGTCATTTTTTTCTCTTAAAGCCTCATGTCGTGTTTTCATGGGAACATGCTTGCATAGTTGCGAAATGAGTGCTAAGCGAGTTGAAGAAATCTAAAAGAATACATAATACATAATATTTTAAAAATAAACATACAAGTATAAGAAACTTTCAGCCTTTCCACTCTAGTGAAGAAGGAAGACCAGAAATGCTTTACTATGGTGGGAATGAAGTAATGGCCGGCCGGCCGCAAGTCGGCAAGCCAGAGTGGAAAGGCTGGAGAGCTACTGCCATCTATGAGCGAAGGCAAGAACCAGACAACCGGCAAGCCGGTTGTCTGGTTCCTGCCTTCGCACATAGATGGCGATAACTGTCTAGAGTTTCGTGTCATCAATTGTTGGCTGAGAAACACGATACTGGGGAAACTAGCCCTTAACAGCTCCGCTGTAAAATTAAATGTTATCACCCATTGAGTAAATTTAGAGCTCTTTCTGGGGTTCCATCTGTCAATACGTTCTGTTCGCACAAATGTTTATTTTGGGCACTTTTTCTATGCTATTATATTTGGCACGCTTAGGTTTCGTTTAAAAATGAAGAAAGCTGCCCATATACTCAACTAAACAAGGAACTGCACTAGAGATTTCGCAACTTTTTGCGAACCTGCGGTTCGAAGGTCAAACCAGGAGGTCCGAAAGGTTCGCAAAGTTTTGAAACGTAGAACTTGTTACATAAGGGATTTAACGATTTTCAAACTTCTGAATTTTTTGTGTTGAGAAATTCAACTGTTTTCGAACTTCCCATTTATGAAATTCAACATTTTAGAACTTATTACGCTAAGAAATTGTATGATTTACAAACTTTAATATTTGCCGAGTTCGAAAGGTCGACGAACTTCTGAACAAAAATTCGACAAAGTTCGAACCCAGTTCACCTTACAGAGATGTGATTCGTCGAAGCAATTTTGGAGCACATTTCAGAGCAGCCAAAATAGTGTTTGGGAGCAGCAAATGTGGCCTTTGCAGCAACTAAAAGTGTTTTGGAGCAGCAAAAGTGGCTTTTGGAGCAGTCAAGACAGTGTTTCGGAGCAGCAAAAATGGCTTTTGGAGCAGATATTCTTATAAAAATAAAAATTTGTTTTAAGTGCTGTACAAACGAAAAACACTTTGTGTTGTGTTGTGTTGTGTTGTGTTCTGATGTGACGTGTCGTGACTGAACTCGCTGCTTGTGTCTTTACTGCTGAGACATCCCACCAGTGTACAGTGCTGTAGGCATAGAAGAGCAATTCCGAAAAACCACTTGCCACCGTTTTGCTGGTTCCCGAAGTGCCAGATTTTCGTCAAAAGTAAGCAAACAAAAAACAATGGATCACAAGCGTCCCGGCTGGTGCCTCTGTCGTGCAATCATGTTTGCATGCACGTGACGGCAACTTTGGCAGGCTTGCAGTTGCACGTGCTTCGTCGTGCGAGCGGAGACAACGGCTGTTTGTTCGAAACCGAAACCATGCCACTCCGCTCCGTCGCCAACTGATTCCCTAAATTGTATGCGAAATGTAACTGTCGAGCATACGACAAAAAACAGTCCAGCGGCCAAGGAGGTTATAATGGGCAGGAGGTGGCGTCCCTATCCCCAATGCATGGAGCGAAGTGTAACGGAAGTAGGCGTGGCCACGAGCCGCAACGAGCATTTCTTGACCAATGGGAAGCCTAGTGAGTGGGCGCCGCCATTAATTTCGGTGCAAACAACCGCGTTGCGATGACATTTCCGTGGCAACGCGACTGTGTGCACCGAAAGTAATGGCGGCACCCACTGTTATTTGAAACAGCGCTTAACGGGAGACTTTTAAACCGGTATGGTCGGAATTGGATGAGATTATTATAAACGAACGCCTGGTTGCCCAGCAGAAAGTAAGTGACTAGAATTGAGACGCTCTAGACGACGCACCGTGAAGGACTTGGCGGTGCACAACGCATTTTTTAATAAACAGCCGCAGCAGATCGCACGAGCGCGCATGCAAGCCAGGAGCGCACAGAACAACGGGCTCGCGCTTCCAGTTCTGACTTCGCTCGCACATAATGTGAAACTAAGTATAAACACTCACGCTGCAAAGCATTTGCATCGTGGACGCCCACGGCGGACGCCGACCGCATCGAAAGCTAGCCTTGTGAAGCACACGCCGGAGCAGATTTGAAAGCAGACGAACCGCCGGTGCGCTACCCCACGGCCTCGGAACGGGTGCGCAAGGCAGTCTGGGATTAAACGCATCTTCCGGGTTCACTCAGGCTGACGTCATGCCGGGTCCTGTCTGTTTAAACGTCCTTGCCAGCGGCGCATGCTTGCCAGGCCGGCAAACAAGTTCCAAGCTAAACACACACACATACACACACAAAAAAAAAAGAACCCGAGCGCATCGATGCAAGACATCGCGAGCCATGGTCAAAAAGTTCTTGGAGCGCTTTGTGCAACGACTAAACTCGAGAGAAACAAGCGTGCTGTGCGGGTTCAGCGTGCAGACATTGCCTTCCTTGCTTTAGCTTACTTCTCTTCACCAACTTTGTTTTGCGGCAGATTTTTCACAAACCAGGGTCCCTCTAGAAACAAAGGCCACCGAAAGAAACCTAGGTAATCAATACTTCGACACAGCAGTCTGAGTTAAAGAGGGATATTTGTAGTAATGTACCATTTAAACAAGAACAGGAATGTTGACGAACATGCGGTGATACTTAGTTTCATCTTAGAAAGCGCCATATCTGCAGTGACTATGGACGGCAACACCCGACGACGCGCGACCACAGTGACTGGAAAGGCAGGGACCAAATATAGTTTTCACCCAGCCGTTGCTTTCAGGAGCGAGTGCTTCAGCTCACAAACTCCCGCCATGCAAAAACGTGGTTTCGTTTCACAGCATGACGGCATGGCTGGTACCCAGCACACTAGCCTGGGAGCGTCCGCACACACCCGCCCTATCGTTGAAAATATTTTTTTTTAAAAAGACGCGAGACGAGACCCACGAGACGACGAGAGCGCAGAACGCAAGACGGCGGGAAAACCATTCAAGACCGGATGGACAATTGATGCAAGGTACTTTCTGTCGGGTCGCCGCGTGCAACACATAACACGCACATGCTCGATTACGGTATTTAGTTTAGTTTCAATTTTGAAAGGCGACCGAAATTATTTTTTTGCCGCAGGCTTGGTGCAGATTACCCATATTTTGGCAAAATGTAGCAAGGATGTAGCAGGGTTAGCCCCTTGGCACAGTTTGGCGCAATTGGCGCAGCAGTCACATCACTGCCCCTATAGATTTGAGGCAACTAATATAAATAACACAAGATGTCAATGTGTGAGGCGGAGTTGAAATTGAACTCGGAGTCTTACCGTTACCTGATCTTGCTACAAACGATGCGTTTGTAAAACGCTGAATGACCGCTTTGGGGTGACCTCGGCCTCGTACCTCACACCTTTTTCTTTCGACTTCCGCAGAGAGCCTCTCCCACGCACTACTCCGTAGGTTGCTCAGAGATAACCTGTAGGCCATCAGATCCCCGATCTACAGGTTCGAAATTCGACCGAGGCACTTCGCTGGGAGTGTCCTTCATAGCATTAATTGTTTTGAACGCAAGTCCCTCGATTTCCTCGTGTCAAGGAAGGGTGTCATGGACAGCGACACCGATGCGATACGGCAAACGCTGAATCGCCGCTTACTTCCTTATCGTAAGTAACCTGCTGCATTTTAGTGTGGCCGATATCTCCATTCGTTGAAGAAGAAAAATTCCAGGCGGTGGCAACATGGTTAGCCCGATAACTATTGGTTGTGACCTGATCATCTGTATTTGGCAGTGTGGTCCCCTAATTCAGTCCGGTTGCATTCTCCTCAACCCCGACTTGTGTCGGGCGCTGTGCCTGTGTTTTCTCCCCCCCACGGGTTATCCTGCCAAAAATAAACGCCCGGAGCAATTAAAAATTTTCGGGAAGCCTGGATGCCTTTATGTGAATGCGTTGTCCTGCACATTTAGTTGTCTTATGCCAGCGCTGCATTTAGGCAATGCTTGACTGGATTGCTGCTAGCTTGCAAATAAGTGGGAAGTATGTTCACCTGACTGCTTCGGGGCTTTTCGATGAACCACTCAACCAGTTCAATGCTTGTTTCCTAGATACTACAAATGATAAGTGATACAGGTAGCACTATCAGTACCACAGAACTGAGAAGGAAGGAGTTCATAATAGTCTGGGCTACGTTTTTAGTTAAGTTTGTAGCACATTTCACGATTTCTTTAGATGAATTCACGAAAACTTAATTTGAAACTGCCAAATTTGATTTCCATCCGTGAAATTCAGACTTGGAGCTTAAAATCAAAACTTTAGAACTTTTAGAACTTGTACCTTGAATTGAAATATTTGAACTTTTCTAACTTGAACCTTAAATAAATTCGAAATGTTAGAGTTTTTCTAACTATTTGTCAAAAAATTCTATATCCTCAAACTCAAACTTTCAGAATCCTTAATATTTTTTAATTCAAACCTCAGCGGGATTCTAAAGTTGCAAACTTTTCAAATTCGAACCTTAGCGAAATTAGAAAATTTTGACCTTCTAGAACCCAAACTTTAGGAGGTTCGCGGCATCCCTAATTAGTACAGTGAACCAAATAGAAGCAGGGCTCACTTTTTCTTTCAGCCCCGCTTTTGGCTCAACCTTTTTTTTTTAATGTAAAAGTGCCAGCGAGAGTGGCAGGTTGTGGATAAAAATAATAAAGAAAATGAATAATAAACAGAATAAAGGGAAACAAATACAATATTAACGAAAATAAAAAAAATTAGGAAAGAAAAATAAATCAAGTAAAATAAGAAAAATAATAAATTTCAAATAGCATTGATAAATAAAAAAAGAATAAAGTAAAAATTAATTTAAAAATTACAGGAAAACGCTTAAGCTTCACTATTAAGAATGGAACGCGATTGCTAAACATATAAACCCTTGTTCGTTCCCAAGTCATGCAAGTGTGTCTACGTGACCTCATCGGTAGCGTGTCTGGCTTGCAACCGAAGAGTCAGGGGTTCAAATCCCGCCTCCGGCTCAAATTTTTCCTTAAAGGTATTTGAATTACTTTAAAAAGTGAAATCATTTGAGACATGTGGCAATTTTTAATTAGCATTACATGTCATGTTTTAATCACTTTCATTCCACGCGTAATGTCACATTTCACGTGAGCGTTGTGGGTTGTTTGAAAACTCCCGTGTGAGGTCATGTGGCTGCAACGTCATGACCCTATCAACCAATCAGAATTTTCCGTCCCACGCTACCGACGCCAGCTCTTCCGCGACACAAGCTCCTTGACGTTATTGCATTAAAATGATAGGAGAAAACAGATAATAAAAAGATAAACAAATCTTGCACAAACAGCACATGAAGCGCGTGTGGGACCCAAAAAATTGATGTCATATTTTGCTGGGGAGTCTACCAAAGTTGTAATTAACAGCCTGATTATTCTAGTCTGAAAAAGTTGACAACATTTATCCCATTCTGCACTCCTTTGTCAGCATGATCAAGCCTGTACAATTCTTTTGACGCTCTAAACAGACCAGTGAGAGACACGTTGCAGGTCCTATGCTCAGACAGGGCGGCACATACACTGAGGGCCATCCCGGAGCCAGTGGCCGAGAAGGACTTGCGCTTGTTCCTCTTGTTGCTCTTCTCCTTCTCGTCCTTGGCCACCTCGCGGAGGCGCTTCATCTCGGTGTACACGTCCACGTCCAGGTAGATGAGCTGGCGCAGGCCCACGTGCCCCACGCAGGCCAGCAGACGGCACAGGACCACGTCCGGACACCGGACCGACTCCTCATGTCCCCCCGTCGCTGCGTCCGACGCCGCCTCCCCGCTCTCCGTCCCTGCAGAAATGCGAGCGGGTCGTTTGCCACGCGAACCCTACGACGTCGTAAAGGCTGGTTCGAACGTGCGCGTCCGAGCACGAGCGACCGCCTACGACCGCCGACAACAAGGTAACATGCCAGCGTCGCTACAGCCACTAAACAAGCTACGCTTAGAGTATGGCACGCCGTTCCCCAACTATCTAAGAAACCGAGACTAGCAACTTTTACCGCTTTAGCAGAGCGAACGACAGTGAGCAGGCAACTGCCCCTCACCTCCTCTCTGGCATTCGCTTGGCTAAAGTGGAAAGAGTAGGGACTTTGCAGGAGGAGCTCGTCTGGAACTCTTAAACTGTAACGGACCGCAGTGCACAGTGGGTGCAATAGGTGACCGGCGTTTGGCAGCAGCCTCAAAGAACTCTGGGTAATATTCACTTCCGGTTCGTAGCTAGCAGCCGACGCAGCCCCATGGCGGCTACGGAAGCGTGTGCGGGTGTTGAAACCCGATCAATCCGGGCCACCTTCCTCTGCTGCTGGGTGACTTACACACTTCTGAACGTCTCAATTTACTTCTACGGATATGTTAAGTACTAATCGGTACGCAGAAGCATCGAGAACGGCCACGAAAGCGCAGAGCAAGTGCGGCCAGCGGCAAGCTGCACTCGCACCGCGCTTTCCGTATCTTCGCATGAAAACTCAGGTTGGTTGTTTCGTTTTCCTTTTAAGCCAGCGTTTTTCATTTGGGTTCTGTTTATGTTTGGTGGTTGCGTTAGATCACATCACCGACTGAAATAGGCGCGAATGTAAGCCGTAAGACACGGCCAGCTGAAATGCCCGGTCGGAGGACTGGCATACTTTTCTCACTTTGTTAGAACACCTAAGCCTGGGTAAGAAAATCTTCAGGCAATCAAAAGTTTAAGACAGGGAAAGAAGTCGGTCAGACGGCGTTTCAAACTCAGCTAGTATGTTTTCTCGCGCGATTAAAACGCCACTTCCGTGCGAAAGTTAGTTTCGTCGACATCTGACTACGTGACAATCCTTGCTTTTTAACACTCACGCGTTTTTGGTACTTCAACTAAGTTGTCCCCCGTGAACTACAATAACCCTCCGTCCCCCTTCCCCCTTCCCGCACGTTTTTTTTTAATGATGTTGAGTAAGAAAGCATACACAAACGAGCACCGATTTTGATATGAGCTACGCAGGGTCGTGCTACTGCTTTATTATCCGTCAATATGAAGGTGCTGCCCATTTGCTTTTGTTTCTTTATATTACAAAAAGCTAACCTGTCCTTTTGTTTACTTATATTATAGCAAGCCACCCATCCACGCCGCTTCCCGGGAACAGTCTGCAAGGGCTCATCACAGAAAATGTAATCCGAGCTGTCGATGTAACGATTAAACGGCCTGGCAATGGCACTGTATGTTGACGAAACGTCGTGCCATGAACTGATTGCCTGCGAGATCGCATCCCGCGTTCTCGCAGATGCCTTGTACGACAAGCAGTGCTCACCCCTTCGTGGAATAATCGAGACGCTTTTGGTGGGTGCCAAAAGACTGTTAGAGATCGTTATTTCCCGCTGGCCCTACCCGAAGAAAGAGAGAACACGTTGTACTGGCCTGTAACAATATTGGCCGCGCATAAACGGTCACCGACGTTTGCCTGTCACAGGTGATCTCGCTCTTTCACTCGCATAACAGCGACGGCCCATCGTTGCTTCCATGCTTTGTTACACGGGAACTGGAACATCTTATGCCCTCTATGGCTTGCGTTAGAACAACGTACCGCGGAACTGTAAGCCATTTTCACCGCGAATACAGCACGGCCACCACGCCTAGAAGGGCTCTTGATGCAGCTGGACGAACCGGAAGCGTGAAGTCACATGGTGCCTCGCTTCGAATGACGAAACTTCCGGCTCAAACGCCGGTCACCTATTAGCAACAGTTACCATTTGTAAATGCAATGGTGTCGGGAAGTCGGGACCTTAAGCCTGGTTTAATGCCGGAAGCGTTCGAGGGCTATTTGCACGCTGGTGCCGCCTCGCTTCGGCTCCGTGCAATGTGTCTCCGAAAAATGCAACAAGTCGTAACGCAATAGGTCGCACTGAAACGCAAATATCTAAGTAAGAAATATGTTTATTTTAAACTGGTAAAGCACCCCCCCAGACATTCTAAACTACCTTATTTTCGCATGCTCAATATTTCGAGAATTTTATAAAGTGTGAGTTTTGAGAACATTTTGCAGGGACAACATTTCGCGACTGGGGGCGGTAGGCCGAGTCTTGGTTACTCTGGGGAGATCTATCTGCATCATTAATTTCTCGTGAAACTTTTTCATTTTCAAAAGTGACTCTTTAACAAAAATTAAGTTGTTTATAGACTAACTGAACTCCCCGACGTCTGCGGTGGCGCTGCTGTCAGCACGGCACGACTGCAGACGCTTCATCTTGCGGGAATCGTGCAGTGCCCACACTCAGTGTGGGCAAAACAGGCTTGTTAGTAAACGGTGTGTTGGTGTACAGTAATTCATCCTGAGGGATACCTGCAGCTTGAAAATAATTTAGACTCCTGTCCCCCTTCGCCAACATTAACGTCTAAAAACAAGGTTGTGGTCGGCGCTCGGACGCCTCGGAGATAGAGGATTCGCCGCCCCCTACCGGAGCTCGGGGCGTATCCGTTGGGCGCAGCACCGAAGCACTTGGCCGCTATTCCCTGGAGCAGGTCGTTGGCAAACTGGTCTGGGTGGGAGGACAGCTTGTAGACCAGGTTCGTCCCCATCTCCATGGCAGGGCTCCACACCTCGGTGGTCGTGTCCGAGAAAGCTGCCACGGAAGACAAATCGATGTGACCCTGGATCCCCCCTCCATATTGTACCCTCGTCGCCAATGGCCCGAGCAGCTCGAGAAACGCGGGCTGTGGCAACTCCGAAGCATCTTGTTACTGCTCCACAGTCAATAGGACGGCGGCACTAAAATGCCAAAGAACGAATAACGAAGCAAGGTGCATGAACACGGCAGGCCACGCTCTCCGTTTCTTGAGCTCTCCGCAACAATAAAATGAGTCTTCGACTGGTAGATAGTCTAGAAATTTAGACAATGACGGTGATCAAACCTGCCAGTGCATCAACCAGCCAGCACGGTTGTCAAGATATCTTTATACTTTTCACCTTAATTCGAAGTGCAGCCAATGCTGTGAGCCAATAGCAGTACCAACCAAACAGTGTCAAAGCACAACATCGTGGCATACGTCTGTCTTCCTGTATGTGTTCTTTCGTCGCCTAAACCAACTAGGTAAGTGCAATGAATGTCCCGTGAATTGTGCTTTTAGTTTGCGTGTTTGTGGCTGTATGTGTTTGAACTTTTGACTGTGCTCCAACCTCAGATGAAACAACCTATACGGTTAGTAGAAATGCGGTGAAATACCTATTTGTACAATTTTTCTTTCCTCATACTTCTTCTATATTAGGGTCGACCATCAATAAGTTATTTTAAAGCAATATATTTACGGGTGGCACTTTGCAGGGATTCCGGAGATGAAAAAACCCTTCTCTCCCTTCATGGTGCAAGGAGAGAGAAGTCTGGGGTTCAGGGTGCCTAGCAAATCATTATTTTGAAATTCCCTGACTTTTCCGTGTTTTCCCTGACAATTTCAGGTGAAATTCCCTGACCACTCTAGACGCGTTTAAATATGAAAGACCATTACAACACAAGGCATTGAGCATTGAGCACTGCGAGTATAATTTTGTACGTGCTTAATCCAACTTGCATATTCCGAAATATTTGGGCTTGTCCAGTCCGGATTAAATGAGCACTTTTTTGCCGTCGACATTCTCAGTGAAGAAACCACTTCCGGAAACACTATGAAAACACGACACTCAACCACACACGTCAATAACCGAATGGCAGCATGGCTGCCGGATGCACACTTTCGGATTTAGATTGTATTGGTGTCTCAGTCTTTCCCATTTGTTACTAAATCTAGTAACTCTAGCTGGATCTAACCCAGTGACGCACCCTCAATCCAGTCCTATTCAATCCGAGGCTTGGACTGGATTTGTCGGCTGTTCCCTTTCACACTCTACATCGATTGAACAGAGCCCGCGCTCCGCTCTAAGCAGAATGTATTGCCTATTTTTCTTCTCCAAAGTCCTCAAGTCTTTGCTCAGGGCATTCGATGGCGTTTCCGGCTCATTTTCCCTGACTGGGCTCACTTTTTGACAATATCCCTGACAATTCCCGGTTTTTCCGGTTTTCCCGGTCGCTAGACACCCTGGGTGTTCCCATAAGCTGCCAAGGCCATACTCTGTCCCAGGAGTGAGCACGGAAGGAACGGCTGACTTCCACGGCTCGCGACCGACGTCACGCCCACAGTGACCATCAACGAAAGGCCACCAATACGTACCACACGTAGACGCCGACATAACGATCCTGAGATACAACAATGTGAAGTGGAAGCATTTACACGGCGACATGAGGATCCCCAGGTATGCCAGCATGAAGCGAAGGTAACAACTTACAAGACACTGTATGCTACAAGATCCCCAGCTAATGCCTTAATAAAGGGGGAGGCTCGTCTTTAAATGGTAAAATGTTGGGGAGAAGTCATTTTTGATAAAAGGGCTTTTCTGATATTTAGACATACACACCCAGCTCTGTACAAAATAATATTGCACTATCTAATTTTCAAATATAAAAAACATATATGAAGTCTTAATTTTCTATGAACATTCAGTAGAAATACACATACTTCAAGTGCTTTTTTCTCTCTTCACACTTCTTTCACAAGTACTGCTTCCTTACAGAAGTTTTCTGAAGTTTGTCTTGGACAATATTAACACGTCTGGTACCATTTTAATCGGGAAGAATGGAGGTATGCGGTGATGCTATTTTTATAGTCTACCAACTTAAGAGTTCTATCCAATTAATTACTTTCTTAAATAATAAGAAAGCATGTCTTTTACACTAATTACAACCATTTTTTAGTAACATAACTTGCTTAGGTGAGATCTAAAATAGCATCACCACACAAATTACACCTTTGTGAATGCAGTTGCATTAAAGTTTTTGATAGTTTATGAATAATTTTTTATTAACGACCCATAACAAATGACCTAATCAAATTAGATTAATCTCCCACAACTCTGGTTTTAGTAACGATATTCAATATCTGATTGCATATTTGGAATAGGTGTGAGATATGCTATACCAGTGTAAAATTTGATAAGTATTCCTTCATTATAAGAAAATCACCCTAAAGGCCAAGAGACGGCGCCGCGAAGACCCCGAGGTGTGGCAGCGCAAAGCGGTGGTTGTAGTCCTGCGCCACCAAGGCCCTGAAGTATGGCAGTGTGCCATCGTAAGCAACAGATGCCTTTGACAATTGGTTGCCTTTGATTGTTGTCGTAGATAACCTATCATCGAGCACTCGTGGCAGGTTCGTCAGTGGCATCCACGACGACCAATGTGCATTAACCACTCTGCACCTCCGTCCTGAGGTATCGGACGACACCTTTTTGTCCACATAGCGCAAGCACACTACAGCTATCGCTTTTATTTCTTTGCGCATAGTGGGCAAAAAGGGCTGCGTAGCTGTTTATGGCTAGAGTTTCGTGGATTTTTCGTGTGCTGTGACTAAAAACTCTACGCTCGCACCGCTGCATGTGCACCCCTTTACCGTATAAAAGATTCGAAGTAAATAACCAAAATAAAGCGTTGACGCACGCGCGTGCAAGATGCCATTGGTTTTTAGGCTTTTGCTTTAGAACAGTTACTGCTGGAGAAGCTGGCACGTGCGGCGCATGTAACACCATTCCCTGCATTTTCCTTGAAGGTCGGGTAATTTGTCTATTCAGTAGATTAGTCATCAACAGGCATCATTTTCAAGATCAGTAGACTCTCAGGTAGAGGTTTCTCAAAGATTTGCCGCATCGGCCATGTCTTCGCTCGCATCGCCCTCTCTTTGTCGTCGTTCTAAGCGCTTGCATGCCTGATTTCCTTTCCTTCCGCTATCTCGCTGTAGCGGTCCCGTCGCGCTTGTCTACTTACCGCCGGCTCCTCGAGGCGGGTCTGTGTCGAGTGCTAAACAGCTCCCCTGGTCCTCCACCTTCGCGGAGTGGAATGGCTCATGATTTTGTCTGCTTCTTTTCACCTTAGTATTTTTTGCTTTGCTTAAGCCCATCTCAGCACAGGTGTGGCACAATTATTAGCAAAGACAGCACTTTGGTGCAAGATATAGCAAACTTTTGTTCATGGCGCAATTTGGTGCAGCATTTCCATCACTCTAAAAAGCAAAAATACATTAAATGCTTTGCCTCCCATACGGGAGGCTCGTCAGTAGTTACAGAGCAAGTGTACGTCCATCTTAACAGAGTTCAATTTATCTTGAATATCCATGTACCGTAATATCCCGAGAGAGCCCACCTAAAATTGAAAGAAAATCCGGTGAAAATAAGGAGTAGGCTAACTTTCCGTGTGCAATCCAAAAATGTTTTAAAAAATTCAATTTTTATATTTTGCAACCTACGAAACTTGTGATTGCAGGGAGGGGCAAGGAACTAAAGACAACTGTCTTTTCCAGTCAGCAATGTCTGCTTATCTCTCGCCGTGGCTAAGAAACACCATTTCTGCCGATGTCACCATTGGCCAGGGCCCTGCAATTACCAGAAGTGGGCCATCTTTTGGAGTTTTTAAAGGAAGACTATATCGTGCCAAAAATAGGGGTGGGTTATCTTTCGGGGGCGAGATATCTCTCAAGATTTTACCGTATGTTTACACAAATATTCAGGATAAATAGAACTGTGTTGAAATGGATCAGTACACCTGCTCTGTAACTCCTGAAAAATCCCGCATGAGACGCGACATTTAATGAATTTGTTTTGCTTGTAATGTAAAGTCGGCATACCTATTTTAGTTACATTTATTGAGTTGTGCAGATTCAATGTTTCATATCCGGGTTGTTTACAAGCATATTCTGAAAGTTTGCCCAGATTCCTAAAAATTAACTTTTTTGTCAGAACACAGCTTTGGGTACAGATCCAACTGGCGTCGCACTACGCTCGAGGAGGAGGGGGAAATAAGGAGGGAGAGAAGGAAAGAAGGAAGGAGAGCAGGATTAGGGAGGAGGAAGGGCTGAGAAGGAAACTGGGGAGGGCCCCCGGAAAATTTGTTGAGAAAAAAAAAAAAAGAAAGGCTCGAGGTCCACCTAAGCACTTATGAGTTCTGAATGCGAAAGCATGCAAACCGCTCGTCTGCTCCTTTATTTCGTCTGCTGCACACTTTTCGTTGCCGGTCAGCGCACGCGCTCTTCTCGGTGCGCTGACCGCTGACGCTCCGTGTTAACGGCGCACTGACGGACACGCAGTGCCATGGGGGGAGCGGTCGTTGAAACTGACGCGCAGCGGCCAATGGGAGCCTCGTCGACGTGCGCCAGCCAATGGGAGTGAAGCCGAAATTCATCAGCTTTACTCCGCTCCTTTGGGATCGGGAAAACTAGGTGCCGTTGTCTATGCTTTTCGCGTGGTTTCATAGCTGGGAGCTGGCTTTACTTGGAGAAAAGATTTACGCTGCCATTTGGCGCGGCTCACTCCATGGCACCCCCAGTTAATGCTTTCGCATTAAAAAGAGGGAACTTGCCGTTGGGGAGGTCCCCCGTGATTTTTTTGTGGGGAAGCAGACGATTTAGAATGAACGCAGTCTTGATGTCGTGTAACGCGCATTGTTAATGTCGATGATGTTGACAATGAGCGTTACACGACATCAAGACTGCGTTAAGTGATCCAACTTAAAACTTATTCTTACTCTCAGAAGCACAGGAGCAATGAGCGTGCACTCTTCACAGTGGGCCTATTTCTCAGGTTTTCAAGAAAATACTAGATTAATGGTTTGGATTTTGTAGAGATGCTTTCTTAGCATTTTGAGTTTGGGTTGTTTTGCTATTTTGTTTCACAATGTGAATTACAATTCTTTCGGGATTGGGTCAATCCTGGGTAAAAATTTGTTTCCCAAACTTATTTGAAAGAGGGTGTTCCTATTCCGCTTACAGATGATCACCACGATGAGCTGAGTCGAGGGTATTAAATATTTTAACCCCACCGATGTTTAGTCGAACATCCAGAAACAGAGTTCATAAACCTGCTAGAATGCGCTAAGCATGTGAAAAGAAGATAAAACATTCAAAATCGTCCGCTTCCCCACAACAAAGTACCCGCTACAAATTGCAGGGGACCTCCCCGACCACAAGTCCTCTTTTTTTTTTTCCAACAAATTTTATGGGCGCTTTTTCCCAGTTTCCCCCTTTTTCTCTAAACCCCTTCCTCCTTTCCTCCTCTCCCTCCTCCTCCTTGAGCGTAGAGCGACGCCAGATGCATCTATACCCAGTTTTGCCCCAGTGTTACTTTGAATCTAGAATTTCGATCTGAATACTTTCTTCAAGGTTAAATACTGTAGAACCTCCTTGAAATGTTTTTCAGAGGACCGGGAAAAAAAACGTATGATCTGGGAAAACGTAAGAAGTGAGAATGCCATCCGGGGGTCTCTAGAGATGCGACAGTTTGTAATCATTCGTAGGTGTAAACATACCGTAAAAATTTGTGGGCGTGATCTCAAATACATTGAGAAAAAGTTTGCAAACATTCGTTGGTCTGAACTCGAATATGTTGAAAAAAAGCTTGCAATTTCCACCTGGCGCTTTGGATGACTGAAAAGCGGGTGAGGGAGGAAGTCTTGGGCTTGCGGAGGAAAGTTTGCCAATGTTCTTGTCAGTTCGTCCCCGCACAGTTGAACACAACACTCGAGTATGCCGAAGCCGCAAAAGAGGTTTTGCCGGAGTCTGTAGTGCACTTGCAGAAGAGTGTGGCATTCGAGACCAGTTTGGACATTCTTTACACAGACCCGGAGGAGTACCAGAACCTGCAGCGTGTCAGCTGGGCAATTGCAGCGTCTCTCACCATGAACCCCGCGACAACGTGGACTAGCAAACAAACAAAAATAGAACAAAGAACAACGGTGCACAATCTTCGTGCTGCTCGTTCAAAGAAAAAAAATTTGTTGCCAAGTAAAACATATTTGAAGTAAAAATGCCGCAAGTGAAAGGCACTTGGCTTTTTCGGTTTGCGTATTTTACGGCATTTTGGCGGGGGTTGAGTCAAAAAGCATTTTGTCTGGCAAGAACACACCTTTTCTTTTTTTATGGCGCATTGTTTCCTTTTGCCCATTTTATTCGATTGCCAGTTCGTTTTGTCATGCGATTCTTGGTTTCACATGCAAAGAAAGCTGCAGGTACTGCTCCCAGCTAACGCACTGCAGGTTCCAGTACTCCTCCAGGTCGGTGTCAATATGCTTCTGTCGAAGGTCTAATATGGCGTGCTCTGTCCTACACATCCATTCAGCCTCCCATCCGGCAAGACCTGAGGCTGATGTTTACGGAGTGTGCCGATTGAACTTGCGACGATGATGCCACGCTTTTGTCGCTCGAGTCCAATTAGCACGCTCCACCAACTTTCGGCCCAAACTTTTTGTTTGACGAGCCCCGAGATGCAACAAGGTTGTGCAAAACCTTTTTGCACCTGTGGTGTATTCAAGTGCACAAGGACACGGGCAAACGCCCCTTTCTACTACGACCCTTCTCGAGACGGAACACACTCGTGTTATGTCTTGGGACAGCAAAGGTGCTTCGCGCCAAGCCTTTCACGGTGTTCTGTCTCGCGGCACGTAAGAGCAGCATACAACAGTTCTTTTTCATATGAAAGAAACACTGAAGCGGTTGTGAATTTGAGGAAAAACACATAAATCGTCTTCATTTCGCCTCTAGGATCCCGAATATTGAGATCATTTTTCAATGTGGTGCATGGAGGCTGCAGAAAACCTTTTCAAAGTACCGCGAAGCCCCTCCCTCCTCCCCGGAGCATGACGTCATACCCAGATTTTTGAAATCTCCGCTCTCGCGCACCTTCAGCTCCTATCAAAGCTATGCACACACACCCTCCCTACTTTCAAAAAGGTCAGGAGAAGACGTCACGACTGGTGCCCATGCGCGAGAATATACCTGGCAAGCTTGCAATTGCATGCGCTGGCCCCACGAGCAACACGCGGTTGGCGGCCAAAAGATCTGGGTACGACGTAACGACTGGTCAAAGGTGTATCGTGTTTTCTCGAGTTTAGCTACATCTTCCGGGAAAACAAACTTGATATTCACATTCACGGGATAAAAATACTCTAGAATTCACCTCCACCTTCTTTTTACAACCTCTTCAGTTTCCCTTCAATGCGATAGTGACCCGAGAGTAGTGACAGACATCACATTAGCTCTTGAAAGGTGGTGCCACTGTGCAGTCGCCTAGAGGCTTCGTCGGTTCTCGCTCTCCTCCTACGTGTGAATGCGGACGTGTCGTCACGAGATCAATCCGTCTGCGAATCGGTCCACAGTGTCAATCGGCCGGCACCATGTCGGCTACTTTTCAGACGTCAGAACCAGGAAAGCAAACGCACTGAGAGGGAAATTAATCTGTGTTTCTATGCGACCTCGGCTTCTGAATGCAAAAGCCAGGAAAATGCGAAAGCCAGGAAGCTCGTTCGATTCACTGGTGAAGACATTAAAACTCACCTGCTTGTGCATATATCACTATCACAATACAGATACGCAGGCTTATCAGTGCAGTTTTGACACGTCAACTGTCCAATGTTTTGGGTGCGACTTACACAAAGGTGCGACTGGTACCAACACTTTGTGAATGTTTTTGCTTATACAACAATGCGACTTGTAGCCCAGGAAATGCTATATGCGTGTGAAATGTGTACGTATTGATAAAATAATGAGTAACTGGCCTTAAATTCACGTACCACATTCACCACATAGAAGGAGAAACGAATAATGCTCCAAGAAATGCCAAGCTTTTTTTTACTGTAGTTCTCGAGGTAAAAATGAGTATGGAAGTGTGCGTCAACAAATCAAAATGATAACTGTCCTATTTATTTAATGCATTAACTTGGATTTACAGATGACCAATGAAGTTACTATAAAGTAATTGAACATTAAATGTGACGGCAGGTTACAATAGCACCAAAATATTGCCTCGTTGACACTTATGACTACTGGCACCCCCTGGCACCATGTCTGTATCTACTATTTCAAGCCACTGATTAGACAAAACGTAATTTAGAAGGAAAAAATCAATTGCATGACATGCTAAAGTAGTTTTTTTTTTTTTTTTTAGTTTTGTTAAAGTGTTAGATGCCCTTTGTTGGTTTGGCATGCAAGACCCCAAGATTTTTAAGCTGGCTTGAATTTAGTTCATTTATGTCTTTTCCATCCAGAACACAAACTTCTCCAAACAAGATCCTTTTTTGTTTTGCCGCCAAACATTGCCATTTTTGTTTCACAGTCCTGTCCTGAGCAGAACGTTCCTTTCTCAAACAGGGCAAATTAGGTGATACAAGTCACTAGAAACAAGCTGAATATGGCACATGTACGAGAGATGAAGTAGGCTTTTCAAAAGAATAAATAGTGGGAGTGACCTACTTTCCAGAAGAACTTCTTTCAGCTTGACAAAGATGTCACTTGTCGGTTCAAGCCGAGGCGGTGGATCTTTTGCAGACTGCGAGAGAAACAACAAAATTGTCTCATTGATAAGAGCCTGGATTTTTGCAAAAGCATTCAAGCACAGCAGTTTTCTTCCCATATATAACAATATCCTTCAAAGTCAGATAAAAAGAATTGCTGACACGCCGTCCGAGCTGGAAAAAACGCTCGTAGCCTCGATCGCAAGGCGATCGAGGCTACGAGCGGTGCCTCACAGACTCCTTGGGGAAGAGACCACACAGGGCTCAAACAACCCCACCAAGATACTAGGAAGGTTTAGGAGAGCACACCCAAGAGCTCTGCGTGCCCAAAGAAATACTGTCGTCACCACCGTGCATGAACCAAACCCAAACCGCATTTTAGGTGCGCACGCTATACCATCTTAGAAATACCGTGGCTACCCAACCCCGCCCCAAAGCGCTGCTCTCGCGAGGTGCAAAAAGCTGGGAGAGGGCTAAAGCCAAGATTAGACATGCTCAAAAATCTTGGCTTCCAAGACCGCAGCTGTGGTGAGTATGAAGTCAGCGGCGTCCTTGTGGCTACAATTTTTATCACAGGACAACATTGGTCTCCCATGGAAGGCGCGTGCCACAAATGTTTCGAAGACCTAGCAAAAGGAGCCAGCGACTGCTGGCAACTTGGTGCTTGAGAAGGGCAAAACGCTTCTCGGCAAAGGTTGCTACGAGAGAGTTCCCTTGCCGGGACAACGCAAGCACACTGGCGGGCGTGACTGGTCAACCACTCGCTCCTTATTCTCATATTTAGGAAAATTTAAAGTGTTACTCAAGTCGCTGTGAAAAACAGAAAATAGAAGGAGCGGAAGTGTTGTTTCATGCAACAGTGATGATGACAATGTGTGGCAAATGGCAAAAACTAGCTAGCGCCATCTTGTAGCGCTTTGCGGGACTAGGCCCTTGGTGACGGACGAAACTTTCACTTAAAGGACACATGCCGAAGAAAAAAAACTTTTTAAGGGGGGGCACGGCCTTAAAATCACAATTTTTTGAAAAAGTCATGTTTCTGAAAAATAGTCTTATCAGCTTGTATAACTCTCAAAGAATGATGTCAAAAAGTTTTATTCCTGTAGATCCAGTATTTACTCTGAAATAAATTATTTCTGATGTACAGGCGGCCCAGCACGCTTCATAAAAACGCGCGCGGTCACACCGATTTGCCATTCTCAAAGTGCGCTCGCTCCGCGTTCATTAGGTCTAGCACAGACAGGCACCCCTCATTAGAAAAAGTGCTTAGCCCTCCTTCTTTTGGTATAGAGCTCCTCGCGAGATGTTGTGTGCACTAGACGTGAAACCGCATAGAAAACAACACCGCACGCCCTCTTATTGGCCACACTGGTGAATAAGGAACTCCGATTCGCTTAAACCTGCCACGTGACACAATACTCCATGCAGCGTGGAGTGTATATGCCAGTCTCCTGCATCAACGCCTTGCCTGCATTCATACCACCCCCCGACAAGGAGCCAATTCATTTCGTTTGTTCCACTGGGATGGAGTCCTGGTGCCACTTGAACCGAAGCAAGGCTCTCAAGGAAGCGAGAGAATCACCTGCATCTCGGCCACATAAGCCAGCTTTTACAAGGAGATAGCGAAGGAGCTAGTATTCTTGTACAACCGCCTGTCACGGAATGATTTTCTTGAAAGATGTTCCCAGATGAAAACCCGGAACGGGAACGATTCTTTCAACGCCTTGCTTTGGAAGAGGTGCCCAAAGGTCGCTTATCTAAGTACTGTCGAGTGTGCTGCGACTCTTGCAGTCTTCAACCTGGGTCCTCTAGGCTTTGAGAAAGTTATTTTGGAGATGGGCATTGAGCAAGGGAGCCACCAGACATCACAGGCCATGAAGGTCACTCGGACAAAGGTCGCAAAGGCCCAAGTAAAGGCACTGAGGCATTGCGCAAAAGACAAAAGATGGAAGCTGTGGCCAAAGCACAGAAGAACGATGCAGAGGAGAGACTGCCGTACGCTCCTGGTGCATTTTAGGTCAAGTGGCAAGTGCCATCGAAAGTGGAACACAATATAGATTTTAAAACGCGTTTTCCTCAGCTTCATGTTTTGACCATTTTTTCATTGCTCAAAAACTATCATTCGATGACTGAAGTACCTTCGTAACTGCTGTGCGGTTTTTCTGGAGTGATATTTACTGGAGAACTCGACTATGTGCTTACTTTTTCAAGATTGCTATTTCTTTAACAAGAAAATGTCAACTTCTGTAACAGTAAAAATATGAATGAAATTAACCTTTTTTTCAAAGTTTACTTTAACGCTAAATATGGCGCTTAAAGTTATTCAAAACCCACTACCGATTAGTCTAGTCACTCGTCCTTATATCCAAGGAAACAAATTGTGACATTTTGGTACTGTTTTGTAACAATAGTTTTTTTCCCTAGGCACAACTAGCTGCATAGTATTTTTGACATATAAGGCTGTAACTTGGCACGAAATTGACGTTTTCAGCTGAAAGTTGGTGTAGCCTCCCAAGTTTGCATGCCTAGTATACCCTGCCAATTTCATTGAAATAGCACTAGTACTTAAAAAGTAGACCCTCCAAGGGAGTGCCTCCCCTTAAAACAGCTTAGATGGAAAAAGGATGTCATAAAACAATTTTACAACGAAGAAAACAAATTTTTAGAGCTATATTTACAGCGCTATACGAATTTGTAGTTGGCGCCCGCGGGCGCCGCGGAAAAATGGCCCTTATTTGTCATGTGGTGCTTGCACTCTTTCGGAAGCTTCCTTTGGCCTCCAAAAGTACCTTATCCATCTTTGTTTGAAGTATACAAAAAAACTAAGATTAATAAGTAACTTTTAGAGCCCAAAGGAAACTCCTGAAAAAGCGCAAGCAGACGCGACAGACCTGTGCGCAGGTCAGATGACAGCAGCGGCGCCCCGAAGGAGACGAACTTGTGCGGCGGCGGCGACAGCGGCGGCATGACTTTGCTCCCCCCCTTCCCCTTCCTTCCCCTCCCTCCCTCCCTCCCTTAAATCCGCCCATGGTGTCGCTGCAAAACAGCTTGGTAGTGCTCAGACTTGTGCATAACATTACATTCACAATGAAGTAAAAGTGCTGAATTTTTTCTCAGAAAGCAATAGTTTTCTAAAAGTCGGTTCAATCTGGCCAAGAGCCTGTGTGACAGGGTACAGATGAACTGCGGGGACAAGCCTGCACACAAACAAGAAGTAATCTACAGAAGGACCATGCCTGACGCATCTTAATTAACAGCTCTGATCTGTCAAAAAGCAGCAACCATGCACCAGGGGTGGAACTGAGGGGGATCGGTGGCTGAGTGGTCTAGCGCACACCAGCTCTGAGAACGTGAAGCGAAAGCTCGCGCAGCAGAACCCAGGAATCCTAGGTTCAATCCCCACCCCTGCCCGTTTCGATTTCGATGATACATGACCGGCGTGCGGTCATGTAACACTACTGCGTGATGCACGTTAAAGACCCCATGCTAGCGGTTGTACTGCACTGGCTAAATTGCTCATCTACAGCTGGGAGACTCGTCGCCCATTGAGGCAGACCAAGTTCTAGGCTGTATAAACATACACACAACCCAATTATTGGTGAAACTGGTAAGTGGTGATTTGGAGCAGCTCTTGTAGCAGGGAACAATGGGTTTCGAAGCAGATTGACACTTTTGGAACACACAATTTTCAGCTTTCGTGTCAGAACAGTTCATACAATCTCTTTGAGAGTTAGCCTGCGGAAAAAACTGCAATTGTTGGGAGCGTTGGGAAACTATTTAAAGTGTCATACCTACAAGACTTATATGTCTCATTGTTGACTCGACCTTCACAAAACACATCGGCGACCTTGAAAGGTACCAATGAAACGGCACCAAAAGTGTGTCATCAGACAGCGCGCTGTCTTCAAAGGTTCACTGTCACCGGGACCACAGCCAACGCCACGATCCGAGTGAGCCAATGAAATGGCGCCAAAAGTGCGTCGTCAGAGGGCCCGCAGACTTTGGAGGTCCGCTATCCCGTTTACGTGACCACTCAGGCGAATTAGACGCAAATGAAATTAAGAAGGATAACAAAGCAAATTTAGAGGAATCAGAATTAAGTAAACCATGTGCCTGTCTTTAATGCATCGGCGCTTGGGCTTTCGCCTTCAAGTCGTCTTAGGGACAACATAAGAGACCCTGTAAATTTTTTTATTTATTGAACAACCACACGCAGGTAATTTTGCAGATGTCTCAATTAACCTATTAGGAATGCTGATGGCGTCTTTGGTGTGTGTTTGACGTAAAAACGTTCAGCCTTTCCACTCTCGTGAAGAAAAAAGACCAGTGGAGCTGTACTCGATACACTGCCGCAACGCACACGCGCCCGTTTCCCGCTTCTTCTCGTCTGACACGCCGCCGATCGTGCATACGTTTCCGGCGACCCAGAGTGGGTCGCACACGGCACATGTGACGCCAAACGCGTAATCCACGAACTCCCTCCAGAACATCGCCGTCGCGCCCGGGAACTGTTCAGCCGGCGTGGAGTGCAGTCGTCGCCGGGCCTCGCGCTTTGCGCTTGGCCTCCATGGCACGATTGTTGTCCGTGGCGTTGGCTTACTGGTGCTCTTTACATCGCTGGTTCTGTTCTCGGCGGCGGCTTTCCAGGCGAGCGATGTGCTCTTCTTTGGCAAGGGAATCTGAAGCGCTTGACGCAGTGGAAATCGAGGCGACAGCGGCTTTGCGGCGGTTACGGACCCATTCGCGCTGCTGCGTACGTCACCGCTCCTTTCGCAGCCAGTCTTCTTTCCCCGAAAGGGCGCGCGGCCGACCTGTCCTAAGAAACGCGCGTGACGAGCGCTGCGCTCATTACATGTGCTTCTTTTTTGTTGTCTGTTTTTCGCATTGTTTCCCACGATGAATTCCCACAAACGTGCTGCCCAACTGTCCATTCTTCTATGATAGCTGGAAAGGTTGGCGCCATCTACCAGCGACGGCGGCAACCATACTGGTTGTGTGCTAGCCGCCGTCGCTTATAGATGGCGGTAGCTGCCCAGAGGCGTTTTTGTCGACAAGTGCTTTGTACCGGACACGATCCCCGGGAACCTAGCCCTTAACAGCTCCGCTGTAAAAGATGTTGTAATGCGAAAGCATTAACTGTCCCATGGAGCGAGCCGACGTCATCAGTTTGAAGCGCGCCAAACGGCACCTCAAATCCTTTCTCCAGGTGCAGCCAGCTCCCAGCTATAAAACCATGCGAAAAGCCTAGACAACGGCACCTAGTTTCCCCGATCCCAAAGGAGCAGAGTAAAGCTGATGGATTTGGCCTTCAGTCTCATCGCCTAGCGCGCGTCGACGAGGCTCCCATTGGCCGCTGCGCGCGTCAGTTTCAACGACCGCCACCCCATGGTGTCGCGTGTTCGCGCCACGAGCGAGCCTGTAACACGAAGCGTCCAAGGTCAGAGCTGCGAGGAGAGCTGGGAGCTGCAAAAAGAGCTGCGTCGGCCGCGCACGCACGGCCGACGCAAATGGCTGCGCATGCACGGCCGACGCAAATGCGTCGCAAACTAAACACTGGAGCGGAAGAATGACATGCATGCTTTTGAATTCACAACTCATAAGAAGTGCTTAGGTGTACTTTGAGCCTTTTCAGCTACTCTGTATGGTTTGTATCACGGTGACGCAATTGTCGCGAGTTCGACATCAAACAGACACTGCTGTGTTGAATGTGCCTCACGCTGCTATTGCTCATCATGCACCAGTTACTCTTCATAGAGCAGCTAAGCTACTCTAATTGATTGCAACGAATAGCACTAGCGATTTGTTGTTATCGATGTCAGCACCGTTTGCACAAAAAATTATAACTCTTCATTTGGCATGTGCAATTAATGGATTTTGGGTTTGAAGCAAACTCAAAGTGAATAGTGGTTTTGGCCTAATATTTTTGAAGCACTACTGTTTCACTACTGTTTCACCATGCTTAAACGAAAATTCAGCAGAACACACAAAGGTGGTTCCCCAGCTTTTTGCTGGGGAACCACCTTTGTGAGCTCTGTTAAATTTAATCACTCTATTTATTGACTGTGGCCTCAGAAAGTCCAATAGCTACATTGGAATGGCAAGTAAACAGCAAATTTGACACAAAATTAAATCTATAAGAGAGACACGAATACTTGAAAGGGTAAAACATTGAGGACGTGGTCAAAAACAGGAGTTCTTGAAAGAAGTCCCGTTTCCGTCCCCGTCCTCCATGTTTTATCCTTTCAAGTATTCGTATCTACTTACCAACACACTAGTTTTCAATTATTACTATAAAAGAGCCAAGCCAAACATAAATGAGGGGATTTGTGAATCTTCTTGCTATATGCAAATATTTTCTTCGATTCTGAATTTAAAAATAAAGAAGCCCAAATAATGAACACAGGCTGTTAGAACATCGCTGCCTAACATATATAGATTTGCATAATAGCCACAGTTAAATTTTGAAGATTTTACTGCAATGTAAAAACCAACAATCACAATGTTTATTTTTTGTTTTGTTTATTAGGCGCGCGCGTGTACCACATCCCAATGAAGGTATGTTTTTCGCCTAAGCGTGCAGCTGCGCAAGGGCGAAGCGAGCCCCGAAATTGCAGTGTCAGCTATGCGGGTAATGTTTCTCCGCAGTGCATTAATGCTTAAGGAGAAGCACACTCAAGGGCGCAAACCCGCCGTGATCAACACTTCGAAAAGTATGAATATCGCAGTTCATTTTGAAGCGAATATCAAATAGCGTACTATAATAAAACTACTATTCGAAAATTTGAATATTCGCACAACCCTACTCTTTGCACATGGTACTTAGGCATCCAAAAAAAAAAACAGCTGTACTTTCTTCATTTTCACTGGCATTGCCAACAATGCCACATGCCAGACGCTTTCAGTTTCCACTTCGAGAACAGCTCTTGTTTGGCGCAGACATGGCGCAAATTGAGCAAAAATACAGGTTTTGGAGCAGCACGTAACAGGTTATTCGTTCTAGGGCAGTTTGGCGCAAATGGCGCAGCAGTTCCGCCACTGCCTGCCAGATACCTAAAAATGTTGGGTGGAGATGAGTTTTCGTGTACAATTTCTATTGTTTTATTTTGTCTGCACGAGCTCAAACGCTAGCAGTTCCTACGCTTTCTTAAAAAAAAATACATACTGCTTTTGAAAAAGTTGGTTTCATTTCCAGCGATGCATATCAGGAATCAGTTTTTTTTTAGTGGTTGTTTAAATTTTTCGAAGCACAGTTTGTTTGAAACATGTCATTGCAACAACAGTTATAACAATTAAAATATATAGAGCAAAAAGTGTATTAAAAATAGCTGCCGCGAAGCAAAGCAGAGGTCCCGATTGAGATAGACTGCAACGGAGCGAGCGCTCAGGGAGATCCCAACGTTCGCAACAGTTCGACACGCCCTGCTATGTCTCGTGCCCTGTAGTCTTGCGCTCTTTAGCGAACGTCCAATAGGCTGGATATAAATTATAAAGCAAATCACTATGTCCGGTTCTGTTTACCTCTCTTAGCCACTCTTTTCAGAGGCTGCTTTGTTTCGGGAAGACAAAATCCTATGTCTTTTTGCCCAGTGCTGTTATTGCAGCAATCTGGTACACAACAGGTGAGGCCACCCATTGAAGACCATAAATAAACACTCGATTAAAAGTGTCGGGCAACTAAACCAAAAATTTCAAAACACCGGGCATACAACGCATACCGACTCAGCGGAAAACTGGGGAGAACAACAGGTACCAGCGTTTCGCAACTCCCGGTAAGATCGGTCTTTCGTTCCGTTTTCCGCACACTCCGTCTACTGCGTCTCACGCTCCAACAGGCTCCGAGAAAGTCACACTTATTGCCACTGCGGAAGATGGCACCAGTGAGCAAGACATCAACGGAATGCTCTTTGCGCATACCTTGCACGACACAGGGCCGCTTCGCGCCATCCAGTCTCCATGTGTGTACAGTTTCTTCACACTAACACATCACAACATTCCGCGTTACCAGTGTCTTTGCCACGCCAGTATGGCAAAGAGGCAAACTCTCGACCAGCAAGGATGACCCTCAACTAGGCTTGGAAGGGAATGGGTTTTTGCAGCAATCCGTGAATTCCTCCGTTTCTTCCTCCGGTGCATGCGCACTCTTCTGCCACGCTCTAGTTTCATTATGCGTGACGTTGGAAGTTCGTAGTCGTGTTCCGTGCATGGCGCACCTATGCAACGGGCACGTCGAGCATTCCCGCATGGCACAGGCGTGCGTGCCGAGCTTCGGTGCTTTGCACTGGCGTGCTATACTCAATTTCAACTTACGACGGACTGCGGCGGACGTTACGAGCCATCTTAGTCAATCCGGTGCACCAAACAAATCACTCAACTCCCACCCCGCGCGTTGCTGCGCTCTGGAAGGTCCAGTAAAACTCGCAGAGCACTGGATCTGCTGAGATGAATGGTTGCATCCTCCGCTGTTGGCCACAAGGTGATGAGGAGCGTGGGAGCTGCGGATGGATGCCAGGCAATACCTGCTATCTGGGTTCTCTCAATGGGCTCAGAAAACTTTGGTCGCCCATACAGGTTGTCATTCTTTGACTGCGATTCAAGATCCACCCCAATTTTTAGTAACAGTTCCAAGAAAGATTGATTTGTATTTGAGTAATTATGGTGGCTTTACGCAGCTGTGAAAGTCCACATGAAATGAGGTGCAACCACCCATAGTGCAGAAAAAAACCTTAGAGATATGTGCCTACATCAGACAAACACAGAAACAGATTCACCCATAGTGCAGAAAAAAACCTTAGAGATATGTGCCTACATCAGACAAACACAGAAACAGATTCACCTTGATTTCGTTGGCCAGCTGCATCATGATGCTGCAGGTGTGCTTGCACAGGTTGAGGTCGGCTTTCGCTCGCTCTCCGAGCCCCACCGAAATCAGGATGTCCAGGTTCTTCTTGACAATTTTAACGTCGGCGCTGCAAGCAAGATTCAAACGAGAGTAACCGACATGCATGACACACTACAACCCCCCCCCCCCCCCTCAAAGTATGAGATAAGCAGGTTCAAACAGGGGACAAGCACTAATTTGCATTTTCTGTTTGTGGCTCAGCCTTGAGCACAAAACGTTAGACCTTTGACAATTTGCTTACTTTAGGTGAGACGCGTGTCTTAAAATGATAAAAAGACGTGAATTTGGGTCTTCTCAAAAATCACGTTTGGATTGAATGTAGTCTAAAGTACCTGCCTGCAAAGTCTGAATGTCCTATTCGTATGAAAAAAAAACTATGATTACGATGCCTCCGTAAAGCTCAAATCGAGAGTCCAAGGCAAAAAATAGTCAAACTCCGCGTCCGTGTCGTTTCACGACCGATCGTTAGATTGCGGCCATTTGGCTCTTGTTGGAGAGCTGATCCTTTGTTCTACGTCCTCATGCCACTTACTATCACAACAAACCTGAAGAGCGCCCGCATTCCACGGGTTTTTATGACCGGAATAAGGCCCGCTTCAGACGGGGCAATTTCACCCAGCAACTTGACGTCACAACACCAGCAACACGGGCCGCCCGCGTTCACACGCAGCAACTGAATTGCTACGACTTGCCATCATCATCATTCAATTTGATTTTGTAGTGTGAGCTACACTGGCCGAGGTTGAGCAGTTTTGCGTGGCTCCCAAAGAGCCGTGCTGCACAAGCGCGAGGAGCAGTGACGTCACACGGCGCACAGCTGGCGCACTGGAGCCGCTGCCGCCTCACCGGTCTGTGCATTCCAGAGGAGTGACGTCATAGCCGCGGCAGACGCACTGGCGCCACCGCGTGCCCAGCTGTGCGCCTTCATTGCGCAGTAGTCAATTCTGACGCTGCACCGAAGCCGCTTGATAGCGCCTCTCATTTTGTGCACATAAGCTCACGCTACGTATAACCTGGCATAGCCGAGCTAAGCCACCGCAATTTTTCTTGCACTATCTAGCTGCGCGCTGAAAACATGTTTTTATATGCTTGAATGGTGTTGAGAATACTAACTCATTTTTCTGAAAAGGTTTATTTCCAAAAACGATCCATTTCAAACCAGAACAAAATCTTTAGCTGTCATCATCACCGCCACAAGGGAGTCACGTGAAAATATTGCATCACTGATTGGCTGCAGCCGCTTCATACGTCTTCGAATTGCTCCGAGCTGCTCGCTTGTTCAAGCCGGACCCGATCTCAGCAGTTTGTGCCGATCTAGGGAAAGCTAGGGAACAACCCGCCAGCAACCTCAAAATTGCTAGAAAGGTTGCCCCGTCTGAAGCGGGCCTAACAATTGCTAAGTGGCCCGGGCGCGCATGTCACAGGTACGTCGTGCGGTGCACTCCTGTCATATGCCAAGACGTGCCCCTTTCCGCTTTTGCTCCTTTCCACCTCTCAGCGCATGCACCTCGAGCAGCGAAGCATCGCTTGCTTTGTCTTGACCCGTCTGCTTTGTTTGCTCCGCGGCTCAAAGCACATTGTTTCGTTTACGTTTGCGCGTCAGACTTTGGTTGCTTTTCTCGCTACGAAGTTCCAAGTTTTATTTCGAGCGATCGAAATGCCGGGGGACCCTTGGTTGAAAGAGAGCACACGGCGGACGTTCAGAAGGAAGACGCGACGTGCATGGAACAAGCGGAAGATGTCACCTGCAAATGCACCGCTACGATCTTCGCCCCTGTCGAACTCATTGGATCTGCCGGGAGGATCGGCTAACCTTCCCGATGGCGATGCTGCGGCCTCAAGCTCTGATGCAGAGGGCTCAAGTTTTGCCGGCACAACTCGTGTCGACTTCGCGTACTACTCTATGGCCAAGCAGGCGCAGCGCGCCGAGCGATCAAAGCAATGCAAGCACGTCTCATCGGGAAAATCGACGACCCAGCGCAAGTTTGATCTGCTTGAGGTCAACGCAGAATGCCAGACAAGCGATGCCGGGACCCAGTTCGTCATCAACGATGTGAAAGTCCTGAACGACCTCTTGGCGCACGTGAAGTGTGGAAGCTGTGGTGCGGGAGCCCTCACGCTCAGCAAGGCCGCAAACAAGGAGTATGGCTTGGCCGTCAAGCGTGTGCTCGTCTGCAACACTTGCAACTTCCAGAAGAGCAGTTTTCTCCCACAGTTGCTGGACCTTGAAACTCTCGCTCACCCCTCCCGTTGTCCAAAGTTGTCAACTTTGGACAACTTTTCAAGCAATTTTTTGCACATATCAGTCACTCTTTACCATTTTTGCAATGTTCCAAGGAGCCTGTTTCCCGCGATCGTTCGGATGACTTCTTCCTTGACATTGCGTCATCAGCTGGTCTCACGCAGGCGTGCACTGCATCGACGTACTCAACTCGCGACGGAACTTCCAGCTTTCTAGACCTTCTCTTCGTGGCAGACCCAACCCGAATAGTTTCCTGCGAGACTTCTGAAGGACTGCCCGGTAGCGATCACCTGGCGATCGAGGTGATGTACGCCGCTGCGCTGCCACGTAAGGGGCACCATGCACGCACACTATGGAAGTTCGACCAGGCCGACCACGGCCACCTAGCACGCCTGGCACTCCTAGCACCTTGGTGCATGACGACGACTGGCGATGACCCCCTTGGTAATTTCGATCTGTGGTGCGACCTGGCGGGAGCAATTCAGAAGGAGTGTGTCCCCTTCCGCACCCGCTCCTCGGGACGAAAATATTGCCCATGGATCACCCCCGACATAATGAAGGCAGCAAGAGTAAAGAGGGGACTCTTCAGGAAGGCCTCCCGCTCCAACTGTCCCATGGCTTTACGCGCTGCAAAAGACCACCAGCGCGCTCTAAAGGCTACCATACATCTCGCACACCAGCGCTACACCTCCACGATAGCACAAAAAGCAAAGGACGACCCTAAGGTCTTCTGGTCGTACGTAAGTCGCCTCAGAAGGCCTTGCCAACGTCCCAGCTTCAGCGCCAACGGAAGAACGATCGATTCCCCCGGTGAGATTGCTGCACTCTTCGCAGACCACTTCTCGTCTGTCTACGACACCAACGGACAGCGGCTGTCTGTGCATTCCGCTGCTTTCGCACCATCATCATCTGGCACCGATGCATCGAGCCTGGAGGAGATCACTTTCTCAACGGGAGCTCTGAGCATTGCGGTGTCCAAGATCAAGCATTCGCAATGTCCTGGCCCAGATGGTGTGGCACCTGCCTTTTTCAGGATGATCACGCAGCACACTTTGTCCTCGCTCGCCCGTGTGCTTCAGTCTTTTCGACGTGGGAGCTGTTCCTGCTTCCTGGCGACACGCCTTGGTTACCCCTATCCACAAGGGAAAAGGAAAGCCTACGGACGACGTCACGCATTATCGTTCGGTTTCAATAACATCGATCATCTGCCGCACATTAGAACGCGTGACCGGCCAACTTCTCGACTTTTTTGAGGGCACTGGCTACTTATCGCAGTCACAGCATGGTTTCAGACACAACCGTAGCTGTGAGACGGCCCTGGCGACCCTGAGCCATTTCGTAAGCAACTGCATCGACAATCGCACAGGGATAGATCTCATTCAGCATGATCTCAGCAACGCGTTCGACACCCTCGACATCGGTCTCCTGCTACGCAAGGTGTAGGGTGCCGGCATACAAGGTTTCCAGCTGAAGTGGCTGTCAAACTTTCTGAGCAGAAGAAGCCAACAAGTCGTTTAATGAGGTGTGCGCTCGGCTGCGATGAATGTTCCCTCCAGTGTGCCACAAGGGTCGGTCCTGGGTCCTACATTATTTTTAATCTACAGTGGAATCTCATTAATTCGAACTCGAGGGGGACCGAAAATTTGTTTGAATAAAGCAAAGTTTGAATTACCGGGAGTTTTCTCCCATAGAGGCGCATAGGACGGGACCTGCATGTTAGTTTGAATTATCCAGAAGTTTGAATTAAAAGAGTTTGAATTAACGAGATTTGACTGTACGTCAATGACATGCCCCGGGACGACAGGTTCCCTCTCGTCCAGTACGCAGACGACATGCCAATATTGGCCCCACTCACTTCCCCCGACACCTGCCTCCTCCTCCAAGACTACATCAACAACATAAAGTGCTGGGCGACTGACAATCACCTGCGGCTTAGCCCCGCGAAAAGTGCCGTGAAGCGCTTTAGCAGCGGCCGTAAGGTGGAAAAACCCTGCTACCACCCGCTAGGTGTGCCACTAGCCACATGCGACTCTCTCACCATCTTTGGGGTCACATTTACGAGAACACTGGATTTTTCCATCCACATAGCCAGTGTCGTGGCCAAGGCCCGACGATCCATGGGGTTTGTGTCTCGGGTGTCTAGGCCATGTGGACCCTCGGCCTTCCGCACCTTGTACACATCGATCGTGCTGCCGTCGTTAGAGTATTGTAGCTCTGTGCAGTCCCCGTCTCAGCGGCATCTTGTGGACCGCATTGAGAGTGTCCAGAGACGCGGTTCCCGGACGCTTTGCGCCGCGCTACGGCTCACTGACCGGGTTGTACCTATCAACGGCAGTGCGTGTGAATAGACGTAGTACTGGCCAGCCTGAGCCACTGCATGCCAGGACTGTAAGGCATGGCCTGTCCGCGATCCCTGCAGGCGTAGGTGAGCTTCTCTCTGTTCCGCTGAGGGAGCGCAAGCCTTTTCCGCGGGACAGGGAGGAATCCAATAAGCTATGCAGACGATACGGCCAACATCTGTTCACAAGTTGATGGCCCGTAAGAGGTTCGCCCAAGGGTCTTCGCGCGCGCTCCGTGTCACCCTGGGGCAGGGCGTGGCGGAGGCTGCGGTTGCGGGCTCGGCTGCGCGGGGTGCAGCACACACAGCGGTGCGCTCGCGTGTTTGGGCTTGTGGCTGGGGCCTCTGCCGTGGTCTGCGTGGGGGTGGGTTGGGGCACAGCGAGGTTTCTTATCTTCCCCTCTGGGTTATGATTATTCGTTGTTTTTATACATGTATATATGTTATTCGCAACTCCAGCGCGCCGCTCTCCCTCCCGCGGACAAGCGGAGAACTAGAGGAGCGGGGACAACAGCGGCGGCGGCGGCGCGGAAAAGGTGGCAGGGGCTGTCGGCCTTGATGCGTGGAGCCGTTGTAACGAAAAAAGTGAGCGCGTTAAAATAGGAATTCTTGTGCTACACCTCGCAACAGCGTTGCGGGAAGGACCGGGGTGTCTAATCTCATTGGGGACTTTTGGTATATCGCGTATACGCTGCGGATTGCTGGTCGTGTGCATGACCGCCAGCTCGATCTGTGCTCAACGTGACGGCACACGCTCCCGCTAATAATGTAGAGCTTTAGCATTCGGTCCATGAAAAGTCTATTCTTTGCCCTAAAAAACTGGTCGCGCAACAATATGTCGAGCAATACATGTTAGGAATGGGTTTGCGTTTTAAGGCCATGGGAACATGACCATTCATTCCAAGCACTTTTAAAAGCTAGAATACGCGTACTTGCTTTCAGATAACTACAAAATGAGTAAAGAAATTCCCGAAACGTTTTTAGCGCATCTGTGTTAGCCAGCCGTTCGTGACGAGAGCTTGGAACGGGCAGTTTTTGGGGAGAGGAGCCACAACGTTGCAAATAACACGGTACGAAAAAAAAAGTATGATATATTAAAATATGCATTTTTGGTAGCGCAATGAATAAAGCCCGTAAACCCTAGACACGCCGATTATAGTAATAGGCAGTTTTATCATAGCATTACCGCAGGCTACCGTTGGCTACCATGAGCAAGGCAACACTCCTGGCACGCGCTGAAAATTGTGCTTCAAAGGCGCAGCACGAGCCTCCAGTTGTAATGCTACACCGCGCAGTAGCCTGCGGTAACAAACTTCCTATCAATAACCATAGAGCAGTTTGATTGCCTGTTGCAATGCACTGAAACCGAGACGGTGAGCAGCGAGTGGCAAGCCTGTGACACGAAGGCATCAATACTGCGAACGCTGCTCTTCCGAAGCTTGACGGTCACCGTGCGCGACTCTCATTTAGAGCACTAATGGCCAGGCAAGGCGCAAACACGATATCCTCATCACCCTCAAACATATTCTGCCACAAACAGTGATATGGCCAGTGCGTAAAACGCGCTCGCCCACCACAAAGCTGCGCAAGTCGAGGTTTCGGCAACTTTTAAATATCAGCATGCTCATTTTGCTAACGCATATCAACATCTCCGTCACCTGTAATATGATCCTGCTCTAACCACTTCGCGTTTGCAGACAAATATATCATTTTTAGCGCACCGACCATGCGTCAGCGAGCAGGCGCGCGGGAAATCCTGGAGAATCTATCCCCGTCTCTTCTGCCATCTTGGAACTACCGCCCCGCCACCTATAGGGCGTTGGAGTTGCGAATCTTGTACTTACAACTACTGTTTATGTTTACACCTACTCAGCGGCGGGCTAGCAGGCGCACATGCGTAAGGGTACTAACCTTTCTGTCTAGCCTTGCACGCCGCTGAGTGGGCAAACTTTCTCGTGCAAATAAAAATTATTATTGTTATTATTATTATAACCGACAAACACAACACTCTGGACAGCTACCGCCATCTACGAGCGACGGCAGCAACCAGAGTGTTGTGTCGACATTTGTTTGGTATCAGACACGATCGTGGGGAAACTAGCCCTTAACAGCTCTGCCGTAAAAGCAAATTTATGATAAATAATGTGACCACATTAGTGTCATAATCATCACAATTAGCCAATTTTTATGTGATATTGTAATTTTGTGAACATATAAATACATAGCTTTACATGCATGGCAGGCCTTTAGCTATGCATCTACATACTATTTACATGTGATTTTCAAGAGGATGTTTGGACTGTTCGATATAAACAATAATTCTAAATACCCAGGTGTGATATAACCGGGCTCAACCATACTTGTAGTACCAACACGCTCACTATGAATGTGCTCGTGTTCGTTTCACATCAACTTCTATCCCAAAAATCAGTTTAACGCGTGGTCCGAAAATATGTAGTCTTTCTTGAACGCCGAGTCTAGCCTCCACACATTTTGCCAGGATCATCCAGGGATCTGGGAAGGACGTCTGCTTGGCATTTGACGGCCGATTGGGAAACCCCCGTAGCATTCGCCGCGCAGAAGGCTGCCACTCCCACCTGGCAGCCATTGCGAGGAGCTGTGCGGCGGCCAGGCTTTGAGCCTGTGTGGTGTCCTTGCCCTGCAGGGTGTACCTCTCCCACAGCATGCGCAGGACCAGGGGCGACACGTCCCCCGTCTTCACCAGCTCCACCACCTGGGGCGTTGGGGAGAGGGCAAAGGCTTCAGCAATTCACGCTTTCGCAACTGGGTGCGATCAACTGCGCCGGATTCCCTTGTAACCGCTTAAAGGCCGACGTACAGCCTCGGTGTTCTGCAGGGAAGATAATCCTCTTGGCATTGCCCTAACCTAAACTGCGAGGGAAGCCAGGTTGGGGGAGGTAAAAAGTGGAGAGGGTTTAAGGAACGAGGCGGTTCGTGATCGATGTCTTGAGGCGGTTCGTGATCACACAGCAAGACGAAGACGCAATGCAGGCCGTCTAGCTATGCGAACGTCGTGTGATGCCAATAATAATGCCAAGAGTGGCTTAGAAAAAGGTGATGAACTACTTTCAGCCGAAATAAAGGCGTCCTCGGTAAGTTTTGTGCACCCGAGAAACATTTGTGGAAACCTTTTTTTACGTTAGCCTCGAATTTCTAGGTAGCGAAATTTCAATGTAACGAAGTAAATTCCAAATTTTACTGACTTCGTTACATTGAGGTTAAACTGTATTCATACATCGTGAAGCATTGATTGCGGTGAGCAATTGGAAACACTCTCAAATCTAAGAGCTCTATTCTTTTCCCGTCCTCAATGATGGAAGCGGCGTTTGACCTTTTTTAGCAGGCTTTGTAGCAAACAAAGTATTGGTTTGGAGCAGCCAGGAACGCATTTGAAAATAAATACAGGGTGTCTAGCAAATTATTATTTTGAAATTCCCTGACTTTTCCAGGTCTCCTCTGACATTTTCAGGTGAACTTCCGTGACCACTGTAGAAATTCCCTGACCACTGCCGGCATCGTCCGTGAAGAGGCCACTTTCGGAAACACGACGAAAACACGACGCCCAATCACACACGCCGATAAACGAATGGCAACTTGGCCGCCAGATGTACACTTTCGGATACTTTCGGCTTAAGGCTTGGATTGGATTGGGGTCTGCGGCTTTCCCATTTGTTACTAAACCTAGTAGCTCTAACTGGATCTAGCCTAGTGTCGGGCTCTCAATCTAATCCAATTCAATCCAAGGCTTGGACGGGATTTGTCAGCTGTTTTCTTTGCATCGGGTAGCACACTTTCCACCCGGTGAGCAGAGCCCGCGCTCTGCTCTAAGCAGAATTTATTGCATATTTTTGTAGCGTGAGGTACACTGGCCGAGGTTGAGCAGTTTTGCGTGGCTGTCAAAGAGCCGTGCTGCGCAAGCGCGAGGAGCAGTGACGTCACACGGCGCACAGCTGGCGCGCCGGAGCCGCCACGTGCTCCGCCGCCACCGCGCGCACCTCACCGGTCTGTGCATTCCAGAGGAGTGACGTCATAGCCGCAGCAGACGCACTGGCACCGCCACATGCCCAGCTGTGCGCCTCTGTTGCGCAACAGCCAAGTCTGACGCTGCACCGGAGCCGCTTGATAGCGCCTCTTATTTTGTGCGCATAAGCTCACGCTACGTATATCCTGGAATAACCGAGCTAAGCCACCGCAATTTTTTTCTGCCCCTAGATGGCGTTTCCGGCTAATTTTCCCTGACTCGGCTCGCCTTTTGACAATATCCCTGACAATTCCCCGATTTTTCCCGGTAATTAAAATTTTCCCAACAATTCCTGGTTTTCCCAGTCGCTAGACACCATGTAAATATGTGATTGCATCACTAAATGAGTTCACATCTGATAATGACTGAGGGTTCCTCTTTGATACCGAAGCCTATTACTTATTATATTTAGTACAGTCCAACCTCGTTATTACAAACACTGATATACCGAATTATCGGATATAGCGAAGTAAATATAAATTTTGGTTGGTCATGCTTTATTTCAATGGAAGTTCGACCTTTAAAACGAAACCGAAACCACGGAATCCTACGCGGTATCGGTTATAGCGAAATTATTTTCGGCCGCGCACGGCTCGAAATATGTGCAATACCAAAACAAAAAGAAATAAAATCTATAAATTACCATGTAAAAAGGCAATGTACCTAAATTCAGTGCCGATTTTCAAGATACCGAACATTGCCAACGCTCGAACGAGCACTTTGGGAGGTGACTGGCGCCATCTATGAAGCGGGTGCATAAACCCTAAAAGATGGTGCACCAGCGGCGCCACCTATAAGCGTCATCAAACACTAAAATTTAGAGTGCCAAAGCGACAGCGACGGCAGTCAGTCAATCTGGGAGCAGAAAATGGCGACGTTGAAGCGCAAAGCTCTGTCTCTCGAGACGAAAGTTAAAATTTTAAGAGCAGTTGACAGCGGCCGCAAGAAGAAAGATGTTGCGGAGGACTTAAGATCCCACCCAGCACATTGTCTACTCTCTTAAGTTCGAGGAAGAAGATTGAAGAGACCTATGCCAACAGCACTCTGAAAGGCGACAGAAAGCGTGACAGGCCTTCTCATTACCCCGATGTGGAAGAGGCTTTGTTCTCCTGGTTCAAGGACGTGAGAGTGCGAAACTTGCCGGTGTCTGGTGCTCTTCTGCAAACGAAAGCCGTCAGTTTAGCGTGCCTCTTGGGGCATCATGACTTCAGGGCAAGTAGCGGTTGGCTTCAGCGCTTTAAGAATCGGCACGAGATCGTCTGCCACACCCTGTCTGGCGAAGGATCCGCTGTTAACTTGGACTCCTGCGAGAAATGGCTCGAAAACTTCCGACCTCTACTCCAAGAATACGAAGAACGTAACGTATACAACGTCGACGAGACTGGAGTTTTCTACAAGTTGTTGCCGGAGCGGTCATTGGCTGTGAAAAACGAAACCTGCCACGGAGGAAAGAAGCACAAAGACCGGGTAACTGCTGTCGTTGCGGTCAACATGGATGGCTCCGACAAGAGGCGGTTGACCGTCATCGGAAAGTCTGCTCGCCCTAGGTGCCTACGGGGTGTTCGAAATCTGCAGGTTGATTACTGGTCAAACAAAAATGCATGGATGACGACGAAGCTCTTCGAGAACTGATTGAAGGCTTTCGATGAGGACATGGAGGAGTAGCATGGGAAGGTCCTTCTTCTGTTGGACAATTGTTCGGCGCACAAGGTGTCTTGCCCACTGAAGGCAGTCCGCCTAATGTTTCTGCCACCCAACACAACGTCGAATCTCCAGCCCTTGGATAAGGGCATCGTCCGTTCTTTGAAGTGCTCGTATCGGAAGCGTTTGGTGACGCAGCTTGTGTTCAACATGGACCGGCGCCAACCCACAGCCATCAACATGAAGACAACGTTGACAATGCTGTATGGATCTTGGAATGACGTGAGACGGTCAACGATAAGGAACTGTTTCGTAGAAGCGGCTTCGTTCTGTCCTCCGACGAAGTACATCCTGAAGACCCAGTGGCGCAACTTGACGAGACACCGTGGGATCGGTTGACGTTGCCGGATAGTATCACATTCGAAGACTTCGTCTCCGCCGACGACAACTTGGCCGTGGTGCCCGAGCTAACAGACCAAGAAATCATGGACCGTGTTGTGTTGCCCGTAGAGAATAGCGGCACTGACAGGGAAGGTGAGAGCGACGACGACATTGAAGAACCTCGCAAAGGTACTGCGGATGCCGCGGACATGGTGACAAAGCTGCGAAGCCACTTGGAGAAGCTCCCCACGGCAAAAACCACTGAAGTGGAGAAGGCTCTCGCCTGCATGGACACTGTCGAGAAGTTCATACTACTCAATGCCGTGAAAGTCCACCAATCGAAGATAACGTCTTTCTTCAAATAAATTCAATTGCGGACTCTGGCAACATGGTTCCTCGGTTGTAAATTCAATTCATATTGTGCCGGTTCAACTTTTTTAATCCTACCCTAGGTGACAGGTAAGGATTTATATGTTTATTACGGGATTCGAATTCCCCTACAGTCCGTTTTTATATCTTAGCATTATGCATGTTCGAGCACTTTTTGCACGGGCCCAATTGCCGTTGTGTTTATATAAATTTTTCTGAGTACTTTTATAACGAACATTGGATATAACGAACGAATTTGCGCGCCCGATGCTACTTCGTTATAACGAGGTTGGACCGTATTAAGAATAGATGGGATGCAAAAGGAAAACACAGCCTTCGTTTTAGGGACCTTGCGATAGAAATGCATGTCTCAAAGACAGGAGAGTGCAGGTTAACTCGCACTTGTAGCTTTGGCAGCAGTGCATCAGTACGTCGTTTTTCATTGGCTAAACCAAACAAGCTCAGCGAATAGTCTTGCTCTTTTAGTATGCGTGTTTGTGATTGTACGTGTTTAAGCATTCGACAGTGCTCCGACTCAAGATGAAACAAACAACAAGGTGGATAGAGACGCTGTGAAATACATGATTGTACTATGTTTGTTTCCTTCCACTTCTCTAAATATTAGAATTGACCAATAATGAAACAAAAATATCTTTATTTGAGCCGACCTTGGCGCAGGTGCAGCGTAATTCTTTGTAAAAGTCGCACTTTGGCACAAGATGTAACCAGACTTTCACTCATGGTACAATTTGGCACAAATGATGCAGCACTTCCATCACTGCAATCTGTTTTGTTTCTAATCCAACCTTGCGGTCCCAAACAATCTGCAAAATTGCAGTTGCTAATTTTTGTGAAGTGTGCAGAGTGTTTTACAATGACGCTTTGATTTGAAACGAGGGGGCTTTTAATTACAAAAAATATTAGACACAGTGCAGAATTCTGGCCTCACAACAATTTGTGCGTGCAAGCGGCGCAGACGGGATGTTTTGGTTGTGATTCACAATTAGACTGTTTCACGATTCTGGCTAAATCTGCGTGCTATGAGGTGTGTGGTGTTCATTAGTTTCGTTTTTTCTCTAGCCTGTACACTAGTATTTTTGTGGAACGGTAAAACCAAAATGGGTTTCTCGTATGGTCAGTTCAACATCACTGCATTAGCGTCGGGAAAAAAAACACGGCTCTTTTGTGGGCTCCCACACCGACAATGCATCTCTCGCTGAATCTATTGAATGTTCGAGGAACCAAACACTAGAGATTCGTTTTGCGAATCGAATTCGAGACCTTACTATTTGACTTGTATATTCGAGTACTCACACACCGCCAGTTTTAAACGCACAGCATTTATAGAACCAGCTCTAGCGCTTTTGTGTCTGGGATGTAGCCTCAATAGAGCGTCCAATGCACAGCGTGCCCCACAAAAAACAGCAGTAACAGATAGCATGCTGAGCGTGCGATGGGCAACTCCTGTCAGAGCAGAGACTTCCTTCAAGGTGTGCTCAGTGGCAGCAGAGTAGACATATTACAAAGGCTCTTGCTCGGGGGCCCTGTGTGGCCCCCAAAGCGGCCCAGGAGCGAAAATGGCAGACAGGGGAGGGTGAAGAGAAAGCAGCTGCGATTTAAAACGGTGTCAGGAGATTATCCAATCAATATTTTTCCACAGAGTCACGTAAGTTTTCAGTAAAGCCAAAGTTTCAACTGCTCGAAACCGAAACACGAGCACGGAAGCTCATGGCCGGAAGTCACGTGGCTACACCTGGTTGCGTTTGTCTTTTTCTCCGCTTCTCCCGCGTGTGAAGCAGACGACGAAGTTGTGTGCACTGTTTGTAGCGCGATTGCTTCGCACTTCTATCCCTTCCGCTCGATGTACTGCACTTGAAGATTGATTGGCCGGTACCAAAAAGAAGGTTCCTAAGTAGCAGTCCCACGTCTGTCGCAACATTGGTCCGTCGTGCGCATCGCGTCGTCCAGCCCGCGGTACGTCGCCATATTGAGAATGGTGTGTACAAGTACTTCCCATGATCTGAACAACATTTTTATTTTTTCCATCAACGTATTTGCAGCTTTTTCCAGGCCAGAAAACATTAGGTTCATATTCTTTTCTATTTATAATCTTGAATGTGTGCCTTAGATGACCCACAACTTCAAATATATTTAGTACACATGGTTTGAATGTCATGTGACCATGGAAAAGAGTGAGCGCGACTGAAACCGGCCAATTCTCGATTGGCTGTTTTCGGGCAAAAAGAAAACGAATTTTGAGCTGCAAATTGTGTTCTGGGTAGTTCAAATAAAAAAACTCGGCGAGCATAAATACCCTGTCAATGTCACTTTAACATAAGTGTTCCTAAGCATTTACGATGCCTTTTGGGAAATGCCAAAAAGACTTTTCTCCTGTACATAAAAATAGCACGCTTTTCCTTTCTAGCATTCTTTCCCCAAGAGATGTACACTCACAATATTTTAGTACAGTATAGACCACTTACAACGTAACCGCTTATAGTGCAGGACCGGGTATAACGCGGTTTTTTTAAACCACCGGTTCACCTCCCATAGAACTCCATGTAATTACATACCGCTTAAAATGCAGGCGCGCGAAGGGAAATACCGGTTATAGTGCGGTTTTTGGCACAGCCCGCCGACCACGCCGACGACCGGAGCAGCGAGCTCGCTTCCCTGTGCGACACTAGGTAACGGCGCTGACGGCGCGAGCCACAAGCTGCACTCGCGGGGCAAGGAGGTTGCTCGAAAACGCGGGAAGAAGCGAAGAGAGAGGCTTCAGTTGCCATAGCGACGGAGGGACGCACGCACGAGTCGTTCACGTGCGTGCGTCTGTCCGCTGTGTTGGAAACGAAGAAACAAACAACCGCAACGACAGACCAGTCGCAGGTCGAGGAGAAGTGTTCGCGCGCGTTGCATGCCGGTCGCGGGCCGGCTGCTTTTATTCCGCAAACATGGCGTCGGTTGTGATCGTCGTCGTAGACGGCGTGCATCTCATCTTTCTGCGTAAAAGCGCTATCCTAGACTGTGAATTTTCGTTGTGTGTCGCTATGATAACCCAGCACATACTAGAAGGGAAGATCCACCTACTCGTGCGGCGATGTCGTGGCGGCGCTCTCAAGACGGCAGAAACACCCGTGTCGTCGTGTTTGTTTACTTCGACTACAGTGGTGATTTCTAAGCATTTGTGTCCTCGAACATCGCCCGGATTTCTTATTTGGCGCATTTCATGCATGTACTAAAGTTCAAGGTATTACTGGCGCGTACCGGTATGAAGGATGCGAATTTTCACGCGTTTTCATCTCCGGAGAAAAGTGATCAGGGTTAGCAATCCTGAACGCTCGCAACGTCCGTCCGCAACCCGCGACGCCGTTAAAAGGCTGTGCCAGGCAAAAGCCGCTCATTTCTTTCAAAATGTGTGACACACTTGAGACAGAACTGTACTAGTCTGGTGAAATAAAGACTTTCCTCAAACTAAGCTTTATTTTTCATCTAATATAAAATAAATTCTTTTACAAAGGTAAGTTGTCTCATGGCATGTATTTTGGCCTGAAAAATTTATGTTTTGGTTATAGTGCGGTACCGCTTATAGTGCGGATTTTCGCGACTCCCGAGACATACGTTATATGCGGTCTACACTGTAGAATAAATGCGCCACCTAAAGACACCTCTGTGGAACGGCCCATTGCACTCTGTTCACTGGCTCATTTATGTTTATTTTTTTTTTTTAACATTCAAACTGCGCTTGCAAGCGCCCCCTTAGAGCGAGGCCCGAAACTCACGAGTTTCTTCAGCGAGAGCAGCTCGTCTGCCGTTGCGGTGCTCACGAGAAGCGACAGGCTGTCTGCAATGTCGGAAACTTTGGACCTGCAAGAGAAAACACGACGTCACTAAGCTGTTATTCGCATAGAGCTGGCGCAACGAAAAATAAGAAATGAGGCAAGGTTGGCACAAGGTATGACCATTGGCGACTCCAGCGAAATCGACGCAGTGTAGCGGCAACGCCGAGAAGCTCAGGAGAGGAGGTCGTTTGTACTCTGTCGTCTGCTTTTGCTGATTGGTTCACATAGGCAGCATAAAAACAAACATTGTTTCCAGTAAATATTTTTGTGCTTCCGCCGTGTCATTCCTATGCACCGACTAGAAGGTTTCTACCGTCGAAAAATCGCTTTGCTTTCATATGTAACACCGACTTTACGCTGCAGTCTAAGATATTTATGGTGGTTTGCGTAGTAAACGACGAAAACGACCTCCTTTCGTCCGCCATTTTGCCTGGCCAGCGCGCCCCCTATAGTTTGCTGGAGTCGCAAATAGTACAGTAAAACATTGTTGATGCGCTCCCGAATAACACGTTTTCCCAGTTCGTATCTCACGAGCACTGGTCTCGTCGAACGTCCATGGGGACACGCGTATTAGTATCCTGTTTGCTGCATTTTCCCTCCCGGCTGTTACGTCTAAAGACTGTCATCTGACACGGCTGGCACAACACAAAGGGTCAACCAGTTGCGGCCGCCATTTTCCTCTCTTTGCTTCTCTGCGCCGCACTCACCTGTTCTTGCAGGTTAGGCACGACCTTGAGCAAGGGTTGGAAGAGAATGGGCTTTTGCAACAGCACAATCATCTTTACGCTTCATTCTCGCTCATGCAGATGTGCATACTCTACACTCGCTGTGTCGGGTTCCCCAGTCGCACTAGTTTAATTTTCGCGTGGAGTTCGGAGCTTAAAATTGCGTACGGCACATGTCACACTTCAATGCTTTGCACCGGCGAGCTAGGAGCAACGGTCGACATGGCGAGTGTAGCAGAGGCATATTTGGATCAGCTCAGTGGGCCCAGAAATTCTGCGTCGTCGGAGAGGTCGCTATTCTTTGGCTGCAAATTATAGAGTGACCTTCACTTGTAAATAAGTTACGAAAAAAGGCGACCTGTCTCTGCATAGATACGGTGGCTCCCCATAGCTGTGAAAGTCCATGTAAACTAAATTACTGCGCGAGAATGAAATTGCTTTTCCAGTCTATCCGTGCTGTTTTGCGTCTTTCCTTCGTCCACGTCTCTTTTGCCTTTTAATACCTGTTTAAAGGGGCTAAACAACAATATTAGGAAGAAATGTTCCTAACTTTACACGAGGTTACTGGCACCACTGAGACCCCAAGTATACTCGCGCGCAATGCCACTGACAAAGAAGCTTCGTGTTTTACAGGTTACAAATGCCGCAGAATAATTTTAAGCGGCATTTACCGGAAGTACAAATATCGCTGTGTCGCCCCTTTAATCGCGAACCGACTTTTTTCAAACTGCTCCAACAAACGAGTTTGGCCCCGCGTGCCCCTTCCGCCGGGATGTCGCAAGCACACTCGCCTCGAGTTGCCGCCGGACTTGGCGTCGAAGTACACCTCCCGGTAGGAGCTGACGACGGCCTCCCTGACGCCGGCCTCCGCCGACCACATGAGGGGAAGCATCTCGCGGAGACCCACCGAGGCGTCCTCGACCCCGAAGCGGTGTGCGGAAACGAAGAAGGCGATCGTCTCCTGCACGTCCGAGACCGTGGGCGAGCGGAGGAGGTCGCACAGCGTCGGCACGATCGTCTTCATCTGCTTCGCAAAGTGCACGCAGTCCTGCAACGGGAGGAGCAGAGTTTGGCATGCGTGCAACGAGGGTCGAGCCACGTAACCGAGACCAAAAATGTAGATACTTGCACGTTTAAAGAGGCAACAAACAACCAAAAAACATTGTTTGTCAAGTGCCTGGATACCACATGTACTTAGTGGCAGTACGCAAGCTAAGGCGAACTCACTTAAGCGGAATTCTCGGATATGCCGAACAAAGTAAGAACATTTGGTTGGTTTCCCATAGACGCAATGGAAAAAAAAATCTTTTAACATGAACCGCTTGGCGTACGCATTTCAGTTAACTCGAACTTCCAAAGGTCCCTTTCGCGATGGTACTGCACCGACGGCGACGCCGTGCATTGCACCGGCCGAGGTGTATGTCAGATGTACCGTAAAAACCCGCATATAATACAAGGTTCTTTTTTCAAATTTTCAGCTTCGATGAGGTGCGATCCAACACTATTTGACGTAGTTTCGGTTTCGAAGCAATATGGCGCTCAAAACAGCTATCATCATCATTAAGATCTCAATGTCCGAGGCGCCACCATTCGTACACAGGCTCAGCAATGGCGTCGGCACGAAAACAATCATTGGTCGCCTAGAAAAGAAAAGTTCTTTTGGTTGTGGAAGACATCGGTAGCAGTGCTGCCGGACGAAAATAAACTGTAAATGAGTGCAGCATCCACAGATAGAGACAACAAAAGCAAGCACTGTTTGCGTGCAATGGAACGAGAAGAAACTTTAGGAGCCCAAAGATTGGCGTGTTCGCCGACATCCAGGCAAGTCTCAACAACTTTGTAAAAGAGCAATGTGAACGGCACCTCGCCGTAACTTTGTAAAAGAGCAGTGTGAACGGCACCTCGCCGTAAACATCGAGCTGCTGCATGAGAGCTTTGGCGAGCCGACATTGGGTTACTCGCTTTATGCGCCACGCCAGGTTTTCACTGCGTCGGCGCACGCTCGTCGCTCGCTCTTCCAAGAAGTGCGGGATTTCAAATGTGCTCGACAGCACTGAAGAGTCAAGACTTTGGCCTTTGGTGACATTTGATGCAGCAGATGCTGCTGTAAGTGTGCCAGTGCAGTTCTTCCAGGAACAGGAAGGTTCTGAAGGTTTTCTCAGGAACATGGGCCACATGTCGTCTTTCATCGCTAGACACCGATTTGCACAGAGGAGGAGGCAGTCAAAAACCACCGAATGGATCGGTTCCCACCCAGTGGTGTGTGAAACATTATTTTTTTTCTTCTTTTGGCATGCTAAGCCAAATAAATGTCCCTTTTTAAGTATCTCTTCATTGTAGGCCTTTTCATTGTGTTTATTGGTCAACAGCAATTTAGACTTGCCCAGCATGATAATTAGGGCACTTCTGTTAAGGCGAACATTTGACAAGTCAAACAAATTTTCAGGACCCTTCGTGTTCGTCTTAAAAGGAGTCTACTGTAAAGCAGACCCTCGTTAATTCAAACTTCAGAAAGCTCCAAACTTTGTTTGAATTATAGCAAATTCGACTTAACAAAAATTCAACTACATATCACATGCAAGGCAAATATTTTGTGATTTCCCTCTGCACAGGCCTACTAATCATAATGAGGTATGCCACGCATGAAACATTGGTGAAATGTATGACGCAAGTTTATTCGTCACTCAAAAATGATGTTTGTCATGCACCATTTTGACGGCACGTGACACCTCGAAACGAAATTAAGTTTGTTCTTCCAGCAACAGTAAGAGAGGGACAGGTAAGCAATGAAAACGGGTGCCGCGTGCCAGCTTCTGCGGCAACTTGAGCAGACGCCGTAACATAAACCCGTGCCACGCAGCCGAGTCGCAGGAGTCGCAGCATCGGTGTAAGTTGCTAAAGAGCCGTGCGGCACCTGATTTCATCGCTCGTGCATCCCCCGCTATGGCCCCATCCAGTGCGATTCTTACTAAACACCGGTGCACCGTGAGAAATCAACACCCGTGGAAGTGAGCCTCGCGAGAGTTGCTTCTCCGCAGTGCGCCAGTGTTCGGAAAGAAGTGTGCTCAACGGGGCTGCGAGAACGAGAAGTACAAATTACACGAAAACGCCGTTCGAATTAAGTGGCTCATAAACGCATTGAAACATAACGGGGCAACCAAAAACTCAAAATTTGATTGAATTACCCAGAAGAATGAAATATCAGAGTTTGAATCATCGCGAGCATACCGTATGGCAGACGCACCGGTCAGAGAAGCATTCCGAGCACCATGGCAACATGGAACCGCAGCTCCGTCTCACCTCGAGGTAGCGGACGACAATCTTCTGCTTGCTGAGGTCGTCCAGGACAGCGCCATTCGCCTCCGCCACGGCGTCGCCTCCTCCCATTTCCGGAATCGGGTTTTCGTCCCGGCAGAATGCCTCCGGGCCGTCGACCAAGGGGTCGTCCGGGCGCGAACCACCTACGAAGGTCGTCGTTTCATTTGATTAGTCCATCCATCTACTAGGGTTCCGATAAATTCTTAAAGGGGCCCTGCAACAACTTTTTGACTGATTTTTAATTTGCACCGATCCTGAGCGCACTGAACGTAGAACCATAATGAAACTTTTCTTTTCTCAAATTTCGCTTAAGTTTAAAAGTTATAGGCAAATTAGAATTACAAAAACAAGCAAAAAATAATCTCCATGACGTAGTAGGTCCTGGCTTGAGCGGCCGTGAACCAGAGGAGGGATAGTGAGCCCATCGAGCGCTCACGGCTGCCGCACTCCGTGTCGACGGCTTGAGAGGGCGCCACTAAAGCACGTGTTGGATAGGCTGTATGAAGCGGGCGGTCAGGGCGGCTCGCATTGCATTTGCAGCACGATTAAAGACTAATTCGGCATAACACTTCATTGGCCACAAACGACAGCAAACACGGAGTAAAGATCAGTTCAGAATGGGAGCCACTTCGCGCTGACGCACCGCCAAATGGCCAAATCGCCAGCAAAGCCGGTGCCGAAAGCCTTGGGAACGCTCGGAACCGGTCGGATCCCCGACCGCAGCGCCGCCGCGTACATCCGGGACCTTTCTACGCACGCCGTTCGTCGGCGCCTCATCGCACCAGCCCTTTCTAGTATGCGCAGTTTTTCCCGCCGCTTGGTGGAGGGTATGTCGACGGGTCATTTCTTGTTTCCGTACTTTATAAACTGCATTTGTTTCTTTTCTGACCTCATATACCGAACAAAAACTACTTTCATACATATTTGAAACGGTTCGCGACACTTATATTTTGTATCTCGACTAAAAAAAAATATTTTAGCGGTTCTGACCAGTAGTAAGCCTAGGACCAAAGACGTCAGATATCGCGCGCTTTCGCCAACGCGGGTCGCCCTCGTAGGTGGAGGAGGTTTCCGCATCGTCCGGTTAAAATATGATGCACTGATATTTAGTTACTCTCTCCATGCCCGCTGGCTTGCCCGAACCCCAAGAGGCCTGGAAAGCACAAAAAAGGGAGACGCCTAAATATGATTGCAGGGCCCCTTTAAAGGGACACTAAGCTTCCTCAAGACATTTTTTAACTGCCTGGATAGGACAACCCCCCCAAAAACACTTCTTAGCATAACATTTATGTTGCGAGACTAATTTTTGAAACGCGCTTCTACGCGTACAGTCAAACACTTTTTAAGCAAATGGCTCTACTACGAAACTACCCGGTTAAAACTAAAAAGGACGAAAGTTATGGTCCACCTTCTCTGTGCTCGATATGTTTTTCTGACCACTACAACAAATTTGTTTTACGAATTACCCCATTTAACGAATGGAATACACGGCACGGCCCCTTCGGAAACCTATGTACACCTGCCGGCAAGCCGGCTTCCCCGCGGTCCACAATTGAGCAGACCGAACCGGGCCTGTCTGTAGACCATGTGTTACGTAAAAGCACATAAATGCATGGAACAACCGGGGAGCGAAGTTCCGCTCCTGTGTACCGAACATTAAAAAAAAGCGGGGCCAGCTATGTCCGTTTATAACATACGAGCCAACTACAACGGCGGGACAATTGTCCCGTGCCACGCAGTTCACCAACAGCCAGGCTAGCTGGATACAGCTCAGAAGTTTGTAGGTTGACCAAGGTGAGGCACCACATGCTACCAAGTCTACATCCGTCCATGCGTTACCACCTGTACCTACTTCAAGTTCTCACCGCTACATCTAAGAGCGCTGCGGTAGAAGACTAGGTCAATTACCATACGGTCAACGTTCTCCGTCTGCCTGAGCCAATCGGAAAACCTCTCTCCTGATGGGATTGCGTAATCCACGGCACCAGCTGCCGAAACGGTTTTTCTGTTCCTTGTTCTCGTCGAGCGCTGCGCAGAAGCGTGGATGGCACGGTCCACTCGGACGGCTCGGATGCACAGACGCAAAGTTGGCGAAATTGACACATCGAAACTGAAGGATCTTTTTTGGCGTCTGTGTTTCCTATGAGGTCGTTAAATCACTAGAAGTATGCGAGGTCCAAGCAACGTTTTGGTTTCCGCTCAAGGCACGTACACTCATCTGGAATGCGGTGATAGGAAATATGCGGAAGACTGGCACCCTGGATTTTCGTTTACTGCAGATGAGCTTCTAGGCTGCATTATGTGACTGTTACCTGTGCGTAAATATACTTAGTCGTAAGACAGAAAAAAATGAATGCATCTCCACGTGGTGAATGATGGTGATTGGGGCGAAGCTTTGGTGGTGCTGATGATACTGATTTTATTGTTCATACGTAGTGCTGATGGTGCTGATTTTTTTTTATTGCTGATAGGTAGTGCTGAGTTCCGGGTTGCATTTCAACTTCATTATTACTGCCTTATGGTCGGTGAAATGCAGAGCCAGTGGTTCTTCTAGCGGATCAGCTTGGATCCGCTAGCAGCCGTGGGAATGCATCTTCACCGCTTAAGTCAACAGTCCATGTGAGAAAGAAAATGTGTGGTATGGAACATAGTTATATACGCATTTCAGCATTTGACCGCAGCGCCCTCTCGTCTATAAACGTTGAGCCCATGCATGCAAAGTTTAACGCGATTATATACGCATTTGACCGCAGCGTCCCGCCCTGTATAAATGTTGAGCGGCTACGTGCAATGTTGGAGTGTAGCATAGTGGTTAAGACGTCTGCCTCGTAAGTAAGCGGTCCTGAGTTTGAACCCCCGTGCGGGCGTACATTTTTGTTTTTCTAAAAGTGGGCCGATCCCGGAGGCAGTGCAATCGATGTGAGCATGGACGCCGGACAAGGCTAGACCCTAAGGAGCTTCGCTCCTAAAAGAAAGGTCAATGAATATGTCCGCAAATGTTAAAAAAGTAAAACTAACAACCTTTCTTTTTCATTTTTTTTTTATTTTTTTTTTTATAAAGACGTATAGCTGTTGATTTAAGTTTTAGCCTCTCCGAAGAATTCGCACATTAGTCTCACTAAATGTTGAACAATTAAAGCGTGCCGAAGCAACCGCACATTAAGTCAATATAGGCTTCGTTTCTCCTACATATTCCGCACAATAATGCTATTATCTACCTACTGAAAGTTCACCTCTCCCAGCGCAGACTTTATCAAGGTACTCTTTAATAATTCCGCAATCCAGTCGTGAATGCCTCAAAAGCAAGTGCCTGCAAAACTCTGTTGTTCTTTTAAAACAATAAATAAAAATTCGGCAGATGTATTTGCTATTTGATATAATAATGTGTCCCTGTACCTTTGCGGGGTCGTGCATTGTTGAGCACAGGAGCGGTGTTCAAATGTTCCGGGCTAAAGCAAGCTATCTCTGAAAATCGCAATCGAACCAGCAGAGTCGAAGTAATAAACGGTCAGACCATAAAATATGTCGAATGGAGGGAGAAAGGGAAAAAAAGGTGGGGAGTGGGGAGGGTAGGGGAGCGCTACTTCAGCCGTGATTTTACTTTTTACCCAGACCTAGTTCTCCATTCTGCTGCAACAATGTGGCTAGGTTTTCGCTACCACGGTGGAGGCTACAGCTGCCCCCGGCTGGCCAGGCCCACGGGCCAACACTAGTCGTACCAGAGGCGGCGGTCATCAAAATACCGTACCTGCACAACCTTGCACTTATCCCCATTCTACACTGACACCAGGAGAAAAGAAGAAATTCGACTGGCACGAAGGTTCTCTCAACCACTGCCACAGGGCACCAGAGCACCATCTCTTGGCCAGAAGGGCAAACAGAGGTCAGGAGGTGACTCCGCTCTCTCGAATAGCCCCTCGAGCACGAAGCCAGGGAGACGGGCACCCACGAGAAACCCAAAATAAATGCAACAGTAGCAGCAACGGCCGCTGATGCGTTAAGTGGCCTTTATTGGTCTTGAATTAAATTATTTGTTAGTCTGCATTCGCATGTGCGTCGGTGGTCTAGGAGCACCCAAACTCGCACAAAATTTAGCTTTCTTTTTCTTTTTTACAGCAAGCTGTTGTGCGCTAGGATTTGGGAAAAAAATGCATCTGCAGATGTTGATAGAAAACTCCCAATTGGTCGTGGCAAGTATGAATAAATAAAAATAAAAGGCTCGAAGTACACCTAAGCACTTCTTACGAGTTGTGAATGCGAAAGCATGCACGCCGCTCTTCCGCTCCCTTCTTATGCCTGCAGCGTACTGTCGTACTTGCGTCGACGGTCGAGCCCTTGCTCTTTCCTTGGTGCGCTGACCTTGGGCATGGAGTGGCGGCGCCACTGCCTTGCAGACATGCGGCACCACGGGGTGGCATGGTTTAAACTGACGCGTCCAATAAAAGTCTCGTCGACGTGCGCCAGCCAACGGGACCAAAGCCAAAATCCATCAGCTTTACTCCGCTCCTTTGGGATCGGGGAAACTACCGTAAAATCCCGTAAGGACGCCCACCCAAAATGAAGGGATGAATGGTGAAAAACATGGGGTGGGCTATCTCTGGGGATGCCACAGCAAAACCTTAAAAACAATTATTGATAAGCACCTGGGATCCCACTACAAACCACGTGACGCGGGAACTGATACCGCAGATGGCGGACACGGCAAATTCGCTTTTCACGATGCAATAAACAGGCAAGAATTCGCTACTAACTCCTGTGTCACGAGAAAGGATACAGCAAGTGGCCGACGCAGCAGATTCCCATTTCACGGTGCGAAGGACTCGCAGAAACCAGCCGAGAACTCTTATCTCACGGGAACGTATAGCGCAGATCGTGGAAGCAGCAGATTCAAGTTTCATGGTGAAATAAACACGCGTGAACCCGCTACAAACTTGCCTGTCATGCAAACCAATATCGTGAGCGCAGATCGCAGAAAGAAACGCGGGAATACGCTAAAAACTCGCGTGTCACAGAAACATACCACAAACCGTGGACGCAGCAGAATCGCATTTCACAATGCAATATACACACGGGAACAACTCGCGCGTGTTACAGCTAAGAATAAATATTGCGCGCGTAGAGCGCGGACAAAAACACGGGAATCCGACACAAACTTGGGAATGGATTCTGGAAATCGTGAACGCAGCAGGTTAGCATTTCACAATGCAATATACACGCGGGAACAACTCACCCGTTACAGGAGCCGATATTACGCCCGCACAGATCGCAGACAAAAGCGCAGGAACCCGCTATGAACTCGCTTCTTGGACGTACCGGTACAGCAGATCGCGCCGTTGATGCGCGATTCCCGTCGGACATGGCCTGACATCCAACGGGAATCGGGGGTGAGCGATATTTCGGAATTTTTATGTTGCAGATATTTAGCCAAAAAATCAGGATGGGCGATCTTTCAGGAGGGGGCGTCCTTATGGGATTTTACGGTAGGTGCCGTTTAGCTAGGCTTTTCGCGTGGTTTCATAGCTGGGGGCTGGCTTCACTTGGAAGAAAGGATTTAAGGTGCCGTTTAGCGCGGCTTCAAAGCTCATAACGTCAGCTCGCTCCATAGGACAGTTAATGCTTTCGCAATTAAAAGAGGGGGCAACCAATGCGAGTCAGCCTTCCTTGGCATTATTAGAAGTGTGGTCCTGATCCCTTATTATCATTTCTAGGCATCCTCTTCGAGGTCGTCATAAAAGTCGTCCTTAAGGTTGTCTGAGAGGTCATCTTCTAGGTGGCGTTCTCAAGGTTGTCCTAGAAGTCGTCCTCTAGGTCATCCTTGAGGTCGTCCTAGGCACCGTCCTCAAGGTCGTCCTAGACGTAGTCCTCTAGGCGGCGTCCTAGAAGTTGTCCTTGAGGTCGTCCTAGACGTCGTACTAGAGGTTGTCCTAGAAGTCATCCTTGATGTTGTCTTAGAAGTCTTCCTTGAGGTCGTCTGAGAGGTCACCCCAGGTGTTGCCCTCGAGGTCGTCCTAGACGTCGTCCTCAAGGTTGCTCTAGAAGTTGTCCTTGAGACCCCCCTAGACGTCGTCCTCGAAGTCGTCCTAGAAGCCGTCCTTGAGCTCGTCCTAGACTTAAGGTCGTCCTTGAGGTTGTCCTAGACGTCGTCCCCTAGGCATCATCCTAGACGCTAGACATAAAAATAACAGCTTTGCTGGTCCTCCATCTTCACGTGAAGTGGAAGGGCTCTACAATTTTTCTTTTTATTTTAAAACCGTGACCTCAAAATTTTGAGCTTTTCAGATAAATCCGGATTGACGGAGATCTCACTGGCAAGAGCTTTCCTATTTTTGGATTTATCCGAAAACACAAAACCTTGTACCTATACTCCATTCTGAACACACCTTGATATATCTTTCTGAGAACATCCACGAGGCAAGGCTTGTCACTTTCACCATTTTCTTGTTCTTCGTCAGCCTGACTTTCCCTGCAAGGCAAAAAATTAAATTATACAAATGAGAAAAAACAAAATTTTTCAGGAAATATTCATTGCAATGGCAGAAATCTGAGCATCCAAAGCCGATGTATCTGTCAAAAATGTGCAAACTCCACAAAGTGTGCAATGGTAAAGGGGTACTCCGGCAATTATTATACCCACCCCAACTAAGTACATTTTTCTTTTATCCTCAACCTTTACCCTTTTCAGTATGCTGTTTGGTATTGCAGAATTCAGAATACCATATAATCGCGTGTAAGGGCCGCACCCGTGTAATAGCCGCACCCCCGTATATACGACAAAGTATTGCAAAAAAAAAAATTAGATATGATTCGCGTATGCGCCGCACCCCCTTGTTTTTGAGCCGTGCCGACTGTAATGCCACGTTTCTATGAATATATATCGCTAGGTGGTGCTAGCCACCGCCCGAGCACGTAACGGCACGTGTCTGCATCCCCAATATTTGCTCTCCACTCATCCATATCACCGTATGGCATAATGGCTGTCGACCTCGATCGTGGTCGGCCGCACTGTCGGGATGCATTTATGTTGTGGCAAGTCATTGAGAAAAGATAAAGGATATGTCAGGTACCGTGGCAAGCGCGAGGAATGGGGATTCAGCAGGATCGGTTCGCGCATGCACTCAGGTTTCCGAACGCCACTGTACGCTCTGGGGAGGTTTCCTTTTGTTCTTCGATTCGTGTCAAAGCGTCGCGATTTGTCTGCCTTTTCGCGCATTCTGAGAGCTATGGGCAAGTACCACTTCAACAGTAATATGCGATTCAAGCCGAAAGTTGCCGCGCATGCTATCGAGTACGGAAAAAAAATATAAGTGTATTGCGCAGTATGTAAACTAATTAAATCCGACTGACGATTGAGTCCGGATTCCGGAGTGAAGGCGCTTCTGACCAGTGCAGCCGAGCGCGCTCATGTACATTCATTTTGGAATGTGAATACAGACTTTTTTTTTTTTAATCAGTGTATGGGCCCGCACTTTGAAAGTTTGCCCTCAAATCGGGAAAAAATAATGCGGCCCTTACACGAGTTTATACGGTAGCTATTAGGAAATCGGCAAACGAAAACCAACATTCAAATGTGCCCACACTTTCCAGTGCCACGGCGGGCTTGCCAGTTGAGCAGGCAGTCTAAAATGTTTCGTGCTGCTGCGCCAGTGTTGAAGCAAGCTTTTAAAGCATGTTTGACACTGTAAAACTGCTTGTAATCAGACGGAAAAAAAAATGTTTTGGTCTAATAATTGGGGTACTATTTCAGCTGTTTGTTGCAATAGAATAGAAAAGTGGGCTAGTAGGTGCATTCTGTTCAGTTGATAGTACTAATGCATTGTCTCGCCTTTCTTGTCCCATTCCCTGGCACTTTTAATTTTGCAGTATGCTTGTTTAGCAAATTTTCAGGCAAATCGGAGACCATGAAGAGAATGCCAGAGTACCCCTTTAACAACAGCAGCTTTTGCATTGCTTATTTTAGATTTGCTTCGGTTTTAGTCACGAGCTTTAAGATTTAGGAGCGTTGCTTTTAGTAGAACTGTTGTAGATTCGCTTCAGGGGATGAGTGTTCTTGCAGAATGCTTTCAAGAGACGCAGTTTTACGAGATCTGCTTTTGGCGAGAAATGACAGCGAGACATGCTTTTTGGCTGAAACGCTGCAACAGAACGTGGTTTTGGGTAATTGCCTTTTGTACACGCGCCGTAGAACCTTCCAGAATTCCGGAGCGACAGCAGCGGCGGTTTTGAAGTTGCTGCTGTGTGGACGATGTGAGGGGAGGGGGAGCAATAGATGCCGCAGATGATGCAGTTGCGCAAGGGGCAAAAGCGATAGGCAGGGGCAGACCTACCAATAAGCAGAGTAGGCAGCTGCCTAGGGAGGCAGAATTTGGGGGGTGGCCAATTTGTGGCCACCGCCAAATTAATTGGCTCTTATTTTTAAATCTAGCTCCTAATTTAGCTATTTTGGGATTTCTAGCTCCAAATCTAGCTACTTTTGAAAATTTCATCTTCCAACCTAGCTACACCCCCCAAGCCTCCTCCGACCCCCGCTTCCCACTGGCACTGACTATGGGGAGCAGGGTTTCAAGGGGGCACTGTTAAAGGCTGTCTAGGGTGACAAAATGCTAAGTCCGCGTCGGCAATAGGGCAGCGCATGCCACGCGATTACGTAGGTTCTTGTGTTCGAACGCCGTCAGATTTCGGCAGGAAGGGGCACTATGAGATGTCATTGCAAAATAATATGGTACAAGAAGAGGGCCACTGGCCTTACGTCACTCCAACCAGATTTAGTAGTAATGATAAATCCTCTTGCGTCATTTCTTGTTAAACTCTATGAAGCTCGTTAGCACATTCCAGCAGTCATTTACTTAAGTAGGTTTAAATTTCCATCTTTTCCTCTTTCCTAACTTCAGTAAAATGAAGAGGCTGACACTGCCTCCTAATTTCCTGAGGCCTACCCGGCCAAACTTTTGATGAATAAATGTGTCAAATGAACATAGAACACAAAACAAATGCCTTTCAAGTACCCTTTCAAATAAAAGCTCGTTCAAAACTTTCAGCCTTTCCACTCTAGTGAAGAAGGAAGACAAGCGAAGCTGTACTATGGTGGGCGGCTTTCCAGGCAAGCGATGTGCTCTTCTTTCGCAAGAGAATCTGAATCGCTCGATGCAGTAGAACTCGAGGCGACAGCGGCTTCGCGGCGGTTGCAGACCCATTAGCACTGCTGCATACGTCGCCGCTCCTTCCGCACCCGATCTTCTTTCCCCGAAGAAAGGGCACGCGGCCGACCCATTGCGGGTCCAAACCGCAACTGATAAGAACGTAAGAAACAGTGCACAAACCAGGCGAGGACGAAGAAGAAACACACAGGACGAGCGCTGCGCCCGTCCCGTGTGCTTCTTCTTCGCTCTCGTCTGTTTTTTGCGCTGCTTCCTACGATGAATTCCCACCAACTCGCCCAACTATCCATTCTTCAATGATATCTGGAAAGGTTGCCACCATCTATGAGCGACGGCGGCAACCTGACCGGTTGTCTGGTTGCCGCCGTTGCTCATAGAGGGCGGTAGCTGTCCAGAGTTTTGTGTCGACATTTGATTGATACCGGACACAAAACTGGGGAAACTAGCCCTTAACAGCTCCGATGTAAAAAATTCAGAGCCAAAAGATGCACACCAAGTGTACAATGATCTGCACAAAAAACTCCAGCTGCAGCTTTTCCGCAGCTGCGTGCACCGACAGCCGCCTGCTACTGCGCAGACTCTGTAGAGTCCGCTGCTTGTGCTCCCGTTCGCCCCACCCTTGCGACACCGAGCAAAAGAGTCCAGCTGCAGATCTCACAGTCTCAGCTTCGATTCCCACTGCACCACTTTGTGAATCTTGCTAACTGACTACAGTAAAACCTCGTTATAACGAAACGGAATATAACAAACTAATGGATATAACAAAGTAATTGTAATTCCCCTTGAAATTCCCATAGAAGCCCATGTATTTAAAACCTCGTAACGAAGGAAAAATTTTCTTGCAATGGGTATTATGAGCCATTTTTTTCTAGAACTAAATGGTTATAACGAAGTATAATTACGGCTCCCCCTTCAACTTCGTTATAACGAGGCGGTAATTTAAAGCTCCCACGCGCTAGAAGCCGCGAACTCCCATGCGCCAAAATGTCAAAGTCGCCTGGCAACATGCACGAGTGCGCTGAGCCTCCCGGCCTCCCCCTCTTGTGGAACGCATGGACCCGTCCACCCTTTTCGCCGTCTGAAAGAAGCAAGATGGACGACGGCAAACGGAAGCGCAAAACAATCTCGATCGAGCAAAAGGCGGCCATGCTTAAAGCCATTGAGTATTACTCGAGTAATAGCCACACTATTCATGAACAAGGCCCTTGCGTCTACCGTACCTTCTCGCAGAACGAATATACAGCCAATCATTGCATTGCGTATAAATAACATAGCAAATTATTAGATCGAGAACACAATTCTCCATACAAATGCAATCTTCACAGATGGTATCTTTGCGCAAAGACGTTAACGTTAAGATGTAAACCGCTGGAATCATGCTGTCGATTGCGGTGATTGGCAGTCCGCGTGCTTTGCGGAAAAGCAAAACCTCAGGATTTTTTCATAAACAGTGCAGCTATTACTCAAGTAAATATGGTAGCTGAGGATTTCGGCATAGCGTTGAGCATGCTGCCTACAATTTTGAGCAGCAAGCAAGCTGTCGCACATGGTGTCAAAGGCAACACGAAGAAGTTGCGAGCCCCAGCGTTCGAAGCTGTAGAGAAGGCGGTGTTCAAATGGTTTTTGGATGCTAACGCAAGTGGCATTTTTGTGGGTGGAGCCCTGCTGCAGAGGAAAGGGGGGGACTGTACCACGCCTGTGTTGCTTTGGGCAAATATAGGCAGGTCTGAAAAGTTGCCAGCCCTCGTTATCGGCAAAAGTGAGTCATCGCGATGTTTTAAAGGGAAAAGGAAACTTGACGTTACGTATGTTTCGAACCGCAAAGCTTGGATGACAAAAAATATTTTGCACAATGACTGCAGGAATGGGACGAGTGGCTCGACAAGCGGAACCACAAGATATGCCTCGTTCTCGATAGCTGAACGGCCCACCACACTGCTGCTGTGCTCCGCAACATCGAGCTTTGCTCCGCAACATCGAGCTTTGCTCTGCAACATCGAGCTTTGCTCCGAAGTGAGCTGTAACAGCGCGGAGCATTCAGTGATGTGATGCACGGATAAAGTAAAAAAATGACCGCCGTTTCTTTTTTTTTTTTTTTTTTTTTTTTCATTTTTCTTTATGTTAAGGCAGTGTGCTCTCGTGGCAGGCTACTATGTCAGATTCGGTGGTGAGTACATCCTCCCTGGCTTGCTAATCGGTGGTAGAAGTGGAACAATGACTATAACAAACTAATCATTATAACAAAGTAAATTACAGCTTCCCCTTCAACTTCGTTATGACAAGGTTTTACTGTAATTCAGTTTAATTATGACTAAGGATAAAAAAATAGCAGGGCCCTGCCACATCACGTGGAGATGGAGAACCAGCGAAGCTGTAATCTTTATGACGTCTAGGACAATACCTAGAGGATGACGTCTAGGACGACCTCAAACACAACTTCTTGGACAACCACGAGATGACGCCTAGGACGACCTCAAGGACAATGTCTAGGACGACCTCAAGGACAACTTCTAGGACGACCTCAAGGATGACCTCATGGATGACTTCTAAGACAACCTCAAGGACAACTTCTAGGACGACTCCTAGAAAAATTCAGCCTTTCCGCTCTGTTGAAAACCAGAGTGGAAAGGCTGGAAAGATTGCCACCATCTATGAGCATAGGCGGCAACCAGACAACCAGCAAGCCGGTTGTCTGGTTGCCGCCGTTGCTCATAGATGGCGATAGCTGTCTGGAGTTTTGTGTCGACACGCCGCTTGTCCGCGGACACGATACTGGGGAAACTAGCCCTTAACCGCTCCAATGTAAAAAACAAATGGAACTAAAACCAGCAACTCAATGCCACTAACCCTATAAAAAAACAGGACAAAAAAAAATCTTTGTTGGCTCTAGTTGACAGTGCGGTGGAAGTTACGCGCTTGCTGGACCACTCAACAGTTTCCCTTTTATCAGATGACCCCGCTCCCTGTGTGCGCGTATGGGTGGAGCATAATCCCGTGGCTAAAGATAGACATGTGAACTGGTCCAACAAGCACATAGCTTCCACCGTATTGTCAGCTAAGGGACAAACGGGGTACGGTACTTCCCAAAGAGAAACTTGTCAGCCTGTCATAAAATAGCCCGAAGAGCGTTCCACGAAAAAAAAAAGGAGTCATAGTGTTGTCTGCGTCAAGGCTTTCGGTGCTTATTTCCTGTCAATGCGACTAATCCCTGTTGTTCAGATTTGGGGGGTTAAAAGCAACTTAGATGCTTATCATGCGAGGACGTAAAAAAGTAAGGAAATGGAAGAAGAAAAGGAAGGAAAGAACAAATTTTCTGTGGGAAAGAGTTAATTTTTGTGCAACAGGCTTTAGACTGATCTGTTGCACGGCCCACAAACTCCACATTAAAAAAAAAGGGAGAGAGCAAATTGTTCATCATTAGCTTGCACAAGAATCGAGTCAGATTGAGAGCGAGCACTGCGATGCACCTCCAAGGAAAATTGCAGAATAGGTGCACCGTAGTACAACAGCGGAAAAAGAAAGAGAGGAACTCACGGTGCTTCAGGAGAACTCTCGGAGGCACAAAAGAGGTTGCTCTCTGGATACATGGCGATGGCTTTCTTCACCACAGCAACTGCCTGGGTGTAGAACCCTTTCTTGAGAAGGGTCCGGATCTCTTGGAGAACCCTAGAAAGGCAGCATCCGTGTTTCAGGGAATTGCCCAACACAGCACAATCCACCCTTTCCATTATTAACAAAACCGGAAAGTACAAACAATAAACCAAGTTAAAAGTGCTGTTCGGGCAAGTCGGTCGTTCGTGACAATCGACGTAACGATGCACTTGAAAGACAATCACTCTAAAGACACAAGCACACAAAGAAGAAACACTCACTCGGTGCCGAGCGAGTGTTCCTTTCTTGTATCTTTGCGTCCTTAGAACACTTGTCGAACACAATAAACCAAATATTGCCATATCTGGAATGGTCTTAGTGTCCAAAATAATACTCCCATGCTGCTGGACAGAGCACATTGCTCTATAATACTACCGTCAAATCCACTTACAATAATCCCATTTATAACTATCTGCCAATTAGAACGACCAGATTTAAAGAAATTGACGATCTCGAGAATGTATGCAGTAAAACTGCATCCAGATATGACAGCCATTTGTGGATTAAACCACCACCATACAAAATTTGGTGAAAATGCAAAGATTACATGTCACATGACTGTGATATCAATGGACATGTAGCATCATGTGACGTGACAGTGTCATGAAATGTCAGTGACGAGCACGTGAAGTCGCACAAAGTCACAATATCAAACACAATTTAGTGGAAAAAGGCTTCGCGTGACTTTTGTGTCAGGTCACATCAAACGATGCCACAATTTCCAGCAAAACTTATAAATAGTGAAGAAACGCTCAACATAGCGTCATGTTCTGTGACAATACCCCAACAAATTTGGCTAGGTATTGTCAAATTCCCCACCAAACTCAGATTTGTCGCACGACATTGCGATTCCCCGCTAAATCTAGAGAGAAAATTACAACGGGCCACACCACACACTTCAGAATTCGTTGCAAAACCTACTAATGAAAGCTGTCGCCATAAGAAAAAAAAAGTTAAATTGCATAAACAATAACTAAAAAAAAAAATTAAGGCACTCCTACAATCTAATGCCTAAACATCCCATATGCAGAATGCATTAGCAATATGTACAGAAATCTGGGCAGCATGACATCACGCTGTAACATGACTAGAGCTCAAATTTTTGTTGAGTGTCCTGGAAGATTCTATTACGGGTGAAGCTCCTTAGGGTCTAGCCTTGTCCGTCTGGCGTCCGTGCTTACATCGATTGCACTGCCTCCGGGATCGGCCCACTTTTAAAAAAAAAACGTACGCCCGCACGGGGGTTCAAACTCGGGATTGCTTGCTTACGAGGTAGACGTCTTAACCACTACGCTACACTCCAACGTTGCATGTAGCCGCTCAACATCTATACAGGAGAGAGCGCTGCGGTCAAATGCGTATATAATCGTATTAAACTTTGCATGCATTGGCTCAACGTTTATAGACGAGAGGGCGCTGCGGTCAAATGCTCAACTACGTATAATACCACGATCCATACCACACATTCCCTTTTTGACATGGACCGTTGACTTAAGCGGTGGAGGTGCATTCCCACGGCTTCTAGCGGATCCAAGCTGATCTGCTAGAAGAACCACTGGCTCTGCATTTCACCGACCATAAAGCAGTAATAATGAAGTCTAAACGTAACCCGGAACTCAGCACTACCTATGAGCAATAAAAAAAAAATCAGCACCACCAGCGCTTCGCCCCAATCAACATCATTCACAACATGGAGATGCAACCTCTTTTTTATTGTCCCAATTTTCCATTAAGCGTCCAGTTACTTAAAAGAGACGCCTGTATACAATGTGCATTTCCCGCACAGCTAATATTTTGCGTCGGCAAGGAGCCAACGTGGCATTCTTTCGGCAATTGGCTCCAATGGCGTTCAAACCAGATGCGCTGCCTTATATGTAGGGTTCCACGTTTTCGGTTTTTATTTTAAAATTCAATTTTCAGTTTTTTTCTGGTGTATATTTATGCCCACAAGCGTTTACCAGTGTATATTAAAAAAACACCATCGGATGCCGGATCAGATGATCGTTGTAGCTCTGATATTTGTGATCACTCAAAGAATAACAGCACAGATACATTAAAAACAAAACAAAAAAAAAACATCGACACATCATTTGGCAAATGTGAGCAACTGTAAAAAACCAAACAAAAAAAACACAGAAGTACAAACAAGTCAGTGCCCCAAAAAAACATAGAACTTCACCTTCAGTAGATCAGGATTATGTGATCTTATTATAGTGAACACACATGTACTTCCCCAGGTTCTCCTCGTTGATCCACGCTCATTCTTTCCTGTTAATGACCCTGGGCTTCGAGAATGCCCTCTCAACGTTAACACTGTACACTGGCAGGCTGAGGAGATGAAAAGCTGCCTGAGCCAAAATCGGCCACTCAACCAAATGTGACTGCCAAAAGAGACACGATGCAACGTTTTGAAGCACAACATATTTGTTGTGCTTCAAACTCTTTATCGCTATCAGCGGCCCAAAGCATTTCATCGTTGGTGCCGTCCATAGCGTTAGAAATTCCGCACTTCTTGAAGGCCTTGATAACCATGGCAGACGGGATCGTGCACCACGCATCTTTCGCCCATCGCACGTGATGCGGCCAGATTTCTATCGCTCTCCGCACACAATATCACTTTTCTTTTGAATCCAGCATCATGGTGAATGCGGCATGTCTTTGCAGTGGGAACTTCCACGCTGATACGAACAAAAGGAACACACGAGCTGGCTACGCTCTAAGCCTCTCAGCTTCCCAGCGGGTAATGGAGCGGCCATTTTGAAATGTCGGCGGCGATACGGTAGTGGTACCGTTGTGGTACCGTTCGGATACCACAACGAGGCGCTGCCACAACAAACAAAAGCTTCGCCATTTTTTTTTTCTGTCATTTTCGCAGTCTTGTAACGCGTCTCGCGTACTTCGGGTGATTTTATAGTTTTATCGCGATTATATGTGAAGACCTCCTGAAGAGGGCTTGTTGCTTGTGTTAGTTAGTCATCGTAAGTACTTAAAAAGTGGCGCGGGGTGACAGGTTTTTGTTTTTCTGCTCTTTTTTGCGTGCTTTGTGTGTCCCGTTTCCCCATCTTTTGTTTGTTCGCTGGCGCGCGCCAGTGCCAATTTCTTTTTTAGATGTCAGTTCCCGTAAAGTGTCTAGTGAAGGCACGCGGCACTGCACTCAAGGTTTAATAAAAAATCAGTTACCACTGCGTGTCCTCACGGCGGCTTGAGGGTCGTGCGGCTCGGACGAACTTGTCGAGGCACCCGCTTCGCTGCCTTCTGCGGCGAAGCGGGTGCCTCTTCGCGAGCGGTTGTCTCGCGGCGATCGGAGCGGATGCCTTCCGGCTGGCAAGGCGTGTCCCCGTACCGGCGAAGGCCCAGCTGCTGGCAGCGTTGAAGCAACCAACGCTTCAGGTTGGGGTCCATCGCGACGACTATGTACAGTAAACCCCCGTTAACTCGAACACGGATATCTCGAAAGATCGGTTAAGTTGAAACTTTTGTGCGTTGCGAAATGAATCCCCATTGGCACCATGTATTTTGACATCGCTTATCTCGAAAAGTTTCCGGGACGGGCATCGGATATCTCGAAACTTCGCCTGTAAAAATAAAAAAATAAAAAATATTCCTGAAAGGCTGAAAGGACACTGAGGCCGAAGGAGAAAGTTTATCTCCATCGCGGACCAAGCGACCGCGACCTAAAAATAACGCTAACAAAGAGAGAGAGAGAGAGAGAGAGGGTCTTCGGAGAAAAATAAACAAAAGAAGGAAGCCCCGGAGAAAAATAAACAAAAGAAGGAAGCGCCGCGAACGCGTTTCGGGCGCACAGAACGCGACGAGCATTCAGGGACGTTTGTTTTCTTGCTTTTTGCTTTCTCCCCATGTCCCGGGACTTTTCTTTCTCTCTTTTTCTCTACGCTTGTGCTGGCTTGTGGCGCTCTATCGGCTCTCCCGATCTCGTGGTCGCCGTAGTCGCCACGCCGCCAAGCCGTTGTCGCGTCGCCTTCGTTCAACCCCGTCCACATGGATGACGGCGGCGCTCTTTGAGGAATATGTGCGTGCGCTGGACCGCTGGACGCTTGTTTTTTAATTCATTTTTTCTCGTTTTAGTAAGTGATTTCTTGCTTCAAACGAAGCTGTGATTGGTACGATTTTCGGAAGCGCTAGATTTTCGAAATCCGCGGTCGCTACTTCGGAAATTTCGGTACTCCGCTTATCTCGAAATTTTTCCCGGTTTTTATGACTTCGAGTTAACGGGGGTTTACTGTACCTTGTGTACAACCACAGTGACCACGGTACGACGTGGTACGACGTGCGACCGGCAGACACAAGGGCTGTGTTCCAAATCTTACCCAAATAGATCCGAGTTACTCCGGCGGATCGTATCACGTGACAGCACAGATTAAAAAACGCTGGACGCAAAAAGATTTTAGAACGCCAAGGGTAGAAAACCCTTACCCTGGAGTAAGATTGAGTAAATTTTGGGACACGGCCAGGAAGTAGCAATGGCTCTCGTACGGGGCGCAGCCAAGCCAGCCATGCAGCCAAGCCGATCCACTACGAAGAGGCGGGGAGTACCTCTCCTCCATGCGCCCGAAATGCCGAGAGAGAAAACAAGTGGAAAGGAGGTGACTAACGACTAAATTGCGTCTGGCGCAATCAATATTGCTCTAAAAAAAATTTTTTTTTTCGCATAAAATTTATTTTTTGACATGCGTGTTTCAACCAGACTGTTTTTAAAAAAAATTATTTTTTTTAAGGACTTTTTAAAGATCACGTACGGCGGTAGCCGTCTGCTAACGCGCGCAACATCACTGTGCAGCGCAGTTTTGAGTTGCCGCCCGTCAAAATGTTCACCGACTTGGAACCCTTTTTCTGAAGAGTTGTGTTGAGTGGCATTTCAAAGTATACGAGAGTTTGGTCCGCGTTACCAATCTGCAAGTACAAGTACTCGTGTCGCTTTTGGAGCCCGATCACGTAGCGCGTGACAATCGAAGTCATCGCGTTTTTTTTTTTTTTCGTACCTTGAAAAATGGGTGCGCGTTACAATCGAGGGCGCATTATATTCGAGTAAACACGGCACACAAAAAATGCAGCGTTTATTAACGGCTTTACTAGTGAGGCAGGGCTTTGCGGACCCCAAGAATGTCTTCTTCGGACCCTAAAGGACCCGCGGACCCCAATCTGAGAACTGCGGCTTTAGACTCAACCACAAGCTCTCAAACTGGGTCTCTCTACTCAGTTTCACCTTACTACTGACTGCAGCGGATGCCATGAGCCATCGGAGCCAATCCAAAGTCGCGCAACCATATCACATGCTACGTGCCTTACTTTAGGACATCTAAGCCACTCACTAATGCATAACTATGTACCAAACGCCTCCTAGTGCATGCATTATTGTTTACGAGGCCCGCAGACTCTTGCATTGCTTAACTGCGTCAATGGCGAGGCCGGTAGGGGTTCCTCGGCTGCCATTCGAGGCAGATAGCGGCTTCTCGAAATCAGAAAGCTAACATATGGTGTACTAAAAGCGATTAGCAAGACCCACCAAGAAGAGAATGCCTGCACCTATACCTGAAACGTCATTGCTAGTGTAGCCAGGCAGTGCCACACCACACACAACGAAAGTGTTTGCCGCTCGAAACAAGTCGGGGGTCCAATAAGGACAACGTCGTGCACGGGCCTCGTCTTTTAAATGGTTCTGCCGTGACTTGTTCGAAGGCTCAACGATGCAACCACGCCCACCACGTTCGGCATGCGTAAGCACACATACTCTGAAAGCAAGACGCCCTCGTCTTCTTCCGCCTCATCCTGCTGGATCTCCGTAGAGGCGTCATGCCCATTGCAGTGTCCTTTCAGTGCCTCTTGAATGTCCGGGAGCATCAACATCCAGGAGGAGTCCGCCGGCGCCAGACCCTCCATCCCTGCGTTTCAAAGGCGGTTTCCCGAAACATGCTTCCAGTTCAAAACCTTGCCGGATGTCATGTTGATGAACATTTTCTGTACGTCTTTCTATGCGTGAAGGCAGCATTTTCCAGCCTTGTAGCATCTTTCTTAAGGAGGGACACTACCCAAAAAAACATTTTCTGCAAAAACATTGATTTTGAAAAATGTCATATTTGCATTCACGAGCACCTGGAGAGTATTTCCAGAAAGTTTCATTAGTTTACACCGCATAGTTAATTTTTTATAAATTATTTTCGGTCCATTGAAGCTAAAGAAAAGGTAGGGGTTGGAACACTTTGAACACATTTTTCTCCGTTCCACATTTTGGCATAAATTTCATTTTAGGAAAACTATCGTTTGTTCATGGGACAGGAGGAAAGACTCGCTTATTGTTTTTCCAAAGTGGAATTCTATGGGCAGTGCAACTATGGAATTGTTTTTTGACTTTGTGGATGTCTTTTATAAAAGATGTTAAGATTTTGTGCTTGACATAAAAGGCAAAAAAAATTTATTTGATTTTTCACTGCGATGTTAGCATCAAGTAAATTCCTTTTTGGAAATTTTCTTTTCACAGCTGCACTCTCTAGGCATTCTACTGCAGATCTAGAGTAGAAAAATGCTCGGTATTACATTAGTTTCTTAACGATAGCTTTCCTAAACAAAGTCGGTGTGTTCCTGATAAAAATTACTACAAGTTATTTTATGGATGAAGAAAGAATAAACAATTAAAACAGGGACAACACAACCACATCTTTCAACTGTTGAAAGATGTGGTTGTGTTGTCCCTGTTTTAATTGTTTATTCTTTCTTCATCCATGACTTAAACCAACACGCTCTTCTGCCAAGCAAGTTATTTTACAACTCATGTTCACTGATGAAACTTTGCACTGCACTCTGCCTTGCACCTTCCAGTATATACTCTAAATTTCACTCATATTACGCCATAGGTTAAAAAGTTAACCCTATTGGGTAGTGCCCCCCCTTAATCTCAATCGATCGCGTCTGCCAGAGTAGCTGGCTTCACGAAGTAGCGACGTGTCCAATGGTACTTGGTGAGTTCCGTCAGTGGTGGCGCGACAGGCTTCAACGTTTCGCCAACACCACAAAAATATTAACTAAGCGTTTGCGTGTAAACTGGCAATGAACCTAATCTGCCGAACTTCGGATTCGGCAAAGTTCGGCACATGACAAACTTTTAAAGGAAAGTTCGGCAAAGATTCAGCAAATGCCTGCGCACGCGTGAGACTGCAACGGGCTGACAGGACTGCGACGGGGCCGCAGGAATCAACGCAAGTGACAAATGATGCGGTCGGTACATTCTGGATAACATGATATTAATTTTATCTTTCCAGTGATGCTTGAGGTAGTTGCAACATTGAAGCGCCGTTCACACTCTTGCGACCGAGTAAGACCGAGAGAGACCACACCGGTTTTTAAGCCTTTTGCGACTTCTTAGGACAGGATGCGATGCAGCGGAACTGGTCCTAAGAGATCGCAAGAGGCTTAAAAACTGGTCTTGTCTCTCTCAGTCCTACTCGGTTGCAAGAGTGTGAATGGGCCTTGACTGACAAGTACTTTAAAGCACTCCTCACCATTACAACAATCCTGTTCTTGACTCACAAGCAGTCTGTGCCAAAACAAAATATCATTGCTTTCTAATTAGCGTCATTTCGTGGTTTTCATTTGTCCGCATAAAACTAAACACAGAACTATCATGCTCGAAGTTGCGCATCCGACATTCCTAACTCCTAGATGTCCGCATGTCTCCCAACATCACAAACTGGCAATTTAAAAGTTAGAAACAAGACGTGATTGAGACACACTTTCATGCAAAGCTGAAGTGACTCAAATTGGAAAAAAAAACAAAAAAAAACATGCATATTTACACTAATATTGTTATTTCTTCTGGTGAAGGCACAGCAGCCATTGCATTAATTTTCGCGTACGAAACGGTAAAAGTTTGACCTATCACTACAAATTACAGTGATAGAAGCAGCATTTGACCTTTTGTGGCAGGTTCTGTACCAGGCAAAAGATTGGCTTGGAGCAGTCACTGATCCTTTTGGTGCAGATGCCAACATCTCTTAGCACATCACTTGAAAATTAAAGTGACTCTATCGCTAGAAGAGTTCATCTTTGATAATGACTGAGTGTTCCTCTTTGATGCTGGAGCATATTACTTATTACCTTTTGTAATAAGAATAAATAGGGTGCCAAAGGGATACAGAGCATTATTTTTTTAGAAATAAGGCTCAGTCAGAGAAGGTTCCATTTACAATGGGTACTAAAAAATTGATGAAAAATTTATTATAGTGCAACACTTCAGTTGGAATAAAGCTTCCTCCCTTCGCACATTTATGGCCGTTAGTTTATTCAGCCTGTATATACAGTATAGACCACTTACAACGTAACCGCTTATAGTGCAGGACCGGGTATAATGCGGCTTTTTTAAACCACTGGTTCGCCTCCCATAGAACTCCATGTAATTACATACCGCTTAAAATGCAGGCACGCGAAGGGAAATACCGGTTATAGTGCTGTTTTTGGAACAGCCCGCCGACCGCGCCCGACGCAGCGAGCACGCTTCCCTGTGCGACACTAGATAACGGCGCAAGCCGCAAGCGGCACTCGCGGGACAAGGAGGTTGCTTGAAGAAGCAGGGAGAAGCGAAGAGAGAGGCTTCAGTTGCCATAGCGACGGAGGGACGCACGCACGTGTCATTCACATGCGTGCGTCCCTCCGCAGCGTCGGAAACAACCGCAACGACAGACCAATCGCAGGTCGAGGAGAAGTGTTCGCGCGCGTTGCATGCCGGTCGCGGGCCGGCTGCTTCTATCCGCAAACATGGCGTCGGTTGTGATCGTCGATGTAGACAGCGTGGTAGAAGCTCATCGTTCCGCGTAAAAGCGCTATCCTTGACTGTGAATTTTCGTTGTGTGTCGCTATGATAGGCAAAAGTATTCCAAAAGCCGGGAATCATAATGATCCAAAAAACTGCTCCGACTTTACTCAACAAGATTAACAATTTAATCAAACGTTTCGTCTCCCATGCAGGAAACATCGTCAGTGAAACCTACAAGCAGGAATGAGGAAAAAAACTTCAACAGCCCTATTTAAGCAAGTCCGCGTACAGATCGGGGAGGGGGCCGCGGTTCGAGTTGCAAGCTGATGAGTCACTTCGGATGAACCATGATTCCACGAACCTGCGTGGACCCCACCTTTGTTCGCGCGCCAGAGTGGACGCATTCTCAAAGTCGAAACAGTGACCCGTATTCCAACAATGGTCTACGAGTTCCGTCTTCGCTCTTGTCGCATGCGTGGCCTTCGCCACGTCCCTTTTGTGTTCGTTTAAGCGAGTGCAGAGCTTCCGGCCTGTCTCCCCAAAGTAGGATGCGTCACAGTCTAGACAATTCACTTTATACACAACACCACACTGGGACTCTGGGGGGGTGTAATCTTTAGGTTTAGAAATGAGGTCACGTAGTTTACGATGGGGTTTGAAAGCAGTGCGGATATTCAAAGGGGCGAGGGCCCTGCGAATAGACTCAGAAACACCTCTCAAATAGGGTATTGTTACCTGCCCTGTCCTAAGTCGTCCATTATCCTGACTTCTTCTTTGCCCCATCTGTTTGCGCGCGTTATCAATAAAACGTTTCGGATAATTCCGTTTCATCAACAGGTCAACAATAACAGGGTGATTTCAGATAAGATCGACCAAAGGATGGCTAGTCGACATTTTCAAATCAACTGATGTTTTTATATGTTATTGTCTAGTGTCTGGTATGAACGAATCCAAACTTAGTTTTGACTAGAAAAAATACTTGGGGACAGGAAAAATCGTAAGGCATGAGGTGGTGGACAGTTGCATTAACGCGCACTGATGGAGGGGGCCCGTTTGAGAGTGAATAACTAAAGCGATAACATTAGGAGAACTCTAATACGTTTTAGGCGCAAACTATGGGTATAGCTTGCTTGTAATATAAAGTAATCATATTTATTCAAAATTTATTTATTTTTCTAAAAATTGACAAACATGCCTGCTCGAACGACAAATGGCAAACTTTGGAGGTCTGTATCTCATGAAATAATTTAATCATTATGATATAATTTGCAGATATTATTCTACTAATATATAGCTAATATTTAAAAAATAACTAAGGTATCTGTGTGATACAATAGTTAGGATATATTTAGTCAAACATGGAAAAAAGTCAAACAAAGAAAAATTCCGATGCGAATAAAAAAAAAAACACCACCCTCGATTTTTTTTAAATTTAGGTAACCTGTTATACTCTATTTCGGCATTCATTTCCATTAGAAACATGTTGCATCATTTTATTGAGAAAGAAGATACAACTCCCCAAAGTAGGGTCCTTTTTCAAAGCCTACATTTAGCCGTGTTTTATACAAGAACTGACTCTGAGTTCCAGTTTCATGAAACCAACACACATCTTTTATATATTTTTATTCAGATGAGGCCAATGATAACTAAAGAAATCGTTCACACACTTAAATTAAGAAGAAACTACTGTGTACAAAGAGGTATCATATTACGGACTAGTGATCCGAGAAAAGATCATGCAGCCATCGGCCACTAGGAACTTTGTTTACTTTATTCTAATGCGACACTATATGCTATTCCCTCTTCCGCTCTACCTTCATCTCTCTCTCTCTCTCTTATATATATCCCTGATATATATCCAGAACAAAAACATGTTCAAGCATTCCCTTTCTGCGTGGTAGTGTTCTGTGGCTAGCAAAAATCATTTCCTCGCTAAGCTCACGATTATGGCAAAATAGTTGCCGGAAACCGCAGACGACACTCGTCGCTAGTTCTGGCAAAACGGCCGATACAATCTTTTTTTCGCATTTCCCCGCTCGCTGTCAAGGACAAGGGGGTTCGCTTCAACCAGCAAAACATGGCCGCCGACGCCTGTTTACTGAGCAGTCATGCCTGTCGCCATCTCACTCGCTGGCG